GGCAACCTTATAGATAATTGCAATTATAAAATCACTAGATAAAATGACATACAAAACATTTTAAATAAGAAATACAATTCATGTAAAATAAATGCACACAAAAAGGATCAGTGCCCACAAGTTTGGCTCTCTACAAGCCATTTTTTAATCTAGCAAGTAAACTTGAGAATGACTTTTATATTGTTAGTAATACTTCAAGATTAATATTTACTTTGATCATCAAATATGATCCATCAGACTTTGTGGGAACATTTATTTGCTCATCTCTCAATCATCATTGTATTAATTGCATTATATGTTTTAAAACTAGAGTGCTTTGAAGAAAGAAGTGGCAACTGATATTTATATGCATTTTATGCAAGTAGTCTGCTATACAGCAATAAAGATCTCATTGATTTACATTACATGCATCGGAATTTCTTATAGGTACCAAATTGCATATTTTAGCTATCTGAATAAAATTGGTGATTTAATTCTTTTTTTATATGTGACTTGCAGAATAATACTAAATGTTAGGATGTTAAAACAGCCCTTTAAATGTTGCTTTTTTCTGCAAGTAAAGGCCTAAAAATCTGCCAGTAGCACATTATGAAGACTTTATTAATCTACAGGTAAAAAAGGAGTAAGTTAATAACGAAAACATGTAATGTTACAGTTTCTATTGATCTCAACAGAGAACAGCATTTCAGTGTTTACAAGGTTTCCCCAACTCGATCCCGAGTGCTGTTATACAGTCAGCTGTGATTGGCTGTCTCGGCTGTCAATCAAGTAACATATACAGGTCCAAGTCAGAGTCTCTGTGACATTCAGAAGTGTAAGTTTGTGAATATGTTTGGGGAAAGATACCGTCTCTGTACAAATAAATACTTTTGTCTTTGCAAATAAATATATACTGCTCAAAAAATAAAGGGAACACTTAAACAACACAATGCAACGAAAAAAAGTATTTAATAAGATTATTTCATTCATTCAGATCTATGATGTGTTAATTTAGTGTTCCCTTTATTTTTTTGAGCAGTGTATTTATATATCAAAAAAAGTCTGAATATTAAGTTTGGTTGATGAGCACAGGCAATATATTGACTACAATTTAATTTTAGATTTGATAAAATTGAACAGGAAACCTGTTAAACTTAAAATAGTACACACTGATTCAGTCTTTCAAGGTGTGACCACTTTTCTTGGATGGACATGTGAATTAATGTAAACACGTTGCCATTCACCTTGATGCTAAGGTCTTGGGATCGATTCCCAGGGAATGCATGTACGCCGGATATAAATACATAGGGTGAATGTATTGTCAGCATTTTTACGCATCTGCCAAATATCTAATCGGCAGTCCACAGTAATCGACAGCGTGTGGTAGATATTATCAAGATAAAATAACCTAGTCTATCGCATTCACCTGGACCGGGGCCACATAGCTGATGTGTTCAGTAAGACAGAAGGGGAAGAGAAGGACAAGAAAGGTAGTATAAATAAGACTTACTACTTACGGCAATGACTGTAGTTGGCACTGTATACTGAAACACCATGCTATCAATGATTGAATTAACAATAGAAAACAAATTAACTGGAAATCACAAAAACTGCTCCAAACACACAACCTTAAACATTACATGGTGACTTTAACCTTCTAACTGTATAAATTGATCAAAAAAACGGCTCCCTCCAGTGGCCGTAAAGTGTCACAACCAAAATGTGGATTGGATTGTAAACTAATCTAGAATCACATTTCCCCAACAAAAACAACAGTTCGGGCAAGGCAACAAACGAATAGTGTGCTAAAATGATTTAGAAAAGGAAAAACAAGCTAAAATGTTTGAGGAATGTTGGGATTGAATGAAAGCTGCATTGAAAGCCCTGAAACTAAACGTAGCTGTATGATTAAAGGGATAGTTCACTTTGAAATTAATTTTTGATATGTTTTAACTTACCTCAAGGGCATCCAAGATGCAGGTGTCTTTGATAGACAAGAACGGTTTGACCTAAAAATATCAAAATCGAAACTACTGCGGAAACAGTCATATAATGGAGGTCTATGGTCACCACCTCAAAGAGCATGCACAGAGAAGTCCAAATTAAACATGATTTAATGACTCGTAAATGTAAGTACACATTGATGGCTTAAGACACGAAACGAGCGGTTTGTGTGAGAAAACGAACAATATTTATATAGTTTTAGCCACAAAGCGCCCGCGCCCTCAGATCACTTGGACGTGGCTGTGGTTACAAGAGGTAAAAACGATATAAAAACTATTCGTTTTCTCACACAAACCGCTCGTTTCGTGTCTTAGGCCATCAATGTGTACTTACATTTACGAGTCATTAAATCATGTTTAATTTGGACTTCTCTGTGCATGCTCTTTGAGGTGGTGACCATAGACCTCCATTATATGACTGACAGACAAGAACGGTTTGACCTAAAAATATCAAAATTGAAACTACTGCGGAAACAGACACCTACATCTTGGATGCCCTTGAGGTAAGATAAAACATATCAAAAATTAATTTCAAAGTGAGCTATCCCTTTAACGCCACAACTTTTACGAATACGATACAAATAAATCACTATTAACTCGCGTTCAAATTTCGCTTGCATTTATTACACAATTGAAACACATAAATCAAAATATGAACACTGTGGGTAGTGAAACAGGGTAACAAAAAATAAATAGGCAATCACAACCATTTATGGTCCCAAATAAAGGTTTTGGAATGCATATATGCTGGATGAATAAACGAAAAAACAACCTACGGTTTAAAACCAGCGTTAGAAGCAGTCGTAGTGAAACGCAGGAAGAGTGTTGGTAACTGAGCTAGTGCAGCACCAATGCATTCGTTTCCCATCTCCTGTATGCATGCCAAACGGAGAGATAAATCAAATCAATCAAGGGCCCTTCAGAGTCAATCATACTTGAGGCAGAGTAAAGAGGAAGTTGATATGTGTTCGAGTCGCTGGTTTGGGGTGAGGGTATTAACAGTGTGCTCGTATATCCAGGAGTGTGAGACTATTTATCACAGTGAGCGTGTAGACGGTTTTCCCAAGCGAGCAGTTCCATGGTGACAGCGTGATGCATCACATGGTCTCGGTGGCGCACGCCGGCAGCCGTGCTCGATTTGCAACGACCTAGGAGACACAGACGATGGTTGCAAGAGACACACGGGAATAAGGAGGTCTTTAAACGTACCGTTATTTAAAGGCTAGTCGCCCCAATGATCTCCGTTCCTCTTTGATAATTTGATAAAACATCTTTATGAGCAGGAATCAACATTCAGTAGTCGCCGGCACCGCTGTGCCTGAGGGAAAGCCGAAGCGGGACAATATCTTGGGCCGAAACAACCAGGTTCAGAGGTTGATGCCAAGGTGAACGTTCGTAGTACCGTCAAGCCGGGAAAAAAAAGTCATTTTCTTTGGACGGCGGAAAGTACGTTGTTGTTTTGTCCCAATAATAAGAATATTTGGAAAAATAGAAAATCCATTTGAAATGATGAGGTGCACTAGAAGGGATGATGTCATTCTGCCACTTAAGCTGGAGCCAATTAGATTCCACAACAGGCTAGTTCATTAGAATAAAATTCACGGCTTATCATTTTTCAATACACGATGAAAACATAAATGGTCATTTTACATTCAATACCATGCAAAAATTGAAGTAAGAACTGCTGAAATTATTTGGTTATCATTTATCAACACATGATGAAAATAAAAGGGGGGGCATTGCAAGAGTATTCATGAAACCATTCTTACGAAAGTGGTCGTTTTACACACAATCTGATGCTAATCTGGCTTCATGAATGATGCCCATTATGAGTAAACAATACAACTCTCATTCATCATGACATTATTGGATAATTTGAAGCCAAAATATTTCAGGTGATATTACAAAGTATAAACATGTGCATTCAAACTATGATTTTACTTTCACTCAAGTAGTTTACAAATTCACAGCCCGTTTTTCTACATCTTCTCCTTAAACGTAATTGTATCTGTTTTTAGTCACCTAACCGTGCAAAAATATGAGGGAAACATATTTTTATATATTTTTTTGGATCAGTTCTGTTTTCTTGCATTCGAATCATTTAAACACGGCCGTTGCTAAAATGTACAAATTTCTGTGCATGGGCAAGCCAAACACTAGGTCTACACACAACTTCTAAAAAAGTACACCAGCCATAACAAAAATAAAGATATTCAGCAAAGGAAATGGATACATTTACCAGACAGGACAGGAGAGGAAGAGCCGGAAACTATGATTATGAAACTTAAAACAAATTATTAGAATAGTAATACTGGTTTAGTAAATGCATTAAATATAAAGAAAAATCAAACAACTTGATGCGATTATATCATATGATCTAAATGCAAACATGATTTTGATTGCGGGAAGAGTGCGTCTCTCCAGCTGGCAGTAATTCTGTCTACGTTAGCAGTGTGTCAGAGCCATAAATTTACTGTATAGGACTGCTATATAAAGGCTTTCATTATATTAAGTGTAAAACGATTTAAGGCTGTAATGAAAGAAACTGATGGCAAAAGCAGCTTTTGTTATTAATTAATAGTCACCAGCTGATTCTTTGAAGATCTGATATTTGATGTATCATCATCACATGAACGCCACAAGATATCAGGTCTCATGATGCATGACATGAGCAGAACGAACTTCTGTGCACATTCTTTGTGAAAACTATTCTTACTAGGGCTGTCAAACAATTAATCGTGATTAATCACATCCAAAATAAAAGTTTGTGTTTACATAATATATGTGGGTGCACTGTATAATATATATATATATATTTAAGAAATATTTTCATGTATATAGATTTATATATAATTTATATTATATATAAATATTTTAGATCTATATATAATTTATATTATATATAAATATAAATATTTTATATCTAAATAATATTTTTTTTCTTAAATATACAAGCATGTGTGTCTATTTATATATATATATATATATATATATATATACAAAACAATTATACACAGTGAACCCACATATATTATGTAAACACAAACTTTTATTTTGGATGCAATTAATCGTTTGACAGCCCTAATTCTTACATTAATTGTTAGATAGAATTTAGAATTTATGCAACATTTTTTAAACACAGCCAAAATCATTCAATTAAATGCAACTCGAGACTGAGAAAATAATAATTTTTCGAACAATTCACACAAAAATGAGTGTTGCTCGTGTATTATATGTGGCCTCCTACTGCTGTGCAGATTTGATCGGAAAGTCTGATTAACCCCTCTATAAGTTTGCTAAATTAAAATGCAAGCACACACAGAGTTGCCAAAAGTTTTCAGGGACACATATATACACACACACACACACATTGACAGACACACAAAACAAAACCAATACAGCTAAAAATGACCAAGTTTTTGTCAAACGTCATCATTTTGCTGGAATCAGTTAATAACGGAATATAAACTCGAATAAGATCGATTGTCCTTCCCGAAAAATGCATCTAAAGTTATAGGTGAAAATCCTGATACACTTTGGAAAACGTCATGAGGCGAACAACGGTGCCACGTACCAATTTGAGAAAGCACAACGTAAAGCTGCACTGCTGGAAGAACAAAAACGCTGTGAAAATTCAAAAGGTTAGGCACTGAAAAACAGGTGGAATGGATTGGAAAATGACCTGGCGATGTCACACGGTGTTGATGTCAAACCCTGATTGGTTAGATGGAGCTCTAGAGTTCTTCATAATCTCCACCCTCACTGGCCAGGAAGGCCTCAAGATCGTCCACAGTTCCTGCTTTCTTGGGCCTTGATGATTTCTTCTTCTTCTTTTCTTTCTCGTCTACCGTTCCTGCTTCATCTTTTTCCTTTTTCTTGTGTTTGTGTCGTTTTTTGCTGCTTTTCTCATCCTCCTAGAACAACAACAACACGATTTGTTCTTCAATTTCACTAATAAAAGGCAGTTTATGCACAAGCAACAAAATCTGAAACACATGAGAAAGTTTTAATAACAGCGAGTTATCGACCAGTGGAGGCTTTTTGATTGCTGATACCGACATTATAATTATAAACATTAAATGAATATTTACATTAAACTCCATAAATGGATTTAGCAGTATGTACAGAATGAGAACACAGAACAAATGAATTTGCTGTATAGTCACATTAATTGTTTCCTAACTGCAAAATATTGCAACACTGATGCAGTTTTAAGCCTGTGTATTACCGGTACTGTTAAAGTGGCTTTGAAACAATCTGTATTGTATAAAGCACAATATAAATACATGTGACTTCACCTTACACAATATTTACTCAAAAACTTACATAAAAAAAAACAGGCACATAATCCATTGTCAAGCTGTTGGTACATTTTGGATGTGACGCACAACCTCAAAATAGCACTATTGCCCTATTTGATGCTTGTCTATCGCTAATATAGTCAAGTTTTTCATATCTTACCTCTTTGCTTTTCTTTTTCTTCTTTTTCTTGTCCTTTATGGAGTGTCTGCTTTCATTATCTGCAAGATAAAACAGACTTGGAAATGTGCACAGTCATCCTTTAACCCAGTTGTTTAAGACTGCAGACATTAAAAAAAAGCCCTTTCAGAGCATTTGAGGGATGCAATATCTTTTTTAAAGGGATACTCCACTTTTTTTTTGGAAATAGGCTCATTTTACAACTCCCCCAGAGTTAAACAGTTGAGTTTTACCGTTTTTCAATCAATTCAGCCGATTTTCTGATATTTAGAAGAATATCAGTAACCAGACAGTTTCTGGTCTCATTGACTACCATAGTATATATTTTTTCCTACTATGGATTTCAATGAGACCAGTAACGGCCTGGTTACTGATATTCTTCTAAATATCAGAAAATCGGCTGAATACATTCAAAAACGGTAAAACTCAACTGTTTAACTCTGAGGGAGTTGTAAAATGAGCCTATTTCCAAAAAAAAGTGGAGTATCCCTTTAAGGGTGTGGTATTATACCCTTAAAGCTTGAAAAGCAAGAATACAGACACAAATATTTGCCCGATTGCCTGTCCCCTTCGAAATCAATGGATTTGCAGCATAAACTCTTAGTTTTCCCTGAATTGATATAACTTGGAAAAGGCATCAATGTTTTTAAAGATCCACTACATGCAATCTGTTTTTTTTTTTAGTGCTGTCAAACGATTAAAATATTTAATCGCGATTAATCGCATTAATGTTATAGTTAACTCACGATTAATCGCAATTAATCACACATCTATTCTAAATGTCTATTATGAATGTCTTTTTTTCTCTCATTTTAATGCTCTTACCAAGGAATCCTTATCATGGAAAAGTCGATCGGCTTGCTTTGTGCAAATGTTTTTTATTGAAAACAACATTAGCATATGCTATATATCTCGCACTCATCATCCACTCAAAACGTAAATGTTAACCTACTATTTGGCCGGCTCGCAAGCCCTAAACAAGTGTGCGGCGTGCCTGTTTTGTTTCCGGTCTAGCTAGATCCGCTAAATTCACATGAATGGGTTTCATATCGCAGCACATGCCGCATCCTGTTGCAATAAAGCATGTGAAAAAAACTACAAAGTTTGCTAGGCCAAAAAGAAGGTTAATCGCGCGATAAATAAATTGATGCCGCTAAAAATGGGTTTGCGTTAACGCCGTTAATAACGCATTTAACTGATAGCCCTACTTTTTATATAACGTGTCACTTACATTAAAGTGCCCCATTATGATTTTTTGGATATTATCGTTTATGTAGTGTGTATTATAGCTGTTGACAAATGACAAATAAAGTTATTATCTCCTGAAAGCAAGAACCGATTCTCAACTGCCTGAAACGAGTCGTCAGCAACTTGTAACAAGTTTGCATAATGCCAGCCAGCCTATGGTCTTGTATCTACTTTGACCTGCACTCGACACTCTAGAGAGATCGGTTGAGAAGACACTTGTTTCTGTGCTGTGAAAGCAAATCCACTTCCATGAGGACTCGGGCTCAAATTAATACGGAGGGGTTTAGAGAGACTGAATCCTTTACTGAACCGTTTATGACACAGTGAGAAAAGAGCTGGTGCTGCATTTGTATATGATGAGAAAATTAAAGTGTTTTTTGACCTTGGATGAATGTAAACCTATTGTAGGAGACTTTAAAATAGCATATCGGAGCACTTTAGAATGAAAAAAAGTAGGATGGAGATCAATTTACCTTCCTGATCTTCACTGCTGTCTTTACTCTTAGGTGTCGTGTCTTCAAATCCCAGGCCGAAGAGGTCAATGTCGCTATTGAGGGTCTTGAATGAGGGGGCAACAGGTTTGGGGGGCTCCTGGAGTCCAGCTAACACAAAACCATCATCTGACCGGTCAGAGAAGTCATCTAGTGCAGAAAGGGCCCCCTGAGAAAGACACACAAAGCATAAAATATGAGTGGATAAGTGGGAATTAAGATAATTTAAAAAAAGATAATTTATATTTATTAGACTTTAGATGCATTAGATGACTTGAATTTCTTAGAGAACAACATTTGTGATGGATTTCAGTCAGGGTTATTATATTTAAAACTAAAATAAAAATAGTTTTAATTTAAAAATATAATAAAAATAAATAAAGTCAGCTAGCTGCCAAGACAATATTTATCTTTTTTTTTTAAATTGAAGTACTAAAATAACTAAAACTAAATCAATAAAACGTAATAAAAAAAATGTCATAGACTGTATTTACAACAAAATAATAAAAATGACAAAAACAAACAAAAAAAATACTAAAACCAAATTGTAATGGTTTATAAAAATAAAATCCAAATAACACTGATTTCAGTGTGGAATAACAGGCCATGGGTTGAAATTTCATAAATAATCAAGAACTAAGAAATGGTTCTCTACCTTTCTGGTCTTGTGTACGCCAAGTTCTTCACTCTCGAAATCAGGGTCATCCATGGCAAACGAAAGCATCTGCTGAGCGTCTGAATCTGAGTGCTCCTCACCAGCGCCCCCTGTCTTTACACCTGCAGGTCCTGCTGTAGTTTTGAGGCTTTGGGGTCTCTCGGCTGGTTTGGACAGGGTTTGCAGATGTTTGATGGAGTTCACTGAAGATCTGAGAAAATAAATGTCAGTTTCAACAGGAAATGTCAGTCCTTCCGTCCAATCCATCTATGCATTTCTTCCATCTATCCATGCATTTCATCTATTCATCAATGCATTTCATCCATCCATCCATCCATCCATCCATCCATCCATGTAATTCATCCATCCATCCATCCATCCATCCATGTAATTCATCCATCCATCCATGCATGTCATTCATCCATCCATGCATTTCATCCATCCAGCCATCAATCCATGTATTTCATCCATCCATCCATGTAATTCATCCATCCATGCATTTCATCCATCCATCAAGGTATTTCACCCATCCATCCATGTAATTCATCCATCCATGCATTTCATCCATCCATGCAATTCATCGATCTATCCATGTATTTCACGATAATTCATCAATCTATGCATTTTATCAATTCATCCATCAATATTTTTTCATCTGTTCATCCACCCATCCATCAATTTTTTTCATCCCTCCATCTATCTATCTTTTTTTTTTCATCCATCCATGTCTATCTGTCAGTCTACCGATCTATCTATAGAAACCACTGCCAAGGTAACATTAATTGAAAAATAATATTATCAAGAAAGGAAAATTGGTTTTGCCTTCATTACGAGTGTTTTAATTAAAGTAAATTAGAGAAGTCTCTCTGCTAATGGAATAATTTCTATTTTGGAAGCTTATCAACAGTGAGGGAAATTAATTTAAACGGTACAACAAATCTTCTGGAAATTCTGGTCAGGTCTGAACATGTCTGTATCTCACTGATGTCTTTCTATTAAAAGTAAGATGCATTTCTGCATGCGTTTTTTTTTTTTACCCCTTTGAGTTTGTTCCTGAGCTGATGCCTTTGTGCCGGGCAACAGAGGGTAGAGATGAATCTTCCTCCTCTTCGTCACTCGTGAGTGTGACGCCCACGCTTGGGACCACCGCTTTAAGGGCAGGCCGGCTCAGCGCTCGGTCATCCGGATCTAAATCATCCTGGAAGCCGGAGACCAGAGGATTTCCCCGGCCCTCTCCATCACTGAGGAAAAGACCGGAAAACTCATCATGAACATTGTACCCAAATGCCTTCTTATTTAAAATAAATATGGTTGTGTAACTATTTAATTTAAGAATAATATAGAATAATATTTCATTTTCCAACATCAAATAAATTAGTCAACATTAACAAAGAATGAACACTTCTACAGCATTTATTAATCATTGTTAATGTTAATTTTAACATTTACTTAGTTAATGCATTGTGAACTAACAACTTTATGTTTTTATTACCCAACATTAACAAAAATTAATAAAAGTTGTAAATAAAATACAATTCTCTTTGCATACATATTTTCAAAGCTTAAATTTCATTGTTTCTCAAAATTCACAAACTTTCTTAATTTTCGGAAACATCACTTGTTTTTTTGCCAGCATTCCCACCACCAAATTATTTTGAAATGGAACAATCATGTTGATCTGAGAAAATGAAACCCTGTCCAGTAAGTTTATGAGCCGCTGAAATTACAACAGTAATATTGAAACAAGCTAATGGAATTATTATTATTTTTTTACATAAGAAATAAAGGACGTGTAATGACAGCTCACCTATCACTGTCCAGAATGGGAGCTGACGTTGGAGGTTTTTTCTTTGATTTAACTGCTGTTCCTCCGTCTTCCAGAAAGGTCCGGTCCAATCCAACCTCCGGTACAAATTCATCCACGCTCTGCACCTTTCCAGAGGGATTCGGGCCTTCAGAATCTGTAGTTTCTGATGACAATAAAAGACCATATTGGGTTACAATGAAAGTATTCAATAATTCCAACATTTGTAATGGTAATGTGCACGAATTATGTTGCACAGTTGCAAAGAGTCAAGGCAAGTCAGCTTTATTTCTATAGCGCTTTCAAGCTGCTTTGAAACAATCTGAATTGTATAGTTATAACATGAAAATAATGATTCAATGATGCAAAAATAATTAAATTATAGAATAAAGTAGCACTGTTTAGCAGAGGGCAGTTCAATTGTCAGTCGAGAACATGCAAACAAACCAACGTAGTGTGTTTATGTTTCCAGGCAGAATCTCAAGTCAGAGTGTGGATCAGATATTTATTCCATATTTACACCTGAAACATATTTTACCATTTTAGAATTTTGGTTTGATTCTATTTTCTTGTTTATTTATATAAAGCTGCTCTAAAACATTTTAAAAAATAAAATAAAATAAAATAATAATAATAATAATAATAAATATATATATATATATATATATATATATATTTTGTGTGTGTGTAAAGCATTACAAAAATGTGATTTGAACTTGTTTAGGGATATATATATATATATATATATATTTATTTTTGTGTGTGTGTGTGTGTGTGTGTGTGTGTGTGTGTGTGTAAAGCATTACATAATAAATGTGACTTGAACTTGTTTAGGGATTAGGGATATTTTGCATTGATGATAATCAGACCTCTTCCCCTCAAATTAAAAAAAAAGCAAGAAGCAATTTCATGAATTATACCAGAAACATATTTGACTTTTATAGAATTTTCTTTTCTTAAACTTGTAGTGTTATATTATAATTATTATGAACAAATTCAATTAGGTAAATCTGTCATAATTACACATGAAGCATCAAAATAAAAAAAATGCATGAAATAAAGGATATTTTTTAAAACCATTAACATTAATAAAACCTCCATTCCATTTCAATGGAAGTAAAATAATGTCAAATGTTTTTGAAACAAAATAGCTTGTTGAATAGCACTACTTATAAATATGCATTGCATTAACCCCGCTTAAATTTTAATGCATTGTATTTTTCACAAGTCTCTCACCCACTGCACTATAGTTTTCTTCATTAACAGCCGCTTGCACCCCCTGCTGGTGAGGTACACTAACAGCCATGGAGATTATCAATCGGCACTGAATGGGTGAACCATTTTTTTTTTTTGTGGGAGCAAATTTGTAAAGCGAAATAAAATGGACCGAAAAATTGCCAGTCGAATATTATAGGTTGTATTTTTAAACAGAATGAACCTTTTGGAAGTGAAATTTGAAGGGTGAATATGGATTATTGAATTTTTAATAATGAAAACGTGAAATGTTTTGAATTGAATTGATTCACAGTTCAAATACACAACCATGTTGAAATTCAGCCCATAAAAATGCAATGCATTAAAATATTTTTGCATATTTTTTCCATATCATTTTAACTTAATTAGATGTTTTGGAGGGAAAATGTGCTTAATGATGATAATATTGATAAACCGTAGAATAAATAAATAAATAAAAAAGGTTTGAGATTCACTAAACCGCATGAAAAGTATAAAGGAAATTAAGATATAAATATATATCTAGATTTCATGGGCACACTGTCAAGACAAATCTGAAGGACAGATGATGGCAGCAATGAAGACATAACAAGTATTTGTACTCTCACAGATGAAGGAACTGTGCTTAATATCAATACTCAGCACAATCCTGTGATTAGAAAGTCTCTGTAAGTATGTTGTTGAATAAAGGAGCTTTTAAAGGTCCTAAAAAGGACAATTCTGGACTATTTTGAATGCTGAACTAATGATAAATTATCATTTACCATCCATATCTTGGACCTTTCATGCCAGTTTAGACATTTGTCAATTGGATCAAGCATTCCAAAGAACAAAAGGGCACTTTTGTGAACATGAACACAAACTTAAGAGAGCAAAATATTTGCAAAATGATATTTATATGGAGCCATTTGACACAGTTTGTGTGTGTATGGGCCCCATCCCCCAGGATCTGCATTGCAGCAGCCGATGCATTGGTGCAGAGCTGCGCGTGTGTTTGTCACTCCAGCGCTCTCTGTAATGACTGTGCAGCGGTGGGTCCAGTGTTGCCTGATAATGTCTCATTGGTATTCAGTATATAAGGCAATGAATGTAGTCCCTGAACGACTGCCCCTCTTTAGTACACTTCATACATTCACATTAGCAAACCTACACACACACACACTCAGATCTGAAAACACAATAGGGAAACTGTGTAAGTTAAATACTGTGAAGGCCTTTGAAGAACATATTGCATGCAAACAGACCCTTACTGTATATACAAAGCGACTTACTGGGGGTGTGCATTTTGAATAGTTGCAACTTGCATTCAATTTTATAAGTCTGTGAGAGTAAATATTCTAACTGTAGACTAAAGATCTATTCAAAAAACTTTTAAAAAAAAGACAGCATTTGAGGCATTATAGACACTGCTGATGTGAAGGATGTTCCAAATGGTAAGTCGCAACGTTATTTAACGTTTTATTTAGTTAAAGCTACACTGTGTAACTCTTTTAATTTATTCTTAGCTAAAAACACTTAGTTCTTTCAAAAATATATGTGCTCATTAATGTATATTTACTCCGTTCAAGTAATAAAGTATTCTCGTGAGTGTATAATATGCCATTGAAAATACATACGGGTAAGGGGTTCATGTTGCCCCTCCATCTTGAAAGTACATTAGCCAAAGAGGGACATACCCGTTAATTCAAGCTTCGCCTTTCGTGTTTACGTTTCCAGCCATGTTAATCTTGGACTACATTGGCCACCGTAGGAGTTAAAACGAAATCGGAATTGAGAGGAACAGAAACTAATATTCACTGGATGGTCATATACCTTTTCACCACTAGATGGGGGTAAAAATCACACAGTGTAGCTTTAAGAAAAATGCTGATGATTCATTTACTTGCATTTTATTAATTAATGTAAAAATAAAGCTAGTGTACCCAATATTGGAGTATATCATATCAAGTGTTTTAATTAGTGTGATGCACAGAGTTACCCATGTAGAGCATTTCAAATCAGACACAAACAAGTCTCTTTTTCAGTTTGGATGTTGCCTACACTCAATGAAGATATACCTGTATAGGCCAACATTTAAGATTTACCTAATTACTAAGGATGGGCAATGATTAATCGCGATTAATCGATAGCAAAATAAAAGTTTATGTTTACATAATACATGTGTACAGGGCCGGCGCTAGCCATTTGGGTGCCCTAAGCACAAATGCTTGGTGGTGCCCCTTTATCCCCCCTCCCCAACCACCCACTCACCCAAGGAATAACAACCATTCAGAATTTCTTAGTTAGGTTTTCTTTAGTTCCAAAATAACTGCTGCAATTAAATACATTTACATTAACAATGGCACCAAATATGAAAAGAAATAAATAATAAAAAGGTTAAAATTATAAATACCAAAAACCACCACAATTACTAAAAACACATATTTGGAACTGGCTACAACTGCTGGTTGATGGTTCTTCCTCCTGGCCTTGAGTTGCTCCTTGCATGTATTTTAGCATTGACCCTGCATTCAGAAATACGAGACAAAATATTCAGGGATTCTACTGAATCAATTACCATCATACAAAAATATTGCACACATTAGTCTTTTATATAGGCCTATGTGTCACTGGAACATTTAAAATTCAAAACTCCATTCTACCTTTAAAAGGGGTCTGATGAGGCACAATATAATAATTCTGTACATAATTTGTAGGGCTGGGAAAAGATTAATCGTGATTAATCACATCCAAAATAAAAGTTTGTTGTGTCTACATTAATGATATAGGCCTATGTGTGTGTACTGTGTATAATTATTTTGTGTATATAAATGCACATTTGCATGCATGTATTTAAGAAATATTTGTAATTTATATATAAAATATTTTAATTTATTTATGATATTAATTAACTATAAATATATACAGTATATACATGCAAATATTTCTTAAATATATACGTGCATATGTGTGTATATTATATGTACAAACATATTATACACAGTACACTCACATATCATGTAGAAACTTTTATTTTGGATGTGATTAAGCTTTTCCCGGCCCTAATAATTTGACAACTCCATATGAAAATATACAAACACTGAGATTGTGTTTTTTTTTTTTTTTTCTCTAATTGCAGTTTCGCCAATAGATGTCGCCCTTGGGCCTTTGACCGCATTATCCGCATAGAACAACGACGAAAAAACGTATCTAAGCGGTCTTCCTTTTCTTCTCAAACAAACTAACTGCATCTTAAACAGCCCAAGTTAAAAAATTTCACGGGTGAGAAACCCCCGGACCCCCGTTAAAATAAAAGATTCTACATGCAGGGCAAAGCCCTGGATCATTTGCACAACTAGCGACGCCCATCTGGACATCATGCATACACGAAGCAAGGGCACCTACAAAACTAACACTTTTATTTAAAACATTGTCTTACCTGCACACGAGTATCATCCCGCTGTCTCTTCTTTTCCCTTTTTTCCGCCCCCGACTCTTGGTGCCTTTTCGAGGCCATGTCTGATGTCGATCAGGTGTCTGCCAAATTTGACACTGATTGAGGAACATACCACTGCGAGGTGGGGAGGGGGGGGGGGCACCAGAGGGAGACTGGCACAGGAGATTCACCTTTTTCTCCACTAATTTGGTCTAGGCCTATATTACTTTTGTATTGCTTTGTATATTAACATGCTTTAGACATATTTTATTTGTTATTTATACTAGTAGCCTATTGTGATGATTTTTCACGACCCAGATTTTTTGGTGCCCCCCCAAGCACTTGGTGCCCTACGCGCAGTGCGTGATGTGCGTGTGCGGAGCGCCGGCCCTGCATGTGTATGTAGTGTGTATAATTAATTTGTATATATAAACACACACACATGCATGTATATATTTAATAAATATTTGCATGTATATACTTTATATATATTTATACATAATTAATATCATATATAAATTAGGGCTGTCAGTTTAACGCGTTATTAACGGCGTTAACGCAAACCCATTTTAACGTCGTTAATTTTTAACGGTCTTTTTGTCCTAGCAAACTTTGTATTTTTTTCACATGCTTTTGCAACAGGACGCGGCATGCGTCATGATCCATTTCGGCGTTTCGCGCTCGTCATCCACTCAAAGCCGGCTCGCAAGCCCAAACGTGTGCAGCGCAAGCCATTGAGATGAAAGGGTTTCAGAGCGCAGCGCGAGGACGTTTTGTGCCGCACACACTCGTTTCGGCTTGCGAGCCGGCCAAATAGTAATGTTACTTTTGAGTGGATGAGCGCGAGACGGCGAAATGGATGTCCTAAAATTATGAATAGAAAGTTTACTTTTAAAAAGTTGCCATATTGTCCCATTGACAAGACCAAGTGATCTGTGTTTTGTCGTTGTGAACTGAGTGAACTATCATCATCGCAGCACATCCAGTCTGAAACACCACTTGATGATGGCCAAGCAAACACACACACACACAGATGATGCGAATTCTCCGCCCCCTCGCCAATATTAGGGCCTCGTCAGTATTTCTTTCACCCTTTTATTGATAGACAGTGTTACATTGTGTGAGAGATTATTTGTAGGCTATGTTAATGTGAAATTGAACACTATTCCAATGTTATTTTCAATAATATTTTTTCCACTTTTCCGCTTTTCCATGTTGATAAGAGCATTAAAATGAGAAAAAAATAATGTAACAAAAAGAAATCAAGAGACATTTAGAATAGATAAAAATGTGCGATTAATCGCGAGTTAACTATGACATTAATGCGATTAATCGCGATTAAATATTTTAATCGTTTGACAGCACTAATATAAATATAAATATTTGACATATTAATAACACATTTTTCTTAAATATATACATGCATGTGAGGGTATTTCTATATACAAATTAATTATTCACACTACACACACATATCTTATGTAAACACAAACTTTTATTTTGCTAGCGATTAATCGCTGCCCATCCCTACTAATTACATCAAATTTTCTTTGATTTTGGATCTTGCTTGAACAAGCCATAATCAAATTCAATGACTTTTAAACCGATTCAACTTAATTGTTTGCACTATTAACAGACTTATTCTGATGCGAAGCAATTTTAATAAATACATTTTGAAAATATGATTATCTGAAAAAAATAATAAACTATGCCGTGATTATTTTGTGTGTGTGTAGGAAGTAGGCGACAAAACGGCTTACTGAACAGAGCTTATTCAGAAAAGCCTCGTTCTTAAAAGAGAGATCTTGAGATCTTGCCAGACATAACTGGCAACAGACTACTAAAAACAGACTCCTCTGACGGTTTGTACTGACCTGGTCTGTCTGGTGAAGTCTCTGCAGCCGACGAACCGAACAGGCGTGACATGAAGCCTCGTTTCTGGGCTTGAGGAGGTGCGGGTTGGGTAGATGCGGGCACCGTTGCTGCGGGCGAAGGCTCCAGGCTTTGAGATGGTGTTTGGGGTGCATGGGCGGCTGTGAGCTGGACAGGAGGGTGTGGTATAGATGGAGGTGGTGGCGGGGCGGATTGTGTCTGGATAGGGACAGGAGCCTGTGGTGTACTGGGGCTGGAGTTACTGGGAGAGGCGGCACCGGGCAGCACCACAGGGGACTGGGACCCTGAGGACGGGCTCTGGCCATTAGAGGGCGCTGGAGATGCATAAGCTTTGCGTGACTCCATCATCTCAAGAAATCTGCAAAGACAGCAGTGAAATTTGTAAAAAAAAATGTTGGTCAGGTGATAAAGGATTTTAAAGGCCGATACCGATAGAAATATTTTTGGGTTTTAAAATCCGATATATCGGCCGATATTTATTTGTATATTTTTCAGAAACGCGCAACAAAACATGAACAGATTTCCCTAACATTAGTTATTTGTAGTTATTTATGAATTTTAACAAAAATAATATGATAATGCATTTTAAAAAGAAACTTGCTTCTTTTATTGTCACAACAGAACAGACTGATGGGAGTTGCATTAGCTAGCTTTGTGGTTAGCTAGTCTATGATGAGCCATAATTTAGTAATGGATAACGTCATACTGCAAATTGCACAAATTTTGTCATGCTTATTACAATTAAGAGAACTGATGGGGATGATCTTTTAATTGCTATTCAAGCAATATATGTATCGTGACCAACTCAACGATTGTTGCCAACAGGGTTGGTGTAGAGTGCCCTCTGGTGGACAAACTATAAAACTCCAACTCTCATGACATGGTTCAAGCGTGTTTCGTCCATTTTTATTGTATTTTTGCAATATTCATTTATCGGCCATTATAACTGCCGATACAGATAGTTTGGAAAATGCCTAATATCGGCCGATAATATCGCTCTCTGGCTCTAATTCTTATCTCAGTGGTTGGCTCTTGGCCATAGTGGGACTTTTGCTTTGCTAAACTCTGAATCTGTGTGACATCTCATGATGCTCTACAGCAGGGGTTTCCAAACTTTTTATCAGCTGAACCACCGACACTCACATGTCATAGTTCTGGTCCTCCGTCTCCTGCTGAACACCGAGTTCCTCTAGCGTGGCATCGATGTCAAGCTGATTAGTCTCCAGTTGTCGTAACAGAGTCTCCCTCTGCAAACACAAAAACACCACATCCAACATACTGTAATCTCTCAGGACATCAACAGTGACCTCATTTTGACTCAAGAAAGCACTGCCCTGCTTTATTATTTCTAAATCAGGAGGACTGGAAATGAATGGGTAGAGAGGAGCACAAATCTCTTTCATGAGCACCAGCTCAACAGAAAAACATGCACTACCCAATAACCGGTTTCTGACCGAACTGATACTTGGGGTTAGAAGTTTGTTCAAAGTCACGGAAGTTAGAAGTGGCCTTTAAACTAACACTGAAAAAGATAGCAAGGAGAGGAAAACAGATCTAGGCACAGTACTGAAAGTTTAATGAGTTTGACACGCTGTGCTTGACGGGCTAATTCTGAGCAGTGGGATTTGCATCACCTTTACAGCAACCAGCTGTTCAACTATCAGCAATGTTTGCAGATAATAAAGACTTGTGTATAACAGGGGAAGGACAACAGTGTCCAACTTCAGTAACCAGAACTCCATGAAACCAATCCATGTACAGAATCTGGTAAAACGTTTATGAATTATTGTGGTTGCATCTGTAATATGATGTTGCATATCTCTTGAGTTTTATTATCAATCTATGCTGAGCTGGCTAATTGAACAGAAGTTGATCAGTGAAGTACAATAAACTGAAACCAGTCCGACAACCTACTTGCTGTGGAGTAACCTTAGGAAGAGAGGCCGACACACAAGACAGCGGTCGCCATTGATCCCCAGGCTAATTTCAACATTCCTAATTTATTAATGCCATTCAGCCGGTCTCAAGAGACATATAAGAAGGATGCATATAAAGGAACAACTTTAACGGGCCTTTTTACAAAGTCTCTATTTTGTTTTTGGGCTCCATGCTTTAATGATCAAAAAACACATTATTTTCCCTATGTTCTCAACTGTTTAGTTCCTGTCTCTGTGAAGCCCCTCCTTCTGAAAAGCACAATGTGCTCTGATTGGTCAGCCTGGACTAGTGTGTTGTGATTGGTTTCCCGCCCCTTCCCATTACCGCCAGTTTCAACACTACCATCTCAACCAGGCCACGCCCCTTTATTTTGCATATGCTTTGGGCGGGAATTATTTATATGAGGAATATTGTGACGTGTTCATTCCCAGAAGAAAACTCAAGACCATAATGGAGGCGTTTCAGGGAGTTCAGAAACCGTGAGCACTAATATAGGGAATAGGTCTGGCTGCTTTGTAAATTTGCAGGTCTTTTCATACTCAAACAGCAAATGAAAATTTAAAAACGCATATTAGGAAGCCTTTAATGCTACTGCTAATGTTAGTCCTACCATGACTGTAAGACTAAATCTGTTGGGCAATGAAGCAGGGGACTCTGTAGCTCAGCTGCCTACTGAGTGCACTAGAGAAGGTCCTACTAAAAGCTTCCCACAACTTTTGACCAATTCGTTTCCATGATTTTTTAAATATCAGTGTTGTTACTGTTAACTAAAACTATAATGATTACAAATATTTCCAGTAATTGAAAGCGAGCTGAAATAAAATATAATATGAATATTATTTATTAGATGAAAACCTTAAAGGATTTTTTTTTTTTTTTTTTTAGAAATGTTGTCTTGGAAAACTACCTGAAAAAAAATAAGTTTACTATAAAATTAACGTACTGAAGTACTAAAACTAAAATAAAAACAAAAGCAAAATAGAAATAAAAAACTAAAACTAAGACAACTAAAACTTATTATAAAATGAAAACAATATAAATGTAAAAACTAATTCAGATAAATAATATATTATATTAATAAAATGATTGCTTGAATTGATTAAATCATGAATAATGAATAAATCATTTCTAGGTACGGAAATACCCACATCTAAAATATTTAAAATGGAAGATTCCACTAATATATTATTGCCTGATTTTCCCAGGTTTCCTGTGAATAATATTATAATTTATTATAACTTTTGCTTGCATACTTGAATAGACGCAAATTAGGAAAACTACAGAGGATCTGTTAGAGCAGGAAGGCAGATCTCACGAGCCCTTGCCGTAATCCACAAACTCTTATATCTCTTAAAGAGCCCCTATCATAGCATTTGAAATGTTCCAATTTTTGTTTTGGGAGTTCCCAAAAACAGTTTAACATGCATGCAAGGATAAAAACACTTTATTTGTCTTATAATATGCATTTATTTTTACCCGATTTGCTTAACGACTCCCAAATGATTCGTTCGACGATTCCTCCTTTGAGTGACGCGAATCTGCGGCGATTGGTCACATGACCCAGTCAGTTGTTATTGGTAAACCATAGGCAGAGACTGTCGGCAACGGAACGTCCATAACCAGGATTATAGCTTGTCAAGTGTTGAAAATTGTATATATTGTTTGAACAAACATGTCAGAAAAAGTCACTTTCCGCACGGCCCCTTACTCGCGTCTCCGTCAAGAGTGAGCTTTCCCGGCGAAACTCACATTGCTGCAGCTTTTGAGGGACAGTGCTTATTATATAGAGCGAAGCCATATTTGGCAAAGTCGTTTAGGAGGTAATTGGCATTTTTCAATGAATGTCTGGTGAATATCAAAAACAAAACTAACTTTATCCCGCTTAGAAGCTGCGCGGAGTGTACACAACACACACAACACAATATAACTATATTGTGCAAGCTACAGAAAACATAACAGCAAACATTATTAATAATACTTACAGATTGTGATTCGGAGGACGAACCTGATCCATTTACACTGGATACTGAGCCCTCCTTCAGGAACAACCGGCTTGCGATTCCACATTTGAATTCTTTTATGTTTTTGAATGATTCGTCATTAAATGATCCGGGCGTTGCAAATATGAACTCTAACCACTGATTCTTCACATGCTCAATGGAAACAAGTGGCTGAACTGTCTTTGCAATGTAGAACACAGCGTCTTCTCGACATGACGCTATTCAGCCGAAGTTTTTGAATGTGTTCTAGACTTCAAGTTTGCACTCCCGTCTGCACGCGCAGTTGTTGGGAGCGGCCAATGAGCTAATGTTTTGTATCTACGTCACGACGAAACAGCTAATGACTCGTTTCAAAAACAATTCATTTCACAGACTCAGCGTCGACTCTCACTTTTGAAAGACAATAACTTTATATACGGTGCACTTTCAGATATAAATCTTTGCAGGATGTTTTCATTCCCTTAGAGCTATATTCCACACTATATGAACAGTCATTTTCAAAAATCCATGATAGGTGCTCTTTAAAACATATGAACTCAAATCCCCATGTAAGATATGTGAAGATTCCACTTGAAATGACCTGAGAGCAAACATGACTTTGAGAGTTTCCTCTGACCTGCAGCTGCAAGAATGGGATGTTGAAGAAGCGATGGAGGTATTTGAGACCAAAGCCGTTTTTCATGGAAGACTCGGCATAGTGGATGTAAGAGGAGCCCGGAGGTCTAAAATGAAAAAGGATTATGGGATTAGGGAAAAGTTGGCTGATAAGTGACACATACATTATTCATAAGAGCTTTGCATTGTATATTTGGAAACATTTCTAAAGCAGCATTATATTATTTTAGAAATTTTGCTCTACAGTTGGGAAACAGTATTGTCTTCTACTACTGTCGTAAAATCTGCCATGGTTACACTAGGGAATGCATTTGTTGACAAGCGATACCCCCGAACTCTGCAAAAGGAATGAGTTCTCACATTTTGGGCAGACTCCAATGTTGCATGTGAAATGTCTTGATCCCAGGTACATTGGCATATATTTCAGCATGTCATATGAATATAGCTTCAGGGCTTTATCTTTTTCAAACGTCAAAAGATCGCGTAGCTCACGTTTACAAGCAACCATCGTCTTTATAGTAACGTTAGCCTATTGGCTACTGTTTTACATAACGGATATGCTAATTCAATGTTTGTGTGGTAGATAATTATCGTCAATATCATAATATCAAGCTACCATAGATTCTGCATTAATTTTTAACTTAATTTTTCAAGAATTGCACTTAGAAACATTCTTACAAATGTATTAGCATTATATCTTAAGAACTTTCCTAACTTCTTTCTAAAGAAGATTTTTTGTGAATCAGGCCCCTGGTTTTGAAGGTTACAGTCACCACGATTTCAAAATTTACATTTATATATATACAGTATATATATTGACTGTTATTGTATTTTATTTTAATTCTAAACTGTTTTAATTATTTACTGTATTTCATTTTATTTTTTATTCTGAACTGTTTTAATTATTCTGATTTCTTTTGATTATTTTAATTTCTTCTAATATTGCAAGTAATTATTATAAATGATTTATCCATGCACATTTCCCAGATGACCGATTGCACCTTTAATCAAAATAAATTCCCCTCCCTCTTTCAGTGACATCTCTTCTCTTTTCTAAAGACGAGGATGGGACAACCTGTCACTCACATGAGATCCACCAATAGCAAACTACAACCATCCGATCAATCCCAATGGACAAAATCAAGTCCCGCCCTACAGTTTTTCTTGTTTGAGAAGCCGTTTCACTCCGATATACGACACTAGAGCCAGACTGATAAAGGATTTTGAAGGCCGATACCGATTCAAAAATATTTGTTGGTTTTAAAATCCGATATATCGGCCGATATTTTTTTTTATTTCAGTAACGCGTAACAAAATATTAACATATTTTCCTAACATTAGTTCTTTATTTATGAGTTTTAACTAAAAAAATATGATAATGCATTTTAAAAAGAAAATTGTTTCTATTGTCACAGCAGAACAGAGGAACATCAAAATATAATAAATTTCTGATAAATAAAATAATAATTAGTCCCTACATTGCCTTATAGTTATAAGCTACCTTATAATTACAATGTCAGCTTGCTTTACCTGCACTTTTTGACAACACTCATGACATGGTTGATCCGTGATTCGTCCATTTTTATTTTTGAAATATTCATTTATCGGCCATTATAACTGCAGATATCGATAATATCGGCCTGCCGATATATCGGTCTGGCTCTATACGACACAATAGGAAACAAAAGACTTCCGTTTCACAAGTTCTTCTTACTTTAATCTTATATGCTCACCTGTTCAGACTGTTGATAAAATCTCTGATGTCATCGGGTAAGATGACCCTGTGCTCGCCCATGTCCCGCTGGTTACCCAGGACACACACTGGGACGTGCGTTGGCACTTTTGGTAACTCCCTAAGGATGTAGTTGAACGTCCTGCAGTAAAGACAGAGTCTGTGATTCACATGAAACATGCATTGATGTGATTTTCTTGTGTATTGCACAGTTTTATACATCATAATCTAAAAATGTGAGTTTCAACATTCAGTACAGTTGAAGTTATTTTTGAACTGATTCATCAAATAATCTTATTTGCATTATTGGCCACCACTCCCAGACTTCATACCACCCACATATGTGTTGGGGGAAAAAAGCATAGTGAAATGCCAGGATGTTATTCGCAAGCAGCATGGAAATGCAAAGCAATAAATACATCATCTTGTGTGTTCCTCTTTACTGGCCTGAGAGCGGCATAAATACCAAGCTGAAATATAATCAAGGTTATTCGACTGTTTACCTGGCAAGAGATTGGGATTAAACATGGACCAAGAAGCTTGAGAAAAATCAAGATGATCACAGCCAACATTCTTTTAGTGATATATATATATATATGCAACTTATATTTAAATACATTTTCAATATATACATTTTAACTTTATTATTATTTGAAAATGTGGAAAATAGTCACAATAACGAAAGTGCCCTTTCAAATCAACACAACACTGAATAATTATCTCAACAACTCAATTAGTTATTCCAATCACGCATATTTGAGACTTGTACACACATTGCAGGCATATATGAAGAACCGAATGAGACAGCGAAGAATCAGATCTTAAATATTAGGGATACACGATATACAGTATATCGGCCAGCATATCGGTATCGGCCGATATATGTTCGTTTTTAATGTTATCGTTATCGGCCTGGTAAGAAAATGTGGCCGATATATTAAAGCCGATAAATAATGTAATATTCCCTTCAGCTGAGACACTTGTTGAGCACTGTTTGTTTTTTTATTTTCTTGAAATATTATTGAAATCTCTTTAAAAAAAATGAAAATATGGTTCGGTACAACATGTGCAGCGCAAATCTGTCATATCGTCTATACAACGCTATAATGAGAACATCATTATAATCGTGCGCTTGGGACATGGATTTAATTGTGAGACTTTTGTTTTTGTAATCAGGCTCTCAAAATTAGATCAAAATTTGGATTTAAATTTATCGGCCGATATATCGGTTATCGGCTTTCAAATATAAAGAATTATCGGTTATCGGTATCGGCCAAAATGTTCATATCGGTGCATCCCTATTAAATATGTTAGATCTTGTTATGCAATCCACAAAGAATGGGGCACTGATTAAATGTTGGTCTAAACACACAAAGTACCTACTGGCCACAACTTTCCCAATGGTTTAAGCACAAATTCAGCCCTATCAATAAAGCAGAGCCCAGGTTTGCAAACAACAGGCACCTGTGACGGTGTGCTTGGGTCAAAAAGTAAAGACCTGTTATCAGAATGCAAGGCAGATCCAATGAGCAGAGCGATAAACAGAGTCAGAACCTTTAAGAGACACTGAGCTGCAGGTATTGGTTTCATTGTGTTCTTTGTTCCTGACAGTGGGTTCGACTTTACTGTGAAAGAGACGCTCAATGACCCGCTGCAACCCAACGCCCAGTTCCTCCACCTGATCCTGACCACCGATAGCTGTCAGACCAAAAAAGAGGGGCGGCGGGGCGGGAACGGAGTGGTGAAGGGACAGGAGATGGCGATGGAGAATGAATGTGGGGTTTGGAGAGAGTGAAAAATGGAACGAATGGCAGATTCCTTACCACTGTTTGGTGATGTCAAACATCATGATCACACCATTGCAGTTCTTATAGACATCCAGGAACTCTGCGTCGAGAGCCATTTCCGATTCAGACTGCACAGAGAACAAAACATCTCCAAGATTACCATGTTGTTTCCAGCTGACTGAACATTAAAATGATCTTCCATCATGAGATATTGGAAGATGTCAAACGATTAATTAGTAAATGAAATGTATAACACAATAACAAAACATTTAAGTATTAATCACATGGTAATTGTCAAGCAGACTTACAAAACAGTTTAAAAGTTTGCATATATTTAAAAAGACATTAATACTTTTATTCAGCAAGAATAAATTAAATTCACATTTTGCAATGTTACAAATGACTTCTATTTCAAATAAATGTAGTTCTTTTTAAGCAAGCAGCACACTTGTTTCAACATTGATAATAAGAAATGTTTCTTGAGCATCAAATTATTTTATTAGAGTGATTTTTGAAGGATCATGTGACACTGAAGACTGGAGTAATGATGCTGAAAATGCAGCTTTGATCACAGGAATAAATTAATTTTTTACCATATATTCAATAAGAAAAGAGTTGCAATAAGTTACTATACATAATATTACTTTTTTACAGCCTTGGTGAGCAGAAAAGACTTATCAACCCCAAACTTTTTAACAAACAGCAGTGAATACCTCCTGAGGTTCGTTTTCCAATTTCAGATTCTCTCCGCGTCTTTTCCCTTTCCCTGCAGTGGTTGGAGAAACACAGTTATTACAATTAGTGTGGCTGCACTTCAGCAACTGTGAGTCTGAGATACGACACGAGTAATACTCATATGCTTATTCATCAAGAACTCACCAAAGCAGACAAACTAAAATGATGGTGTCCTCTTACACAAGTTGCTCTGAATCTTTACATGTTTTAACAAGACTCCTGGAACCCTGACTACTTTTGATTTTGAATTGATGTGACTGACCAGGTAAGATAAAGTATTACCCAGAAAAACAATGGGATGTTATTTGAACTTTCATTGATGTATTTGGCAGACGCTTTTATCCAAAGCGACCTGCATTGCATTCAAAGCATTCCATGCATTCCCTGGGAATCAAACTAATGACATTGGCATTGCTATTGTCACACTCTTAGAAGAAATGGTTCTATTTAGAACCAGAAATGGTTCCATCCCCCGCTTCATACATGGAACTCCAAAATGGTTCTATATAGAACCATTTTTTTTTTGGTAAAAGGTTCTATTGGCCATGTATGGAACCCCAGGGTTCTATATAGAACCCAGAGGAACCCTTTTTTAAGAGTGTATAGAACCTTTTAGGGGTTCCAAATATGTAGCGCTGATAGAACCTTTTAAAGTTCTATATAGAACCTTTTCTTCTAAGAGTGATGACACATTACTCAAACACACTATGAAAAAAAACAATGGTTAGCCATATCATGCTGGGGGAAAAAAAAACGTTTTAGAAGCTAAAAATGTTTCTTTGTTTTAGAGTTTAGGGTTCTTAATTGTCACCTTTTTATTTTTTGAATTCGTTACTGTCAAAAAATCCATTCAAAGCCATATCATTATTGATTTTCTGAAGCTCAACTACCAACACACTGTCAATGAGTACTTGATATTTTCTTTTTAACTTGATACTTCATTTTAACTTTCAAATTGTGACTGGTTTCCTACCAGTCATGTATTATTTTCTCTTTTCATTTTTTAACAGAATATGTAGCCTTAAGTACAGGTGTAACTCGAAAAACTAGAATATTGTGCAAAAGTTCATTTATTTCAGTAATTCAACTTAAAAGGTGAAACTAATATATTATATAGACTCATTACATGCAAAGTGAGATATTTCAAGTCTTTATTTGTTATAATTGTGATGATTATAGCTTACAGCTATGAAAACCTTTTCAAAATATTCTAATTTTGAATTTGGGGTTTTCATAAGCTGTAAGCCATAATCATCAAAATTATAACAAATAAAGGCTTGAAATATCTCACTTTGCATGTAATGAGTCTATATATTAGTTTCACACTGAAATCAATGAACTTTACATCGAATTTCACCTGTATGTGCTGTTTATATAAACTTCAATAAATATATCGCATGTTGATTCATTACTTTTGAAAACATTAGTTTTATATTAGATATTTTTATCTAATGATTTAGTAGAAAGTCTCACCCCTCCTTTTTATTCTTATTCTAGCTTATTTCAATATTTACACATATATAAACTGAAAAGGTCAAAAGCATATAGAAAACAATTAGAGTAGACCTGGATCAACAGCACAGCTCCTTGTGCAAATATGTTCATGGTAACCACAGTTTGCCCCTGTAGTTAATATAGATATCGTCACTGCAATAAACCCTTTTTTTTAATAACACTTATTTAAATAACACATTTTTTTAATGACACTTTTTTTTAAATAACACATTTTTAACAAAACTTATAATAAGGTATTTTAAAGAAAACTATGGTTACCATGGTAAAAGGTTGCAGTAATTCACAAAGGGCCAGATTTCCTAAACAGGTCACAATCCCATAAAAGCGCAGATGAGAATGGAAAGTTCTACGCATGATCTACTGACGACACACAAATTAAAGAACACATGGATCATTTTCATAATGACCAACACAATCTACCAAGAGCAGCGCAAATTAGTGTCTGGTTTCAGACATGCTTTCTTTAGGCGGTAAATAATACAAGTAAATTGTCTAACGCAAACCTTAGTAAATCACTTTTATGATGCTGTTTTTAATGTCTATGTGGTGTTTTTAATATGCTTTTAAGAACAACTTTGTGGAAATTCATAATTCAACACTATTTCTGAGTATTTTCTCCGTAAACCTGCAGTGGAAAATAGAGTTTCAAAAACACTGTTTTAATTCCACAGTGTTTCTTACGTCACAAACTACCTTGTAACCAATCAGGTCAACGTGTGGGCGGGCTTTAGCATATCATTAACTGTTGCGAAGCAGGGGAGTCTCAGGAGAAGACGGTATATTTTTCTGCCGATGTACATTTAGCAATTAGCAGGTGAATGGATGTTGTGATTAACTTTATGCCGTTAATCATTTCTAAGTATACATATTTTTAGAAGGCAGCTGTCCAGATGGTTTTTTTTAACATTGTGACAAATTTAACATTTTCTTTAAATTTTGCTTTTATCTTGTTTTAAATGTTCTATTCTTTTGGCTTTGCTGCTTTTAAATGTCTTGCATTTCTGTACTGTGTCCTTGAGTGCCAAGAAAGGCGCCTCAAATAAAATGTATTATTATTATTATTATTATAACATAGTCAAGCAAAAGGCTAATCATATTAATTACCGTAATGTGTCCGACGTTGTCGAGAGCGATACATAAAAGTTTTAAACGCATTACTATTCTGATACGACAACTTGTCGACGAGCCTGTATGATTGAGTGGAGGCGGGGCTCATTTGCATATTCATTAAAGTAAGGGTGTAGAGTTACATTCAAGCTATTTTAATGCAAAATACATATTTCACACAGGAAAAAAGGTTTTAAATAAGCCATTTTTGATGATCAAAGATGAGTTTTAAAATACAAAAAAAGTGGAGACTTTAAATTCTCTCCTTCTATAAATTTTGCATCTGAAAGGGAAACTCTTATAAATGCATATGCAATGAGGTCAACCGCAAAAATAACCCTGTCCAAGCCATTTCAGCGCTAATTTTTCACTGTGCGTCTTTAGAAAATCCTGACAGTGGCTTTTAATGCCAAAAGAGGGTTTGTGCTGGTGCAAGCTGATAGTAAATCTGGCCCTAGGAGGGAAAATAGAAATCTCTGGCATATCTGAAAGTAACATTGTTGTTCAATCACTATTTAAACCACAAGCTGAAAAATCTATTGAATTTCCACTTCATGCAATTTTAAAAGAGGGCTGTTTGCAATAATGAGACTAATAATATTCAGCAATATAATCAATTTGACAGCACTGAAACTATGGATGGGAATTGAACTGAGCAGGACTGCTGCTTATAACTGAATATAACTCATTTCATGTATGATTAACTTTACAGTTATTGGACTGAACTGAATCAAGACTGAGCTGAACAATGAGAGCTGCTTTACAGTAGAATCGAATTATGTTCCCATCATTGATCATTATTTTACCGTTTATCATCGTAACAATATAAAGCGCTATAGAAAAAAAGGTTACAAGACTTGACATGGTAGAAGATCATTTTAACAAGCTGTAAACATACATATGAATACAAAATGCAATCTATTATAAAAAAAAAACCCAAACATAAAATGCCCCCTATTAAAATAAATGTAGTCTGGGAAAAAGTGGCCATCTGATTTTAATGCAAGTACATTAAAATCTAGAGTCTAAGAACAGCACAGACTACTGAAGGCAATGTCTATTCTGGGCACAGTTTTATAAAGAAGAGAGGTGAAGACCACAGCACACACACACACACAATGTTTAATGTTTAACTACTCGACAACTAGTTCTCACCTACACCTTCTGGAAGAGGAAGCTTTTGTCCTTTAAGTATTTGCAGAACACAAAAATATAAGTAAAATACAACATTACTTCCTTTTCCTTCCAAGATCCTAAAATAGCAATTTCATTTGGTTTGTAGGGCCCTATGATTTCCGCGATAACAAAATCGCGGAATTGGCCAATTAACACAGAATCTAGTGTTAACGCGGAATTTCGTGGAATTTTCCATATTTGGTATGAAATTCTGTTTTTGTGTGGGAAATGAACGTATGTCTGGTGAAAATGCAGACCGGGGGAAGCAAATCTGGGCGACACAAACCCCTCAACCCGTCATTTCAGCTCCAATGATGAAATCAAAACAATGAAAGCATAGCGAAGCGGCTCTGCTTTCGTTGGCTAAAACTAAAAGTTAAGAAATTCAACGCTATAAGCCGTCAGTGCCGAGCCGAGCAGTTCGCACGTGACTTATACAGTGTTTCCCACAAATAGACTAATAGACTAAAATTCGCCGCCACGAATTAGTCTATTCTCCGTCTCTCTCTCACTCACGCACACACACGATGTGCATACCGCGTCTGTCTATGAGGTGCCGGACAAAAGCGAAGCGAACTTCGTGAAAGACAGAGTGTGACTTTATTAAAACTTATATAAACTAATATAATTTATATTACTGGACAGTTTAAAGCTCATAACCATATTTTGTTGTTACTAAGAGTGCAGTGTTATGTTGCATCATGCAGTATTTGTCCTGAAAAGGCTACTGAGTAAATGTCTGTATTACCTCAATAAATTTAAGGTCATTTCTAATTTATTTGTATTTTTTAATACATTTTAATATTAACTTTAAAAGCATTATTTTTACAACTAAAATAACAGTTAAGGGTAAAAAAAAAACACTAATTCCCAAAAATTAAAACGGAAAAAACGGAATTTGGGAAAAAATAAAACGGATTTCATAGGGCTCTACGTTTGCACTTAGCAGTGCAAATATCTACTGTGTGAGAAAAACAATTCAGGTGACTTCATTTTACACACACTAATTTTAATGATTGATGAACTCATTTTCAAAGTGTTTGCACTGGAAATAAAAATTTGCATCAATAGCCTCACTGCTATACTGAATGACATGAATAACCTCAGTCCAGTTCTGTCACTAGTTCCAGTGTGTTTTCCAAACACTCACCTTTGTCTACCACATCCCAGACCTCAACTTTCACTACATCATCTGTCGCTGTGAATATAAGCAAAATCAAAACACAGTTAGAAATGAATATACAGTCAATAAATATTGTAAACAGCTTCTGATACTTAACAAAAGTTGACCTATGACCTTTCTGATAGGGTAGTCTACTTACTAGGGCTGGGTATTGAGACAAATTTCACAATTCGATTCGATTTTGATTCACAAGCTTGCAATTCGATTCGATTTCGATTATGATTCAATTCAATTCGATTCAATTTTGATTATTTTGGATATCAGTTACAATAAATGGCCATTTTTCTCAAGGGAATCAAATCTCTTAACCAATGCTGTAAACTATAGGAGTCTAGTTGTAGCCTATAGGCTTCATTAGCCTAATATGAAGGTAATAATTAACTGTTTTGTAGCTATACAAACACTTAAATTACACTTTTATTTATTTTTATAATAAGAAGATTATATGAAATATAAACATTTAAATGGTGGCTGTCATAAAAACTTGCCAGATTTATTCAAATATGCATTCAATATTGAAGAACATTAAGATTATAATGCATATGTAATATGGTGTATATATTTAGCAAAATGCTCCTCTCTGGAGTTATTTTTTTCTAGCTGACTAACGAGTTTATGTGGATTTTCTGAGGTAAACATGACATTGATTACAAGCTGTTTAACTGACGTCTTTCCTCGGTTGAAACGCTGATTGAGCGAATCAATGTGACATGATACGGATTTCGATAAGTTGTTCTCTATCTTTTAACACACTTTCCGATGCTCGTTCATGTTTATTTGGCGCTGTAGCTGGTATTATTAAGCCGGAAGAGAGATCAGCGCTGCTGCTTCTCCAGAGCGATCTCACGCCACAGCGCCAAAACGCTATTTATGTTTTTGAATTTCTAAAGAAAATGGACGTAATTTGAAAATTGAGACTTTGTTTCATATCAATAGTAACAAAGGACAAAGATTATTGCGATTTTTTGGATGCGCGCAGCCGCGATACAATGTCCCATTCATTCAAATGAAACAGGACGACTAATCGATTCTTGAGATTTAAGAATGGATATCGGTTTGTAAAAATGAGAATCGATTAATATCGAGAAATCAATATTTATTACCCAGCCCTACTACTTACATTATTTTTGGTGTTAGAAAATAAACCACTTCCCGTCATAAAAGACCACATAATCAGTGTGAACGTAATTGATACTTACTTTTGTAGTTCCAGTGAATGCTGGTGACCTGGATCTCCTGCGTGGGGATGTACTCTTCCAGGAACTTTTTCCCTTGAAGTCGGTGCCAAAGTGCACTTTTACCGGTGTTCCTGTCCCCACGGATGACTATTTTCACTGAGAGAAACAAGGAGATAGGAGAGCACTGATGAAACAGTCCAAGTTTGAAATGAACTACCACAGGGCACTTCTTGTACATGGACAGATTTCACACTTACTATGTGCTAGATTTGTACTGATACAGCACATATCTACTAAAATGGCCTTTTCACAGCTGAAATGATTGGTATCTTGGGATATCTGCGTGTCTAAAAAAAGATACCTCTACCAAGGAAAAGCGACTGGAAAAATAGGCCAGTAGGTGGGTGATCGTGTATCATTCATGCATTTTTTATTAACACAGAGCTGTGGAAACAGCACAATGAGTATTCAAAGCGAGATCAGTGAAGAACCACCGATTGGCTCACTGATGCAGCATCACATGTCAAAACACAACTGCATCACACCAGCACGAAGGACTCGGTTACATCTTGTGCATTTAAGACAGAGTGGGCTCTTTATCTTCAACATTGACAATTGTTGTGATGTTTCAAATTTTCCAATGGACAGATCTTTAATTGTGTGTTTATTAAATGGTGGTGATGGCGCAGTAGATGAGACACATGCCTTTGGTGTGAGAGACCCGGGTTCGAATCCACTGTGAGACACCAATGTGTCCCTGAGCAAGACACTTAACCCCTAGTTGCCCCAGAGGCGTGCGACCTCTGACATATATAGCAATTGTAAGTCGCTTTGGATAAAAGCGTCAGCTAAATGAATAAATGTAAATGTAATAATTGTGCTAAATTGTGATAACTGACAGAAAATAAAGCCCATTTACATTTTTGCATTAATTCATGATAAAACCAAATTCACTAAAATACTCTGAACGACATTTTACCTTGGATTTCCATTAATGTATTTTTTTTACTACTGTATCAACATAAATTGAAAGCAGTACAGAAAAACTACCCATGATTATGTCAACATTTAAATAATACATTTTTTTCCCCCATCATGTTTTTTCTCTTTTGCGTTTCATTGTTATGACAATGTCACAATGAAACACTTTTATGAGTCCCATAAAGGCTTTCTTAAACTAAAATATTTGAATACATAATCGTTTCATATTTTAATACATTTCATATTTTTTTATTTATTAATTATTTTTTAACAATTCAGGGGTAAAATGTGACAAACATTTTTTAAGCATATCAAATTAGTAACCAAACTCCATCGCACACCTACAGGTGATAGGCGCGTCGGATAATAAGACCAGCTAGTCATTCAAGCAGATAAGGAACTCCCGCACACTATCATTACTTGCACTTTTCAATCAAGTTTATTCACACACAACGTTTCGGTCACACGACCTTCGTCAGGAGTACTCCTGACGAAGGTCGTGTGACCGAAACGTTGTGTGTGAATAAACTTGATTGAAAAGTGCAAGTAATGATAGTGTGCGGGAGTTCCTTATCTGCAAGCATATCAAATTAAACATGTCTCACAAATTTCCATTTGTTTTTAATTTGCCAACTAACTTTAACTTATCAAGTATTGCCATGTTCAAAGTGGATAAGTAAGTCAAATGGGTGAGTTCAATCTAATAATGTTCCCATTTTACATTATCTTATGCATAACTTCATGTGTTGGTTAATTGATTAAAAAATTACAATTATAATAGTTTTAAATGATCTTAGAATAAGTGACAAGGTATTTCTCCTGTTTGTTGTTTGTAAATTATGTTTTTGTTTCTTTTTGATAGACCCATGTATCTGAAATAAAGAATTCAACAGTGTAATACTTTAGACAAACCACAAGGGAAAAACTGGATGTTTTCCCAAAAGAAAACAATGGATGTCTTTAAAACAACCGAAAACTATTTATGAAAGGCTCTACTTAAAAAAAAAATTTAAAAAAAAGAAGAAGAAGAAGAAGAAGAAAAACAAAAGGTTTAATCGTGAATCTCTTACTGTTATATTGTACACCCTTGGCGAAGCGTCTCTGTAGACTCTGGTTCATGGATTGCAGGCCGGCAGGAATATTTCTATCCCTGAGCTGCCCTGCTTCAGAGCCCACTAGCTTCTTCAGAGCGGTAAACATCTCGAGCAAAGGCTCTTCAACGGTCCAAGAATACTAAAACCGGGTCTTCGGGGAAACACTCGCTGCAGCGTCAAAGATCTAAGACTTAAACTTTCTTAAGCAAACATATTGACGGCAGGTATGATGTGGTCTAAAGGTCAAAAGTGGAGTCCGTCTTCAATATATTGAGCTCCGGAAGAAGGTTATTATGGTGCCAAATCCAGTCAGCGGTTACTTCAACAGTTTACAATCCTAAAATGTGCCATTTTAGCTACTGTAACTGTTGTGATGATATTGGTCCATCCTGGTCTACTGGCATCACCTGTGGAAAAAACATCAATTTCAGTCAAGATCAGCTAAATTTGACATTTCATAACATTCATGTCATTTACATTTTCTTTCAAGGAGCACAAAAGGAGATGTTTAGCCATGTTTACATTGTTCTTTTCAACATAATGAAAGCACAGTGACCAAAAAGGAAACAACAAGCAACATAAAAGTAGTTTTCCATAGCCATAAATTAAGTTTGTGTGAAAATTGGACCAAAATATAAGTTGGAAAAATAACTTGAATGGAAAAGAGCAGCATGAACATTTAAAATATCTCTCTTTGAGTGCCAAAAAGTTAATGATAACAGACTTTTGAAAGAACAAACTTGAGCCAAAATAACCTACTAAAATAATTAGAAACTGCTTTTAACAGCAGAAACAACAATAAGTAATAATATTTTATGTTTCGGATAACTGAGAAGCATAATTTTTAATTGCAGTTTTATTTAAAGTGCATTTAATAACTAAAATACCATACGAGGGCTAGGAGCCAGAGGGGCGTAAGTGGCATTTTGGGCGAACACGAGTTCTTTATATCAAAATAAAGTTCTCGATGAGCTCCAATGGTGCAAACAATACCGAGATCAATCTGCATTGAATAAAGCAACAAAAAGGTGTATCTGACATTTTTTTACATATTTTTTTTTAATTTGAAATTGTTTTAGAACATTCTGTTAATATTCCATACATTTTTTACTTAAATACTCATTCATGCAAGTATGCCTGTGGTTGCAATATTTGTGATTCAAGGTTAATAATACAGATGATTAAAGTGTAGTCAAAATTTTGTTTTGTCTCTCCTGTAATGTTTGTTAAAAGGCACTTACGCCCCTCTGGCTCCAAACCCTCGATATAAACAAAGTATTATAGCATCATATTTTACATTTACATCATATTAAAACATCAAAAGCAAAATAAACATCCTCACAACTTCAGATTAAGACAGAAGCCGACACATGATTTAATCAGTTGTTATTTATAAGCAGCAAAAACGATATGCATTTATAGTTAACTGTCTTTCTCACAAAATCCATATCACATAATGTAACGGCGTTACGTAACGTTAACCGCGATACAAAAATCTGGTAACAAATTCGTTATAGCTAACTTACGTAAAACAAACCAAGTAACGTTAATCAGATAATAGTTAACGTTACATTTTACAAAACATAATTTATAGCTAGACAACATTCTACTATAGTCTCTCAACCCAAATAAGCACAATCCAAAAGCATTCAGTCAACGTTAAGCTCACGAAACTAATATCTTTCTCACCTGTCAGTTGATCAAACCGCTGTAGGAAAGCTGTCAGTTTTACAACAATCTCAGAAAGGACCAGCTGTTAAATGTTCTTTTGCAGCTCCAGTCAGTCAGCAGAGGTTTATATTCACTCTGTAAGCTGTTAAATCCCGCTGAAGCTCTGACAGGGAAGTGTGAACTGTCCCTATGAAGGCTCTCATTGATACCAGTGTGTGTTTAGTGAGGTGAATTATTTGCCCTCGTCTGTTTGTAACGGCCATCAGCTTCACAGCTAAAGCGACGTGTCGATTACAACACAAACACACGGCGACGTTTCATTGACATTCAGAGCCGTTTTACTTTTAACAAACATTATTACCTGGCTCACGGTCTTCGCCTGCGATATTTCAGTCGCATTCTGCTGTCGGTTGAAGTTCACGATAGCCCATTTTCTGTGTTGATGGAAAACATTTCCTTAGCATCCCTCTCTCATCCCTCTATCAGCTGTGGAATGCTGTGAGGAGCGCGCGTCGGGTGCGCGCTTGTGCTGCAGCTCCTCTAGCGGTAGGATGATGAAGAGCGTCACTCTAGTGGTAGTGTTGTGCAACAGCAGCACTTTAGCGCCTCTAGTGGTAGAATGGAAACTATTATACAGTACAGTATGTGTAATTTCAGTCAACAGTACAGTATATTGCTATTATTAACTCCTCCCACCAGATATACAGTAGTCTAAACACCAATAAGAGCATCTTAGAATGCATTTTAATTTAAAAATGTTCCCCTCCCAAAAGTATTTTTCACAGGCCAAAATAAAATAAACAAAAATGAAATAAACAAAATAAAATAAACCCAAGTTAGGATGTATAATAAAATAAACCCAGGTTAGGATGATATATGGGATGCATGATACATGATATATAGGATGATATGATATGATATGATATATATATATATATATATATATATACTGTATTTTATTTTATTTTTATATTCTGAACTGTTTTAATTATTCTGATTTCTTTTAGTTATTTAAAATTATTCTATGTCAAGCACTTTGAATTACTATTGTGTATGAAATGTGCCAACTAACTTTATATATATATATATACACACACACACATATTATCTATCTATCTATCTATCTATCTATCTATCTATCTATCTATCTATCTATCTATCTATCTATCTATCTATCTATCTATCTATTTTACCTTTGTTATTTTTTAATATGATGCTGTTCTATCTAATTGTCTGTACAGACAATTATCGTCTGTACAGTAGTAATCAATATGCATATTATACATTTGTATTAATATCAGGCCTATGTACTTATATTTATTTAACGCCAACTAAAATGAAATAAACCCAAAATATCAAAATTAAATAAATGAATAAGTTAAATATAATAAGTAAAATGGGATGGATGGATGGATGGATAGATGGATGGTGCATAATGTAGTGTAATTGTGATGTGTTCATAGTGATTGTTATAATTATATATTATAACAAGAAAAGAAACAATGATACAAATAAAAATATGAATAGAATACATTTACATGGATTCATGTATTTATTATGTACTCTTTTTTTTTTTACCATGATAGACATATAGTCCTCCCGAAAAAAAAGAAAACTGCTTTAGATATCCAAAAGCCCAGTGCACGCTCACATTATGACGTAATCCTGTGAAAGAGCACGCGCTCTTCTCAACAATGTCGACCACCAAAACACAGCAGCCGCGCCGCGCGCCTCGATCCGTCACAGCGCGAGCACAACCGAGCAAATGAAAGCGAAATCTCATCGCGGTGCGGTAAGTGCGTCGCTCTCATAATCAATTGCCCGATTCTTATTTTATAGCATGCATGTTTATTGTCAGGCTCAACATATCCCTACATGCAAAAGAGGCGTGGCGGTACAGAACGGACGCAACAACCATTCGAGAGATGTTGCATTTGCTTAGCAACAGAGGAAAAGATGAGATTTGCAATTGTCAGCTGACTGTATGATGTATATCGACGGGCTGCGTGGTCGATATCTGATAAAAGTGCTTTCAGATATGCATGAAAGGTTCTAGTGTGTGTTTCCTGGGAATGTTTACACCACTCCACACTATTATATAGACCATTTGTGTGGTCTGTATGGAAACACGCACGTATTCAAGCAAAACTGAAACAGAAACAAAGAGATTGGGATTCATATTAAGAGAACTGCTGTGCATGCTTAGGTTTATTAATGCTTATCTAATTACTTTAGATAGAGTCTTTCCATTTCACCCTGTAAAGCACAACAATCTTATCAAACGCACGCAACTGTAGCCCACTAATGCACAAAGAATCATTTATTAATTTGTACGTAAAATGTTTGCAAACAGCAAGAAAGCTCTAAATATGTCACTAAAAGCATAATAGACAGCACAATATCTTTTAGGAACGCTACATTTTGCATGTCAGTGGTTATTATTAATCTTTAAAGTAAGCTTACTTGATAAATGGCTAGGAATATGATAATGTACAACATTGCAAGATCAGATCACCAGGATCTCGATGAAGCTGAGGGGTTTCGCATCAACCTGATATTGCTTATTAGTTCACTGATTATATGGCTACTCAGTACTCACCACTCACCAAATAATTACATACACGGACATAAAATATTGATTTAAAATTTTGGATTATGTTAGAAGAGCATTCCAGAGAGCTGTGTAATAAACGTTGGCTATTTTTATATTTGGAGCACTTTATCTTTGTTACACGTTACATATAGTTACTGTAGTAAAACTATTACATGCAACCAACCCTTTTTCCTAAACCCTAACCCATATAGTTCATTAACATTAAATGTATAACAAGGACACCTTAAAATAGAGTGTAACCCTCTTTATTATTACTGTAATATTACATTTTAAAATTAAGTAACTACATGTATAGGTTTAGGGTTTGGTTTATGGCTAGTTGAGAGTATTTATGCATCATTTATATTTATTATTACTTTAGTAACTGCATGCAACACAGTTAAATAAAGTGTTATAGTACCTAATCTTTCTTTGGAAACGGAATAGAAAGTCAGTGTTGTCATAAATAGATTTGCAGGTAGTTTTCAGCCCTCATGGGTTCTCTCTTGTTTAGACCAGGAACGTTTAGAGCGGGACATGGCTGCTCAAGAACCCTCCCCCCCGTCCTCCATGGAGAACAACAAGCCAGGGTTCCCAAAGAAGATCCTGGCCAACAAACTTGAAGACAAACATTTATGCAACTGCTGTCAGAACATTTTGAGAAGGCCGTTCCAAGCTCAGTGCGGTCATCGCTTTTGTTCTTACTGCTTCAACCGGGCTGTTGGGTAACGTTAATCCAGCCTGCTGATCAAAAACACATGCTGATAATAAATACAGTTCTGATGCAATGCATTTAAACAAATACATCTACCTAACTTCATAGGGGCGATTGCTATTCAAAGAATACTGACGCTTTGTGAAACTGAAAACTAAAAAATACACTGTCGTTCAAAAGTTTGAGAAGCCTTTTTGCTAACACTTTACTTGACTAATAAGGTGTCATGCCAGTCTTATGCACACCCCTTCAAGTAAAGTGTTACTGTCTTGATTAGCTTACTGTATTTTGGAAAAATGTCTTATGTATTTATGGCATATATGCTGCTGATTTGCTGCTCAAAAACATTTCTGATTCACATCAATGTTGAAAACTGCAATGGTGCGTGGTATATTTTAGTTTTCTGGATTCTTTGATGAATACAAAGTTAAAAAAAATAATCTTTTGTAACATTATAAATATGTTTACTGTCACTTTTGATGAATTTAAAGAGTCCTTTCTGAAGAAAAATGTATTCCTTTAAAAAACTTTTTACAACTTTTGAACAATAGTGTAATTTTGAGGTATAAAAGTAAAAAAAAAAACTTTTCTTCTGCTGTCTAAAGTTTGATCTTTGAATTTAAATGAATATCTCTAGGTTGTTAGTTAAATGAACTACCGGTTAACTGATATGCTTTTCCAATATTTGTATTGTCAAAAATTTATACCACATAAGCTATAGAAATTATTTATAATAACTGAGATAAGTAATAGTGCACTTATACGTTTTTGTATAAATTTAAAAGGAGTAGTTCACTTTTGAAAAAAAAATTGCTGATAATTTACTCACCCCCATGTCATCCAAGATGTCCATGTCTTTCTTTCTTCAGTCGAAAAGAAATTAAGGTTTTTGATGTAAAGATTCCAGGATTTTTCTCCATATAATGGACTTCAATGGGAACCAAACGGTTCAAGGTCCAAAAAGACAGTTTCAGCGCAAACTACAAACTATTCAAAGGGCTTTAAACGATTCCAGACGATGAATAAGGGTCTTATCAAGCGAAACGATCAATCATTTAATAAATAAATAAATAACAAAGATTACGTTTTATCAGCTCAAATGGTCGCCTTGCTCTGTTCTGTGATGAGCGTTCGTGACTCTCCTGTTCAAACTCGTTTATCAAAATGAACGAATCTTTTCTGAGTCAATTCACTCGTCTCATTCATTGAATGAACCAAATGGAATCGTTTAAAGCCCTTTGAATAGTTTGCAGTTTGCACTGAAACTGTCTTTTGGACCTTGAACCGTTTGGTTCCCATTGAAGTCCATTATATGGAGAAAAATGCTGGAATGTTTTCATCAAAAACCTTAATTTGTTTTCGACTGAAGAAAGAAAGACATGGACATCTTGGATGACATGGGGGTGAGGAAATTATCATATAATCAGCAAAAGTTTTTTCAAAAGTGAACTACTCCTTTAACACAATTTTAACTCAGAATTTACAAGCAATATTTGAAAATACAGATTGACTAGGGTGTACCGATGCCAAAAATACTGATGTCAAAATAGCAAAATCGGTCTCGCTTTGGATCTCTTTTAGATCTGGACCACAGAAATGTAATGCCTGTATCAAGGAGGACATCTTCGAAGAGCCCACGTCAATTCTCAAACAAGGCTGCGTAAGCACAATGCTATCAAGGGTTATGAAGACTTTTAAAATGACTTACTGCCAGACATTTATCGCACATTCCCTGTGTTTTGCAGGCGTTTCCCGACAATGCTGCCAGAAGAGAAGTTGAAAATCTTCCAGCTGTGTGCATCAACGAGGGCTGCGCCTGGAAAGGCAGTATTAAAGATTACGAGGTTGTGTGTTCATTAACATTAGCTTTATTTAAATAAAGTCTTTCAACACTTTACAACAACAACAAAAATGCACACAGTTTCTCATTCGGTAACTTGTTGTCATAACTCTGTTTTTTTCTGTAGTTGAGCCATGAGGGGAAGTGTGAGTTCATGATTCTGTCCTGTACCTTGTGCAAGGAGCTCATTAGATTTAACGAACAGGAACGTCATAATGAGCGTGTGTGTCCTGAGAGAACGCTTAACTGCAAATACTGTAAAGAACCATTTCACTTCAAAAACATCAAGGTAAGCGCGTGGTCTAAGAAAAGATGCGACGTGTTTGAGGGGTGAATAAAGATATTTATGTTATGAAATAATGTTTTCACAGGCCCATGATGAGATCTGTCCCAAATATCCTATGATTTGTGAAGGATGTGCGAAGAAGAAAATCCCCAGGGAAAAGGTGTGGAGTTGTCCAAGTCACATTGAACGTGAACATTGTTCTTCAGTAACACTCATTACTGACTTCTTTAAGATATGTATAGATCATTCCTGTGCAATTCTCTTTTGGTGTTTTTAGTATGTTGACCACATCAAGTTCTGCAGCAAATTCAGGACTCCGTGCAGATATCATGTGGTTGGCTGTGACATGTCAGTAAGTACAGTTTTTTTTTATATCGTAGCATTCAAACAGACCAAGAACTGAGTTCATGAATTGGCAGTCAATGCCTTTGTTTCTGTCTGTTTTCTTTGGAAATGTTTCGAATGTGTACTGAAACTTCATTTGCTCAGCATTTGTTCAAGAGCACTTCTGAAAACAAGTTTCCAAACCATAAGCATCGTCAATCATCAATGGATCCATCATGCCTTGTGGTGGTGTAATGGTGTGGGGGATGTTTTCTTGGCACACTTTAGGCCCCTTAGTGCCAATTGGGCATCGTTTAAATGCCACGGCCTACCTGAGCATTGTTTCTGACCATGTCCATCCCTTTATGGCCACCATGTCCCCATCCTCTGATGGCTACTTCCAGCAGGATAATGCACCATGTCACAAAGCTTGAGTCATTTCAAATTGGTTTCTTGAACATGACAATGAGTTCACTGTACTAAAATGGCCATTACATGAAGAAAAACTTCAACTTAAAAAAAATTAAGTTGGCAACTAAAAAAATTAAGAAGCCAACTAAAAAAAATTAAGTTGGCAACTTAAAAGAAGAAAGTTGGCAACTAAAAAAATTAAGTTGGCAACTTAAAAGAATTAAGTTAACAACTAAAAAAAATTAAGTCAACAACTAAAAAAAATTAAGTTGGCAGCTAAAAAAATTAAGTTGGCAACTTAAAAGAATTAAGTTGACAACTAAAAAAATTAAGTTGGCAGCTAAAAAAATTAAGCTGGCAACTAAAAAATTAAGTTGGCAACTAAAAAAAATTAAGTTGGCAACTTAAAAGAATTAAGTTGGCAACTAAAAAAATAAGTTGGCAACTAAAAAAAAAAGTTGGCAACTAAAAAATTTAGTTGGCAACTGAAAAAATTAAGTTGGCAACTAAAAAATTAAGTTGGCAACTAAAAAAATGAAGTTGACAACTAAAAAAAATTAAGTTGGCAACTTAAAAATTAAGTTGGCAACTAAAAAATGAAGTTGACAACTAAAAAAATGTAGTTGGCAACTGAAAAAATAAGTTGGCAACTAAAAAAAATTAATTTGGCAACAAAAAAATTAAGTTGACAACTAAAAAAAATGTAGTTGGCAACTGAAAAAATTAAATTGGCAACTAAAAAAATTAAGTTGACAACTAAAAAAATGTAGTTGGCAACTGAAAAAATTAAATTGGCAACTAAAAAAATTAAGTTGGCAACTAAAAAAATAAGTTGGCAACTAAAAAAAATTAAGTTGGCAACTAAAAAAATAAGTTGGCAACTAAAAAAAATTAAGTTGGCAACTAAAAAAAAATGAAGTTGGCAACTTAAAAAAATTTAAATACTAAACATGTGCTAAAATGACTAAAACCTTTATATTTTCTAAAGAATATGTGAGCTGTGCAAAACTCCCGTTGCATGATTTGAGGAAGAATAATTCATGTCTGTAGCACAAACGGGATGGGCCGAGTTAGACGCTGAAGTTTAATCCCGTTGATTTCCCTTTGAGGTGGAGAAGGAGAAGATCCACGATCACGAGCGTGCCTGTGCTCACGAACATCTAAACCTGCTGTTGCACTACATCATGGGCATGAAGGTCAGTCTGGAGGGCCTGCAGCCACAAAGCCTGGAGCTGGCGGGTCACAAAGCTCACGAGCTTCACCAGGTGCTCCGAGACCTGGAAGCCAGAGTGAGTCAGCTGAGCGCCATCCCCGTGCAGGGGGTTCCCTCCTCTTCGTCTTCGTCCTCCTCCTCCTCCTCCGCGTGTGCCGTCGCTCCTCCACCTCCTCTGCCCACGTCCTTCACGCCTCTGCCCAGCTCGGTCGGCGCCGCCCTGGAACTGCAACTCCACAGCGAGAAGACCAAGGTGGCAGATCTGGGCCGGCGCTGCCAGGACCTGGAGGTGAAGGCGGGGACGTTTGAAGATGTGGTGTGTGTGCTGAATCGAGAAGTTGAGCGCTTCGCCACCACCATGGAGGCCAGCAACCGACAACACAGACTCGATCAGGACAAAATCGAGGCTCTTAGCAACAAGGTGTGCTGCTTAAAAATACATCAGTGTAAAGGGGTGGTAAAGTATGATTTCACTTTAGTGTGAAATGTTGCTGTTTGAGCATAAACAACAGTATCAAAGTTCAAAGCAAAGGAAGATATTTGTGTAATAATACAGTATCTAATCAAATGGCCTGACCTCTGTATTTCTCCACGATGTGCCTCTTCATCTCACAGGTTCGTCAGCTGGAACGGCAGGTGGGTGTTAAAGACCTGACTGTTGCTGAAATGGAGGGCAGACTACGGGAGATGTCCGCAACCACGTTTGATGGCGTCTTCATCTGGCGGATTTCAGATATTACTAAAAAGAGACAAGATGCCATTGCTGGACGGGCGCCCGCCATGTTTTCACCTGGTAAAAAAAACCCCATATGAATCAGAATAGATAAAGTAATTTCATCAGAAATATTTATTCTTTATATATATATTTATAATTATATGTTTTAGCATTTTACACAAGCAAGTACGGCTATAAGATGTGCCTGCGCATTTACCTGAACGGGGACGGGACGGGTCGTGGGACTCACCTCTCGCTGTTTTTTGTGGTCATGAGAGGAATGAGCGACGCGCTGCTCAAATGGCCCTTCAACCAGAAGGTACATCACCGGTTTGTTCTCTGCATGTCTTCAGACTGTTGCACTTCTGAAACTGTTACTTTAATGAAAGGTCATTTAAATACGGAAATATTTGGTAACACTTTACAATACGGTTCCTTTAGTTAAAGGAGTAGTTCACTTTAAAAAAAAAAAAAAACTTTTGCTGATAATTTACTCACCCCCATGTCATCCAAGATGTCCACGTCTTTCTTTCTTCAGTCGAAAAGAAATGAAGGTTTTTGATGAAAACTTTCCAGGATTTTTCTCCATATAATGGACTTCAATGGGAACCAAACGGTTCAAGGTCCAAAAGACAGTTTCAGTGCAAACTGCAAACTGTTCAAAGGGCTTTAAACGATTCCAGACGATGAATAAGGGTCTTATCAAGCGAAACGATCGCTCATTTATTAAATAAATAACAAAGTTTAAGTTTTATAAGCTCAAATGCTCACCTTGCTCTGTTCTGTGATGCGCGTTCGTGACTCTCCAGTTCGAACTCGTTCATCAAAATGAACAAATCTTTTCCCGAGTCAATTCGTTCATTTCGTTTGTTGAATGAACCAAATGACACGAAAAAATATTCCTTCATTACACACACACACACACACACACACAGATTAACATTATTAATCTTTGTAAATGTTAGTTAATAAAAATCCAGCTGTTCATTGTTTGTTCATTTAAGTGCATTAACTGATGTTAACAAATGCGACTTTTGATTTTAGTAATGTATTTGTAATTGAATTTAATAATGTTAGCAAATGTTGAAATTAACATGAACTAAGACTAATAATTGTAGAAGTAATATCAATTCTTAGTTTAGGTCAACTAAAGTAGTTACTAATGTTAAAGGAGTAGTTCACTCTAAAAAAAAAAAACAAACAAAATAAAAAAACTTTTGCTGATAATTTACTCACCCCCATGTCATCCATGATGTCCATGTCTTTCTTTCTTCAGTCGAAAAGAAATTAAGGTTTTTGATGAAAACATTCCAGGATTTTTCTCCATATAATGGACTTCAATGGGAACCAAACGGTTCAAGGTCCAAAAGACAGTTTCAGTGCAAACTGCAAACTGTTCAAAGGGCTTTAAATGATTCCAGACGATAAATAAGGGTCTTATCAAGCGAAACGATCGCTCATTTAAAAAAAAAAACCCCAAAGGTTAAGTTTTATAAGCAAAATATACAGTCGTCGACACTTGAAGTGGATCAAAAAAGTTTATCAAAGTTGTCCTAAGATAAGAACAGGTATTGTTCAAAATTCATGTATAACTTTTGATCCAAATGTCAACTACTGTATTCATTTATATAAGTGTTATGCATTTAAATATTACAAATATTATTAATATCATTTCATTTTGTGATAAATACAGCCTGAGCGACAGTACCTAGCCCAAAATGAAAGCCATCTCGATGTATCTGTGAGCTGAATCTAGTGACATCCCTCCAGGTCACACTGATGCTGCTGGACCAGAGCAACCGAGAGCACATCATCGACGCGTTCCGTCCCGACATCACTTCCTCCTCGTTCCAGAGGCCCGTAAGCGAGATGAACATCGCCAGCGGCTGCCCGCTTTTCTGCCCGCTGTCCAAGCTGGAGGGCAAGAACGCGTACATACGGGACGACACCATCTTCATCAAAGCCATCGTGGACCTCACTGGCCTTTAGGTTTTCTCCTCCACAGCAGGAGGTTTATTCCACGACGTCTGTTTGGACACGTTTCCCTGCATGTGTTAGGCCGTCACAAACGTAGTCCCAGGAAGGGTCAGTAGAGCTCTATAACAGGAAAAAGGGGTGTGAAACACTGGAATTGAACGTGAAGTCCGGTCCAGTCACGTAGCGTAGAGTTCAGACTTTTTGCATCACGGTAAAACGCGTTCAACGAGTATTGGTCACAGTAGAACGAACAGGCTGATTAGCAGTTTGCATGAAATCTTTCTTTTTCATTGGTAAGTGGGTAAACTGTGCACACTGCTAAACTGTTTTGGAGGGTCAAGGGGGTTATAATTGTCATACAAGAAGTATAGTGAGGGTCTTCATTTAATCGGTGTTTGGCTACATCTGTGGAAGATAGTTTGAAGTTTTTAAAGGTACAAATCTTAGCGTAGGTGTCTGTGAAATGGTCCTGAGCGGGAGTCACGAAGTTATCGCGTCGCATTTTGTATCTTTTTTAAGAAGCTACGACGAGTCTCGTTATTACTTTTGTAAATAGGAATATTTATACAGTTTACTTGGTACATCGGGAGCTTGAGTTTATGGTGTTTGCCGGCTTCATGGTGTGCCAGTTTGTATTTTATTCCTTTTAAATCGTTCTTCTCACTGCCGAATGACGTACGAGGCAGTTTGTGTGTTTTCTAGGCTGAATTGAAGCTTTTGAGATGTTTACACAGGACCAAGCTTTTGCTATACAGTCGTCTTTTATATTTGGCGAGTTAACCCTTTTAAACCAGTTATGACAACTATTGAAACTTCTCTGTGCACGGGAGGCCTCAATCTGCAAATGCACATGATATTTTATGATCACAGACAGTTTTCTCATCCAGTGAGTGACGACACCACTGCAGACACATATTTAGAGATAAATGAAATAAATATTAAACGTAATGATTATTTTATACGACACACTGCTTCTAGCAGATATTCATACTATATAAGCAATCGATATGTATCTTTATATATAACCATAAACTCTCAAAGCGAGGGATCTTTATACAGGAAATGTATATACAGTTTACATCTATTTTATTATATTTAATGCATATTATTTACATAGCTGTACATGTGCAGTCATGGTGGTTTAAAACTAATTTTAACTTCTTCTTAGTAAATCGTCAGAAATACAAATTAATTTGTACATGCGATGCCTTGTGATAACTTGAATCCGATCACTTGATGCGATATCTGAAACTGCAATACTGAGAAAGCTCAACTTTAGGGCATTTATTAAAAGGGACAAAATAGATGGTACCAGACATTAACAAAAGATATGTTATACTGTGTTTCTGTGACATTATTTGTGCCAAATATCCATAGTGAAGTGCTGTTAGAGTTAATAGATGATGATACGTCCTTTAATGAAAACTGATTGAATGTATGTCAAACTCAAAATGTGCAATTTTATAAAAACAAAAACTTAGTGTATACTGTATTATTTCGTCCCCTTTCCATTTTAAATAGAAATTTGTGACAAGTGAAATTTCTTGCTAATTTTTTTTATTATTATATTACAATGCTAATGATATACCCCCAAATTTGTTGGTAAAAAGTTTAGAAATGTTGCGCATACCAAATAAATTAATCCCAGATTTTCATTAAAAGTTGATTCTGACAGCTCAATAGTTTACCTGTTTAGAAAGACGTTTTTCCTGTACCCATTTCTTCTTTTTTTTTTAATTTTATCCTAGTATGTTTCTATGTATGATGCAAAAATTGTCATAAAACATTCACATTTCACAAACCTTGATTGTGGCTAATGTTGTCTTTTTAAAGTCCCAAACGTCATGGTCTAAACATTACGCTCATCAAGAAGACATGCACACATGTGGTCATTATGCATAATTAGAAGCACTGCTGTCTGTCTTAGAAATGCATCCAAAATGATTAACAATATATACGTGCCTAAACATTATGACCACAGGTGACGTGAATATCGTTGATAATCTCCTAACTAGGCCACATATTATGGTCTGGGTAGTTTAAGGGAGTAGTTCACTTTAAAAAAAAAAACTTTTGCTGACAATTTACTCACCCACATGTCATCCAAGATGTCCACGTCTTTCTTGAAAAGACGTGGAATGAAGAAATTAAGGTTTTTGATGAAAACATTCCAGGCTTTTTCTCCATATAATGGACTTCAATGGGGTCCAAACGGTTGGTCAAAATGAGAGTTTCAGCGCAGCTTCAAAGGGCTTTAAACGACACCAGACGATGAATAAGTGTCATATCTAGGATAAGATTTGTTCATTTTGATGAACGAGTTTGAACAGGAAAGTCACGAACGCTCATCACAGAACAGAGCAAGGCAAGCATTTGAGCTTATAAAACTTAAACTTTTTAATTTATTTTTTAAATAACTGATCGTTTCGCTTGATAAGACCCTTATTCATCATCTAATGTCGTTTAAAGCCTTTTGAAGCTGCACTGAAACTCTCATTTGGACCTTGAACCGTTTGGTTCCCAATGAAGTCCATTATATGGAGAAAATCCTGGAATGTTTTCATCAAAAACCATTTCTTTTCGACTGAAGAAAGAAAGTGACTGAAGAAAGTGACTGAAGAACCCCAGGAACTAGCGACTTTGGGGTGGTACTCCAAATGAGGTTCCTGGTAAAAATGTCCCCCTCAAAAAGTCCTGCTCGCTAGTACTTTTTCAAAGTTCAGGAACTTTCGGGGGTGGGACTTGGGCGCTGAACATGCTGTTTGGTTCAGTTCATGCCGCATTTTGATGGTTTGACTCATTTCAACCATCATTTTAAAAAATCTGTTGCAGTGCGTGCAGTCCTACGCCACCAGACTAATTTGCCTAATCTTCACTTTAGGTACTTTAGGGCGTGGTTATGGAAGCTTGCTTCAAAAAAAAAAAATAATAATAATAATTGCGACTTTTTATCTCACAATTGCGAAATATGAAGTCAGAATTGTGAGAAACAAAGTCGCAATTGTGTGATATAAAGTCAGAATTGTGTGATATAAAGTCAGAATTGCGTGATATAAAGTCAGAATTGCGTGATATAAAGTCACAATTCTGAGAAAAAAAAGACAGAAGTGCAACTGCAACTTTTTTCTCACAATTGCGACTTTACATCTCGCAATTCTGACTTAACTTCGAGAATTCTCACATAACTGCGAGTTTATATGTCGAAGTTCTGACATCTTTTCTCAGAATTGTGAGATACAAACTCGCAATTGCGACTTATCAGGCCAATTCTAAGGAAAAATACTTTTTTTCCCCCTCAGAATAGTTTAAATCTCACAATTCTGACTTATATCATGCATTTCTGACTTTATAACACACAATTGCGACTTTATATTTAGCAATTCTGACCATATCTCGCAATTCTGACTTTATATCTCGCAATTCTGACTTTATATTTAGCAATTATGACTTTATAACACGCAATTGAGACTTTATATCACGCAATTCTGACTTTATATCTCGCAATTCTGACGTTATATCTCGCAATTCTGACTTTATATCTCGCAATTCTGACTTTATATCTCACAATTCTGACTTTATATCTCGCAATTCTGACTTTATATCTCGCAATTCTGACTTTATATCTCGCAATTCTGACTTTATATCACGCAATTCTGACTTTATATCTCGCAATTCTGACTTTATATCTCGCAATTCTGACTTTATATCTCGCAATTCTGACTTTATATCTCGCAATTCTGACTTTATATCACGCAATTCTGACTTTATATCTCGCAATTCTGACTTTATATCTCGCAATTCTGACTTTATATCACACAATTCTGACTTTATATCTCGCAATTCTGACTTTATATCTCGCAATTCTGACTTTATATCACGCAATTCTGACTTTATATCTCGCAATTCTGACTTTATATCTCGCAATTCTGACTTTATATCTCGCAATTCTGACTTTATATTTAGCAATTCTGACTTTATATCTCGCAATTCTGACTTTATAACGCAATTCTGACTTTATATCTCGCAATTCTGACTTTATATCTCGCAATTATGACTTTATAACACGCAATTATGACTTTATATCTCGCAATTCTGACTTTATATCTCGCAATTCTGACTTTATATCTCGCAATTATGACTTTATATTTAGCAATTATGACTTTATATCTCGCAATTCTGACTTTATATCTCGCAATTCTGACTTTATATCTCGCAATTCTGACTTTATATCTCGCAATTCTGACTTTATATTTAGCAATTATGACTTTATAACACGCAATTGAGACTTTATATCACGCAATTCTGACTTTATAACACGCAATTCTGACTTTATATCACGCAATTCTGACTTTATATCACGCAATTGCGACTTTACATCACGCAATTCTGACTTTATATCACGCAATTCTGACTTTATATCACACAATTCTGACTTTATATCTCGCAATTCTGACTTTATATTTAGCAATTCTGACTTTATATCTCGCAATTCTGACTTTATATCACACAATTCTGACTTTATATCTCGCAATTCTGACTTTATATTTAGCAATTCTGACTTTATATCACGCAATTCTGACTTTATATCACGCAATTGCGACTTTATATCACGCAATTCTGACTTTATATCACACAATTCTGACTTTATATCTCGCAATTCTGACTTTATATTTAGCAATTCTGACTTTATAACACGCAATTCTGACTTTATATCACGCAATTGCGACTTTATATCACGCAATTCTGACTTTATATCACGCAATTCTGACTTTATATCACACAATTCTGACTTTATATCTCGCAATTGACTTTATATCACGCAATTGAGACTTTATATCACGCAATTCTGACTTTATATCTCGCAATTCTGACTTTATATTTAGCAATTCTGACTTTATATCTCGCAATTCTGACTTCATAACACGCAATTCTGACTTTATATCTCGCAATTCTGACTTTATATCACGCAATTCTGACTTTATATTTCGCAATTCTGAATACACTCGCAATTCTGAGAAATAAAGTCAGAATTGTGAGCTAAAAAGTCGCAATTACCTTTTTTATCTTTCATTCTGTGGCGGAAAGCTTCCATTCATGGTGGAAACGCAGAAAGCAAGGGGAAAAAAAGTTCCTGGGACAAATTATTCCAGGTAATTTTGGTGGAAACGCAGCTTTAGATGGTAAAGGGACACCTAGTTCTCATTATTAACATATGTTGGATGCAGGAGAAATGGGCAGGAATAAAGATCTGAGTGACTTAAACTGAGGACCAAATTGTTGACTGGGTCAGAGTATATCTGAAACGACGAGGCTTGTGGGTTGATCCCGGTGATCCCACAAACCAGTGACATCGATGCACCATGGCAATAAAGGCTATCCCATCTGTTCTGAACCGACTAAATGTCTACAGTGGCACTTTGGTAACACACTTCCACACTTCTCGCTGGATATGGGAGGAATGAGTCACAGCACACAATGCATCACACTTTGTTGCGTGGGCTGCATATAGTGCCTATGATGACCCCTATCCACCATTGAAAGCGCGAACGTCAGAACTGGAACTTGGAGCCGTGGAAAAAGGTCACCTGGTCTGACTAGTCTTGTTTCTTTTACATCACATGGACGGCCGTGGACGTGTGCCGTTTACCTGGGGAAGTGATGGTGCCAGGATCACTGTGGGACGCTTACAAGCCGCTGGAGGGAGCGTGATGGTCTGGACATGCATTCATGTGCACGTGCCACTGACCTAAACATTGCAAACCAGGTACACCCGTTCATGACAATGGTGTTCCCTAGTGGAAGTGGCCTCTTTTAGCAGGATAATGGAAAGATTTGAGGAACATGATCAAGGGTTCAATATGGTGGTGTTGCCCTGGCCTCCAAACTCCCCAGATCTCAATCTGATTGAGTATCTGTGAGATGTGCTGGACTGACAAGTTCGATCCACCGTGCAACCAACAGGACTTGACTTGAAGGATCTACTTTTTTGGGGAATGAATCTTTGGGAAAATTGACAACGTATCAATTCTAACATTTCAAATTATATTTTTATTTCCTATTTTGTTTCCATCAATTTTAGACATTCAAGGATACAGTTAAATTGACAGTTCTGCATTGAGGGTTTATAGACATTTAGGACTCTAGGGGGGGGGCATTATAAAAATAAATTTAAAACAAAACAAATGATCAATAATCAATCAAAAAGCAAACTGGCTTCTACAAACTTTTCAGGAAAAAAAAATCACATTAACATTTGCTAACTTTTAAAAGGTGAAAAAATGAACACACTTATTTGCACCATCCTGGCTGTGTCAGACCTGAGTGTGGTAATGATTCAGTTGAGGAAATGACATCACTGGAGCTAATAAAGCTAATCTAACCTGCATTAATCATTATAATAGTGGAGACTTATTCTCATAGTAGTATTCTTATAGATCTGTTTTTGAAGATTTTGTACAGTGAAGATGTCACATTTCATGTGTCATGTCAAACTCCCCAATAATCATGCAGCCTTTTATAACATATAAAAAGGATTGACGAAACAATATTCTGTGGCATCCAATAACATTGAGGCGAAAGACAAAGTTTGTATCACTGGCAAATTTTCACTCAGGGGTTGTATCATGCTTTTGACTGTGTGGGTTTTTGGAGATAAAAGAGAGATGGACATTTGAAGTCTTATGATCTTTTCCGTCTGCCTTCCAAGTTTCTGAAATTTACTGGCCGGATCTTCATCTCCGCAAATGGAATCGAATGCTCATGACCTTTCCAGTGGAACCAATTGATGCCCTGTGAATTAAAATAGGTGAAATAAATGTAATTACAAAACACTTTAAAGTTTAATATGTAGGGGTGGGGTTATACTTTTAACCAATGGAATACTTAAGTTAAAAAATACCCAATTTTTACAGAATTATTCAACCCACTGGTCATTGGGATGCATATCTATCTATCCTCCCGAACCATAGACTCTGTTTGACGACTACAAGGAAAGACGGTTTGCAAGTACCGCCGCATTAGAAAGCTTTTACATTTGTTGTTTATTTAAATAAACTACAACACTTCCAAAATCTTCCAGCAAGATACCCCTCCTAAGGGGTACTGGCAAAACACCACTTTTCAAAAAGCGTTTTCTTTTCTCTGGCGAACTCGACATAAGTTTGTTTGTCTTGCTTTGAACACGCTCAGAATTTTTGTCTATATGCCTTTGGCACCAATTCGCAGGCTCTTAAACTGTGTCATAATCCAACGACTCCTCAATTGGCAAAGCCACACAACACCTCCTGTGCTTTCCCAACCATCTTACACTGAGTCCACATGTCCATCGGCCAATTCAATTTAAAGGAGACACGCTCTAAAGCAATAAAATAAGAATCTCCTTCTGCTTCACAAAAAGACGGTACCGACTTGACGTACTTGCCTATATTGAATATATAATATATTGAATATTGCCTATATCAGATTTAGACTCATCGAGATCAGAAGAGGACGGTGGTATTGGAACTGACCGACCACGTAAGTTCAAGCACTCGGACGATCCCGGACGAGCCCCCAATTTATAGGTAACGCCTCGAAATAAGGTTCCGTTAATTATAGTTAACTACATTCGTTAACATGAAAGAACAATGAAAACTATTTCTAAAGCATTTATTATTCTTGGTTGATTTCAAAATGTACTAATAAATTATTAAAATAATGGACCTGAGCAAACATGAACTAACAGTGAACAGTTGTATTTTTATAAACTAAAGCAAAACAAAGATAATTAAATACTGTAACAAATCTATTGCTTATTGTTGTAAGTCAATCATGACAACTCTTGGAATAGTTTCGCATTCAATCGAATATGTTATGTACTGTATTTGGCCTTAGCAGACTACATCTGCTAACACACTTCTAACACACACACTAAATCCCATAGTAGATCTAGGCAGGAGGAGCTGGGGCAGGTGGAGGGCGGGACTAGCTTACAGCAAACACTGAACTAGACTATTTAAATCATAATGTTGAGCAATCAATCTCATTGGCTGCAGGATCAGCAGTGGCCAATCAGCTTGTGCCATGCGGTTATGATGTGATTGCATGGAGATTGCATGTAATGAACCAATAAGCCAGCGTCATCTAGATCAGTTTCATGACAGAACTAGATATTTGATGCATTAAAGGATTAGTTCACTTTCAAATGAAAATTAGCCATGATTTACTCACCCTCAAGTCATCCTACTGTAAGTGTATATGACTTTCTTCTTTCAGACAATACAATCGGAGTTAATTAAAATGAAAAAATGTCTTACAGTAGCTCTTCCACAGATTTCTTTAACAGATTAAAGCACAAAATCATGCATCCATCCATCGTAAAGACCTTCAGAAGCAAAACGATGACTTTGTGTAAGATAAATATTCAAATTTTAAACTTTATACAGTAAAATAACTAGCTTCCGGCGAAACGACCAAGTGTAAAGCGCAACTTATGCGAGTAATGCGAGGTACTGCTAATATTAACGCTACGCCATGACGCACTACGCTACTTCAGACATCATAAATTTCGTAAGTTGTGCATTAGATGCAAGTACAGTAGACTGCGTTTGACCGTTAAATATGGATATTTTTTATTTATATACCATGGCTAAGTTTCATTTGAAAGTGAGCTACTCCTTTAATTAACAGGATCTTGCTGTAAAGTGTTACTGATATATTTGTTTGCCATTTTACTGAGATAAGTTAGATCATGTTTCTGTAACTTTTATTTAAAACAGCCAGTAAAAAAAAATTGATGTAAAATGTAATTGGTCAAAACCATTCTACTTTTGTCTACGAGTAGAGGATATTACTCGATGTGTTCCTTACTTTGCTGTGACTGCTGTCTCCATATTTCCCCATCAGATTCACTCGATGGCAGTTTTTATACCAAAACGCTCCCTTGTAGGAGAGGGCGCAGTTGGTGACGGCAATGTCATTGTCATTGTCATATGTGGAGAAGGGTCTGTTCTGGTGATACGACAAGGAATCGCCTTAAGAGAGACACAAAGATACAACATTACAAGCTTAATATTACAAAAGCTTTGCAATCATTGGGTATGAAATGTTAGAAATCCCCTAAGAAAGTAGTAACATTAAGTATGTTTTCAAGGGTGAAATTAACTTTTTTTATGATCTTCATATTTGCATGATAATACCTTAAATAAACTTTAAGGGGCCCTTCACAAAAGACATGATTTGCATTAACCCTCTGGGGTTGTTCGGCCCAAATGGACCGGAAGAATTTAAATAAATAGAATTTTTAAATAAGAAGAATTTCCTCGAAATGGTCCGAAATTTGCTGACTTTGTTGGTATTTGGTATTTGAACACCCCAAAAAATTGGGGACAGGATGTGAGTAGTCTAAGTGGTGGAAAAAAAATAGTCACACTTGGGGTGTTCGGGTCCGAATGGACCCGCATGGAAAATGAATGGGAAATTGGCAAAAATGTGAAAATACTGAGTTTTTTTGTGCGTACAATCTACGAATCAGCCACAATCTTGAAAAAAAGCACACAACAGTGAAGGGGCGAATCTATAAAACATCAAGAGTGCAAAACAGACACATCCAGACACACACACACACACACAAACACACTTTTATACACAAACACACCAAAAAATTCATATTATACATGTGTTTTGCATTTTTAAAATGCTCGGTTTGTCCACCAGATAGCATCCATCTTATTTCAAAATTTGCTTTTATGAGGCCTAGCCTTGACTCTAAAATAACTCTAAAATTTCTCAAAACACCAAAAAAGAAAAGAAAAATTATTATAAAAAACGAGTAAAAAAAAAAAATCATGATTTTTTTTAAAAATATGAATCCCGCCCTTTGGGTCCATTTGGACCCGAATACCCCGAGTGTGACTCTGAAACGTACAACCCCAGAGGGTTTAAAAATGCAAGACACAATGCAGGTCTAGAGACTTTTTTTTAAAAGTTACGCTTATTTGAACTTCAATAGTGCTGCATTTTTGTCCAGCAAGTTAAAACAGCAGAGTGGGATGCGAAATTGTGTGGCAATCATCCAAATGCATAAATATAAGTGTAAATGTTCAATCTTATTCACCTGCGGTACCACTGTATGCACCAATCTGGATCTTGTAGCGAGAACGAGAGTCTGAGATGTAAAATTTATCGTAAACAGCAAACACAGTCTCCGGTCCATCACGCAGGTCCACACGTAACTCATACTGACCAGCCGTTGTGATTTTGTGAAGATTCAACAGTCCTGAAAGACAACGATGCACAATCTTTATCAGAGAATGCAGATTTAGAAATGGACTGAGTGGATCTTAATGTTATAATGACATTGGGCTGTCAAATGGAGTCCCACCGAGCCAAAACTCATCGTTCGTGTCACCGAATCCTGCAGAGTAGTTCCTCCAGTTCCTGTAGAAATCGACCTTGCCGCTCTGACGCCGTAGGAACACCTGTGGATAATGGAGATGATAGTTTTATTTTTTTTACAGCCAGTGAAGTTATAGCTTATGAAGTTATAAAAATGGATATTTTTCTTACAAAAACACACGTTTCAAAGGGCCTTTATTAACCCGTATGGATTACTTTTATGATGGATGGATGCACTTTTTTAGGCTTCAAAATATAAAGTACTATTCACTCCCATAATAAAGCTTTGAAGAGGCAGGATTTTTTAAATATATAACTCTGATTGTGTATGAAATACACACCTAGGATGACTTTAGAGTGAGTAAATTATGGGATCATTTTTGGCTGAACTATCCCTTTAAGGCAGAATGTAACTAATATACTAAGTAACAAAGCTTAGTCACATAAAAATTATGTTTACCCTCAATAATACAATAGCAGCCTTCAAATACATGAACAGAAGTGTTGAATCGAGTTAATTTTAGTTTATCCTTGATTCTAACTTCTTTTCCCTAGGGGTAAATTTATGTTTCCATTTAAATAAGATAGTACTTTAACATTCAAAATAACATTCAGAAACTGTGTTTGAAGTTAATAAGAATCAATCAATAAATACTGATACAAATTACATTTATTAATAAATGTTCAACACAGATTGTTGGACACAGAAACGCGCTGTTTAGGTATGGTTTATGTTGAAGAGCCGCTAACAAAGTAAGTTTTTCACATAAATGCTCTCTCTTATATAAGTGTCAACATTTCCATATACTCTATGTGTAAAGGACTGAAGTCTGTCAGGTAAAAAAGAGCTTATAGAGTGCCGAAGTTACGACGTCACTCTGTAGGCCAAAACGCGGAAGTGAGTTAGCATTTTAGCACTACGGTTCCCTCGTTCTAAAGCCTATGGGATTTTTGAATGGGTTTTTGCTAAATCGCCTGAAATAAGGTCTGTGGTGAACAAAGCCTCGAAATATTTTCACGTTTTGATCTATGACATAAAACACACCAGTTATAACCAGCTTGCTGGTTTTTTAAACTTTATTGTGTCTGATTGTGTTTTTTAAAATCTTTATATAGGCTTCAAAATGTATAAATTTGGGATTAACTTGCTAGACAAAACGTGTAAGGGTCAAACACAGATCTTATTTTTTGCGATTTTCCAAAAGTCTATGGGGAAAATGCAGAGCTTTTCGACCCATGCGCCGCTAGCTTCCGAGTTGTCCTACAAAGTGACGTCATCACTTCGGCACTCTATTGATGAAATTAATCAATCTGCTGTAAATTAGTTCAAATCTCCCTGAATCTAGCGAGTGAGCAAGAGCACGCACATACTGTGTTTCAACCCATGCACATACGCAGTAGAAGTATAACCTGTGGGGGAAAAGGCGTTTTAAACCTTATTTTGGGGCAAAGTCATCAAACTTTTTCAGCAATTTTTATCATATTTTACTGCTGTTTCTATACATGCAGGTTTTATGTCCCGGTGAGCAGTGAAAGTGCAGTTCTGACTCTCTGCCCATTCATTTAGATAGGAGCCTGGTCTTGTTAGTCCGAAATAGCTGCCCGGAGGCGTTGCCAAGATGGCGGCCGCGTGGCATGACTTGCTTTCGGACTTTGCTTTAGACCAGGTTTTTTCTGGTCAGTGGCGCAATTCACCTTTGGCTAAGCCACGCCCTAGAATGTAGATTGACCAATCACAGCACAGCCAAGCTCCCACACAGAGGTCCGACACTTTTTTACATCGCTCCATTGACTTTCAACACAGGCGTCTCATATTTTTGGTCTCGGCAGGCTATTAACGTCGAAGTTTTATCCAAAATATGGTTAAACGTTGTGCCTGGGGCATTTGCAACACAGATACGCGTGGGGTGTCCGGTCCGTTTTTTCCCTTCCCAAAAACCGAAGAAAAATCCTGACAGTGACAAGTGTCGTCTTTGGATTAAACTGTGTGGACGTCCTCAGTCAGCTAAACCCCGCAAAGATCAACAAGCACATGTTTTTTTACTTCTAACCTTACTGTGAGTGTGAAATTATACAAGTTAGACCGTTTTATAATGTTTTAGGTTATGATTTCTGTTCTCATACCGGTTGTTGATACGCTAGCACACGCTGCTAATAAATACAACGTAATAGTCGTGTAGTCCGTTTGCTTTATAATAACGATTATAGAAGTGAATAGAGTCCTACCCAGCTTTGCATGAACAGTGTTGTTCCCTGATATTGTTAGTCCCAGCCTCCGTCTCCATTAGTAGGATATGCGGTGGTTCATTTTTTGACTGTGACCGGTAACGATATGCTTTTGCCTCTATTTTGGATGCCTTGTTGTTTCTTGCGTTTCACCTGTGTGTCTTGAATATAGCCTTCGAACGCATATTGCAGCCCCTTTTGCCTACTTCTATCGGTAGGGTTGGGTATCGTTTGAATTTGAACGATTCTGATTCCGATTCCTTGTTTCGATTCCGGTTCCAAACGATTCTCGATTCCGATTCTTTTAAGAGGCGGGGTCAAAAAAGTTTAGCTAACCTTGCTAACCAACGGCCTTTCTGAAGGAAATACTCCTTCTGTAAAAATACTCCTTTTGTCACTTTTGCCGAGATTTCGTTATTTTTAGAAAAGTGAAGCCACACTTTGGACCGCCGACGTAAGCTACTCATGTTCGACTCGTGCGGTTATGCCAACACTTCCGGTAGACGCTTCTTCGTTGGTGTTGTTCAGCGGTTTCTTCTTCCGCTCGCCGGACTGTGAATATCGAAACTAGGAATCGAATTTTTAACTTTTGAACGATTCCGGGAAAACGAAAAGTTAGTCTCGGTTCCAATCGATACTCGATTCTCGATACCCAACCCTATCTATCGGACACTTTATTTGCTGCTTTATAAAAGTTTGATAACATTTCAGCAGGAACAGCTGTCTCAGCATAAGCCATGCAGAGCGCAGATGAAGTTTGACGGATGTAGCAACAGTAACTAAGGGGGGCGGGGCTTAGCCAAAGGTGAATTGTTTTCTGGAACTGCAGAATAGCACCAGGGATTATTTGCGCAGGAACACGCCTCCTTTATTGCGCTAAACCGCCCAGGGAGCGCAAGTGGAGGGAAAAGTCCGCTTTGTACGGGTGCAAAATACGAATGACACATGCGTCGGCCGGTGTATGAAGTCAATTGCACTGGGTGCAAGATAGGGCCCATAGTTTGTAAGTTGCACACTCAAAACCAGGCCAAGTGACAGCGTGAGCACACTCACCATCCAGCCGCCGCCGTCGGTGGTCAAGTCGCAGTACACCTGGACCGGTTGTTTCTCATCTCCGGTTATGTAAATCGTGTACGGACCGGAAGACGTCTCTCCGTTCAGCAGAGCTTCTGAGCAGTCCTTGGCTTTTCTGTAGAGCGTGCCAGCTGAACACACAAAACAAGCTTTGATTCAAGAATCAGACGCTAATAATGAACATCACAATGTGACATCATTTAACCCTTGTGCTGCATTAGATTTTTAACACCGTTGAGTGCATTAAGGACCAAAAATGGCCACATACTGTAATAAACATTGCCTAAAATATTATATATTATTATTATTTTCCACTTTTACCAAGTTAAATCTTTTAACCAGCATCAGTCCTCATCATAACTACCAAAAATGTATTCAATTTCAGGATTTTAACCCTTTAATTACCAGTTTTGTTTGCGAAACCATCGATTTGTATAAGAGGAAAAAACACAAAAATTCAATTATTTTCAATAAACTAAATGCAAAGAGAAAACTTTAGATTTGGATTATCACAGTCCCACTTTGCAAAAAATCCCACTTAGTGCGTTAGAGACCAAAAATGGCCACCTATTAAACATTGCCTATTGCCTAAAATAAGGTGCATTTCCACCCATAGGGAATAAATATTTAGTGACATCATCTGGTGGAATACACTATATAATGCAAATATAATGCTTTTGCTTCAAAATGAAAGGATGTTTGTGCAAAAATCATGTTTCATGTATTACTGACAGCCTCAGATTTAAACAACGTTTTAATGGGTTTCAATGGGCCATTTTTGGTCTTTATGGTGCTGAGTGTTACTATTTGATCTACACAGTGTGTGTTATACATATTTTGCAAAATGGGATCACATTTTTTACATGTATCCAAAAAGTCACAATTTTGCCAAATTTCAAACCATTTGCATTAAAACAGCCAAAATGGTCAAAGAAATTAAACTGCAAAAGACCAAAAATGTCCCTAATGCAGCATAAGGGTTAAAGGTTTGTAGATGAAGGTTTGAATTTCCACTCGGTCATGACTGATATAATCCACAAGGAAAACATCGATCTATTTAAGAACTTTATGCATACAAAATGTCACTAATCATTTTGTGTTTGCTAAGGTAAGTATCACTATTACCATTGCTCATACCGAGGGTTAAAGTTGGCATGAAACAGAAATTGCAATTGTTTCTTTTCAGACTGTGGTGACACATACACTACCGGTCAAGTTTTAGATCAGTAAGATTTTTTATGTTTTTAAACGAAGTCTCTTCTGCTCACCAAGGCTGCTTTATTTGATTAAAAAAACAGTAATATTGTGAAATATTATGACATTTTTTTTCTATTTTAATATATTTTAAAATGTAATTTAAAAGCTGAATTTTCAACATCATTACTGTTGCTGATTACACATCAGTTTTCAGTCACATGATCCTTCAGAAATCATTCTAATATGCTGATTTTATGCTTAAAAACATAAACATAATTTTCAATGTTGAAAACAGTCGTGTACCATTTTTCCCCCCAAAATTCTACGATGAATAGAAAGTTCGAAAGAACAGCATTTATTTAAAATATAATCTTTTCTAACATTATAAATGTCTTTACTGTAACTTTTGATCAATTTAACTCATCCTTGATGAATAAAAGTATTTTCTAATTTCTTTCCCCCAAAAATAAATAAAATTAATTCTTACTGACCCCAAACTTTTGAATGGTAGTGATTAATGTTACAAAAGCTTTCCATTTCAGATCAATTCTGTTCTTTTGAACTTTCTATTCATCAAAGAATCCTGAAATAAAAATGTAAAAAACTGTTTTCAACATGGATAACATAAATCATAAATGTTTCTTGAGCATCAATTTCTGCAGGATCATGTGACACTGAAGACTGGAGTAATGATGCTGTAAATTCAGCTTTGATCACAGGAATAAATTACACTTCTCTATATATTCACATAGAAAACCATTGTTTTAAATTGTAATAATATTTCACAATATTGCTGTTTTTTTTTTGTATTTTTTATCAAATAATTGCAGCCTTTGTGAGCAGAAGAGACTTTTCTTAAAAACATAAAAAAATCTTACCGATCTAAAACTTTTGACCGGTAGTGTATATTAAACATATAAAGCAAAGTTTTTTATATTTTAATGCTTTTAATTCTGATCTGGACTGTGGACCGATTTAACTGAACTACAGTAAGTGATAAAACATGCCAGGTTCTGAAACAAAACACTCCCAACAAGACAGATGTGAAAACGCCCTATAGTAATATAATTTGCTAATATAGCTAATAAAGTGACTGACCAGTGGTGAAGACCGTGCTGATGCTGTTGCTCCTCTGGTCCTCCGAGACGGCCTGCAGTCTGACGGTGTATTCGGTGCTGCTTCTCAGATTCGACAGATGGTGTGAGGTGACAGATGGGTCTAGATTCAATTCCTGTGTAAACATACATCAGTTATGCTCTGAATATCACTAAAGAATATCACCCCACATTCTTAGCAAAACTTTTTAATATTGAATAATTATTGCTATTATGTTTCATGGTGTATTACTTCGCTTGTTTAGTGCTTTGTATAAGAAAGACACATTATAAAATGTTTTTTTTAATTTATAATCTGCAACAACGCTCTCCAGATGTTTACATTTTTCCCTGGCACCAGATAAATTACTAATGCATGCAACATATTATTTATATTTTGACAAAGTCTGCATAAATTCTATATAAATACAACTTGAATGTGCAAGGCTTCCGGTGTCATTCATTCTCCTCTGGTTATGACAGTATGCTGCTTTATATTATCTTTTTTTTTAAACAACCATTTTATTTGTCAAAAATTGTCACACAAGTTTGAACAACATTTCCATTTTCCATTACAACAATAAAAAAAAAGAAAATGTACAAATAATAATACAAAAAAAAAAAAAACAGCGATAACATAGGCTAATTGTCCATATACTCTCAATGTCCGCTTTATATTATCTTAATATAATCTTAATATTATCTGTAATATAATCATGAACAAATCATAAATCTGGTTTGTACTGTAAACAGTTTTACCGTTTACTAATGAATGAATCAGAAGTCTCACACATTCACAGAATGTAGCTAAAATAAGGTGATATGGCCTTTGAAAGTGACTAGAAAGTGAGAAATGCCTGACCCCGACATCCCCGTCAGATGTTTGAAAGGTCAGTATGTAGCTGCTGATGGCGGCCCGGGGAGGCTTCCAGGAGAGCACAGCGCTTTCTGTCTGAATATTGCTGGCAACCAAATCACGCGGAGCATCCACAGCTACGTAACACACAACCAGATCACATTCATGCTTATTCGGACAGAGAAATAAAATGACTGAATTTTTAGTGAAGAAACATTCCAAAACTTCTATCGCTGATGCATTATGGGAGAATACATTTTTTTATTTGCAGAATTGTTGTTTTGACAAAGAAGAATAAAAAGTGTTGAAGTGAGCAATTTTTCATAATATTATCCAGGTAGGTACAGTAGGTACATTGGGTACTTTTTAAATTGATTACCAAATGCTAGACAAAACATACAATATGCAACAAAAAAATAAAATAAAATCAACATTTTTTTTATTAGGCTATAATTATTTTATTTTGTCAAAAAATCTTTGTCATACGTGAAATGTTTTTTTTAATGTTTTTTTTAATTTCTTAAACGCAATTTTATAGCTACAATTAATATTAATGATTTTTTTTGGGATCCATTAAATGAATCAGAACACTTATGAGAAATGTATAGGACATTTCTTAAAAAAAGTTGTGTTAATGCTACTTTATTATTAAAACAATTCTACTTTTGTAAATAATTATTTTTGTAAACTTATACAACTTTATATAAACTTATATTTGTATACTTAAATCTTAAATATTTAATATTAATACTGTTAATATTAAAGATGTGTTTTGCATATATATATATACGTATATATAAATACACACTCTAAAAAATACTGGGTTGTTTTAACCCAATTTTGGGTCAAATATGGACAAACCTAGCCATTTTTAAATTATATTTTTTGAACTCAATGTTTGAGTTTGTCCATATTTGACCCAAAATTGGGTAAAAACAACCCAGCATTTTTTAGAGTGAATATACGAAGAGTTCAGATGCAAAAGCCTCTAAATGCCATTTGAAATTTTCTTCTTTAATGATGATTTTTATCAAACTTGTATATTTAAGTTCAGTAATTTCACTTAAATAACAATTAATAGGTAATTATCATTGCCATTTAAGTGAAATCACTGAACTTAAATATACAAGTTTGATAAAAATCATCATTAAAGAAGAAAATTTCAAATGGCACTTAGAGGCTTTTGCATCTGAACTCTTCATATGCAAAACACTGCACATGCATAACAGAATTTCACTATGATTTTATATGTAAATCCTCATTGTTTTCTGGGAATTACCCATTTAAACACACAACATCAGTAATGCTGTGCAGCTGTATCTGGTGTGGCCTACAGGAGGCGCTGCAGCACTAGTAATGGTTGACTGTGACTGCATCTCACCTGTTGTGAAGTCTGTGGTCGCTGGAGCACTTTTCTCTCGGTTTCTTATGGCATGAACATTGACTGTGTATTCAGTTGCTGGAGCGAGTGAAGTCATCTCAAACTCCACCGTGTTGCCAGAAACCTGCTCTGATATCGCGGGGACTTCAGAGAAAAATACAAGAAGCAGAAGAAGAATAACAGGTGTGTTTATATAGGTGTGGGTGTATTTTGGGCTATCAGTGACAGCAGTGTCCTGCAGTGCATCACTGACATACCTACAACTATTTTTGCTCTCGGTAGAGACAATGCATGCAAGTCAAACGTGAATAAAGAAAACTCAAAATAGAGCAAGAGATGGCAGGAGGTTCCCACCAGTGTCTGCGCTGTATGTGATGACGTATCCATCCACAGTCGCAACTGCAGGCTGCCAGAGCAACAGCGCACTCGCGTCAGTGACATTGACGGCAGTCAGGCTGCGGGGCGCATCCACGCCTGGGGGTCACAAACAAATGGATTCGTTAAAAAATAAAATATTTTGCTATGCTATAATATGCCCTGAGGATGGTCTTTTGACCAAAAGCTTGGTGATTAAATTTGCTTTAAGGATTTAAGTATGCAGACAGTTTATTTATCTTTTCAGATTTCTAGTCTTGTCTGTCTGGCACCTTCTTTATCGTGAGTGCGGTGAAACTCCTTCAATTCTATGCTATCATATTCAAAATACAGCCTAAATAAAGTAAACACATTTTTAAATGGGTTAGTTATATAGTTATATATATATATATACACACACACTAACCTAAAGGATTATTAGGAACCCCATACTAATACTGTGTTTGACCCCCTTTCGCCTTAATTCTACGTGGCATTGATTCAACAAGGTGCTGAAAGCATTCTTTCGAAATGTTGGCCCATATTGATAGGATAGCATCTTGCAGTTGATGGAGATTTGTGGGATGAAGCTCCCGTTCCACCACATCCCAAAGATGCTCTATTGGGTTGAGATCTGGTGACTGTGGCGGCCATTTTAGTCCAGTCAACTCATTGTCATGTTCAAGAAACCAATTTGAAATGATTCATGGTGCATTATCCTGCTGGAAGTAGCCATCAGAGGATGGGGACATGGTGGCCATAAAGGGATGGACATGGTCAGAAACAATGCTCAGGTAGGCCGTGGCATTTAAACGATGCCCAATTGGCACTAAGGGGCCTAAAGTGTGCCAAGAAAACCATTACACCACCACCACCACCAGCCTGCACAGTGGGAACAAGGCATGATGATCCATGTTCTCATTCTGTTTACGCCAAATTCTGAATGTCTCCACAGAAATCGAGACTCATCAGACCAGGCAACATTTTGTCCAATTTTGGTGAGCTCTTGCAAATTGTCACCTCTTTTTCCTCTTTGTAGTGGAGATGAGTGGTACCCGGTGGGGTCTTCTGCTGTTGTAGCCCATCCGCCTCAAGGTTGTGTGTGTTGTGGCTTCACAAATGCTTTGCTGCATACCTCGGTTGTAACGAGTGGTTATTTCAGTCAAAGTTGCTCTTCTATCAGCTTGAATCAGTCGGCCCATTCTCCTCTGACCTCTCGCATCATCAAGGCATTTTGGCCCACAGGACTGCCGCATACTGGATGTTCTTCCCTTTCACACCATTCTTTGTAAACCCTAGAAATGGTTGTGCGTGAAAATCCCAGTAACTGAGCAGATTGTGAAATACTCAGACACCAACAACCATGCCACGCTCAAAATTGCTTAAATCGCCTTTCTTTCCCATTCTGACGTTCAGTTTGGAGTTCAGGAGATTGTCTTGACCCCTAAATGCATTGAAGCAACTGCCATGTGATTGGTTGATTAGATAATTGCATTGATGAGAAACTCAATGCCAGCAATATGTTATGCCCTAAATTAATACATGATGAACTAACTGTATTTTTCTATGTACATTTCTGAAATGCACTTTCTGTAAAGCTGCTTTGAAACAATATGTATTATAAAAAAGCGCTATACAAATAAATTTGAATTGAATTGAGTGTTCCTAATAATCCTTTAGGTGAGTGTATATATCTATATATATATATATATAGATGTGAGTAATCACAACCAATCAATTTGACAGCACTAATTATATTATATTTAGGTTTAAGGTTTAGTTCACTCGGTTTGAGCAATGCGGCTGCTTATCTTAAAAAAACCAACACAGTCTCGTCCCAAAAAGTCATATGACTGACATTTTGGGACGTCTTTTGACCATACGTCAATATCCGCCTTTTTAGGGCCCTCTTAAACGTCGGTAGATGGCAATCCCGGGCCGTCATACAACTGACGCTTTACCTTTAACGTCAGTTAGGTGACGGGTTAGGTTTAGGTATGGGGTAGAGTTAGGATCCCATAACCTCATCTACCGACGTTTAAGGGGGCCCTAAAAAGGCGAATATTGATGTATGGTCAAAAGACGTCCCAAAAAGTCAGTTATATAACGTCTTGGGATGAGACCGGGTTGAAAAAACACCACTAACCAGTCAAGTGACTTAACCGACCTGTGGTAAAAGTGTCAGACACTGGTTCGCTCTCCTCCAGACCTTTCACTGCGATTACTGACACCTGATACATCTCTCCAGGACTCAGATTTATGAGCGAAACCTGAGATTGTGACCCGTCCACCATCACGACCATGGGTTTACCTGGTAATATACAGAAGAGAAGCAATAATGAATGAATTTACAGTATAGCAGCTACTTGAATATAATTAAATAACGTGGTTTATAGTATTTTCACTACATGGCATATAGCTATTGCATTGCATTTAGGGTTTGAAGAGGACCAGCACTCGCCTCCTTGGACTGGGAAGTAAGTGATCCTGAAGGAGTCCGGTTGGGAACGCGGTACAGTCCAGTAAACCACGGCTGATGTGTCCGTGACGTCAGAGAAACGAAGGTCTCGTAGAACTCCTAGGCCTGCCAGACAGCAAAACAGATATATACATTTAGCAATGTTGAGAAGAAAACACTGAAAATTGGGAAATTGTTCCACCCAGAGTCCTTTAGGCCATTTAGATATGAAGTTAATTAATACACAGCCACTGGAAAACGGATAAAGAAAGACCAGTGTCAAACACTGAACTGCAGGAGAAGCGGGCCTTTCCCTGGTGCAATGAAAAAGGCCTAAAAGAAAGATTCGTTAGTCTTAAAAGTGCAAGTTTCCATTCCAAGAAACATCAACAAAAGCTCCCGTTTGTACCATGAGCAATCATGCCAAAATCATTAAACTGCATTCCACAAATTTACCTGGAGTGAGACAATGATAAAAAAGAAGGCATGTTATTTAGATCAGACCATTTACATAAACCAACACACAATCATTAGTTCTCAGGGCATGCGGACAAATGAGCATCGCTTTCCCAGCAGCGATGTGCCGAAACATGTAACTTGATGGTTTAGTAGTGACATGAACATCAGGAGACTTTCCTCCGAATGCATGAACATACACATGAGCGTTCCTTCGAGAGAGAAACGAAAGCATGCAAGGTTAAAGTCAACATGAAGTGAAGTTGTCAAAAAGTCTTTTTCAGCACCACTTTTCAAGCCAAAATCAATTTTTTCTTGTTGAACATTGTATTTAATTTGGCATCAGCTTTTGTGCATCTGCTAAATGCATAAATGCAATGTTTGTGAACAGAATCTTTCACACTCTCAAATGTTGAATACTAACGTTAAAATTAATACATTTGTGTAACCTAAAGTGTTATGTCTTTCTTAATGGAAAAAGGTTGATTCTTGTGAAGAAAAGCAAAACTAAATCTTTTTAAATGCTGGTGCTGTTGACTTTAACCCTGGATTGAAACATATCATGATAGATACATTTCAAATCAAAGATTAACACACCAGCCAGTACCTGTTTAGGACCAAGAGTGTTATTTAGTTGTTAAAGACACTTCCACCACATTGCAGCCAAGAAAGCCCTCTCAAATCCAGAAGTGATGCGAAAGGCAATCCTATGACTCTGAACACAATACCTGTTCTGGCAACCGCAGTAATGGGTTGGGAGCGATGTTCCAACGTGACACCGTAAAGCTCAATTTCATACTCGGTTCCCCCCAAAAGCTGCGTTAACACTTTGGTTCTTTCATCCCCCGGCAGAACGAACTCTCGAGGGTGGGAGAGCTTTCTCGAATCTCTAACTTTGAGCACAAATCGATCAAAAACGTCGTCTTCTGCCGTCCAGGCCAGCCGGAAACTCTCAGGGGTGACGTCCGACACGAAAAGGTGCTCAATCTCTGGTTCTGCCTCTGATTGACGAGAGGAAACGGGTCTTTTTCTTGTTTCAACCTGAGTTTTGCCGGTCTCCAACCACTCGACATGCGTCAGGTAATATGACTATACTTCTCGTGTTAGTTAAACCATGGACACATAACAACAACATATGCATCCCTTCATGACTGGCATTGCAAATACACAAGACATTCATGCATGCGAGCTGCTGCGTCATACAAGACCTTCATGCTGGTGAAAAACCTTGATGATATGGGACTTATATGTAGGGTTGGGTATCGTTTGAATTTGAACGATTCTGATTCCGATTCCTTGTTTCGATTCCGGTTCCTAACGATTCTCGATTCCGATTCTTTTAAGAGGCGGGGTCAAAAAAGTTTAGCTAACCTTGCTAACCAATGGCCTTTCTGAAGGAAATAATCCTTTCTGAAGGAAATACTCCTTCTGTAAAAATACTCCTTTTGTCACAAATTTTGCATTTTGCCGAGATTTCGTTATTTTTAGAAAAGTGAAGCCACACTTTGGACCGCCGACGTAAGCTACTCATGTTCGACTCGCGCGGTTATGCCAACACTTCCGGTAGACGCTTCTTCGTTGGTGTTGTTCAGCGGTTTCTTCTTCCGCTCGCCGGACTGTGAATATCGAAACTAGGAATCGAATTTTTAACTTTTGAACGATTCCAGGAAAAACGAAAAGTTAGTCTCGGTTCCAATCGATACTCGATTCTCGATACCCAACCCTACTTATATGGGATGATATCAATAGTTTCCAGCCATTTAAGTAGAAAAGAAACCAGTTTAAATATGGCATCAGACATGTGGGACAAGTGAAGCATGTATTGTTCACTTGAAACAAAGAAAAACACTTAACGATGGAGGAGACCTGGCAAATAAACAAGGGATAGTATTGAGGGGGTGGTAGAGTTTCCCAACCAAAGCTTAGATGTCATCTTCTAGAATATAGTCTGTGACATTTAAGAGGACGTGTAAACACTGGACATGTTCATTATTTTGAATTGTCATCTGCATAAGCATTAGGGGCCCTATTTTAACGATCTGAAGCGCATGGCGCAAGTAACTTTGTGGGCGGGTCCCGGCGCTGTTGCTATTTTCCCGGCGGGATAAATGCCTCTTGCCCCTGGCGCAAATCTAAAAGGGGTTGGTCTGAAGTAGCTTCATTATTCATAGGTGTGGTTTGGGCGTAACGTGAAATAAACCAATCCGAGTGCCATCCAACATACCCTTTAAGAACAGGTGCGCATGTTGCATGATGGATTGTTATTATAACGGCGGGTTTACCAGGAGCGTTCACAGCCGATGAGACCGACGATCTTGTAAACGCGAAACGTTCCCTGGTGCTAATTTACACTTCCAGAAAACAATTGCGCCACTGACCAGAAAAAACCTGGTCTAAAGTCAGTGGCGCAATTGTTTTCTGGAAGTGTAAATTAGCACCAGGGAACGTTTGCGCCGAAACACGCCTCCTTTTTGCGCCGATCCGCCCAGGGAGCGCAAGTTCATTCCCTAGTTTACCGGCGTGCGTCTGTGGAGGGGAAAATCCCGCTTTGCGCGCGTGGAAATAAGAATAAGACGTTTGTGTGTAAAGTCATTTGCGCCGGATGCAAGATAGGGCGCTATAGGTGTTTGAACTTTTGTTTTCGAGTATTTTATTCCGAGCCTTTCTCAATAAGACACATGCCTTTGGTGTGAGATACCCGGATTCGAATCCACTGTGAGACACCAATGTGTCCCTGAGCAAGACACTTTTCCTAGTTGCTCCAGAGGCGTGCGACCTCTGACATATATAGCAATTGTAAGTCGCTTTGGATAAAAGCGTCAGCTAAATTAATAAATGTAAATGCAATCGAAGCCGGATCTGAAGCAGCACCATGGATAAAAGTGGGTTAATGTGTGATTGTACACTGCAATCACAATTTTGGGAAACAATCTAATTCTCAAAGGTTAAAAACAGTTGCATTAAAGTCATTTTACAATTGAAAGTGATATTTATCTTACTAAGGCCGTGTGTCCACCAAAGCGTTTTTAGCTACACGCTCTGCTGAAGACGCCGTGCTTTGAGAGCGTTTTGGCAGCGCAGCGTTTTTTTCCGTTGAGAGGTTTCGTTGCTATGATACAGAATATCCGCAGCAGTTTGAATGTTGACAGTTGGCCGTGTGGTATTAGTCCCGCCCCTCCTCCACTGTGATTGGACGGCTGGGTAAAAAGTGACAGTGATGAGCGCTGCGTTTTATCCAAAGTTGAACATTTTTCAACTCCCAGCGACCAGTAAAAACGGCGGGCGTTTAAAAAACGTGGCGCTCCCATTGAAAACAATTGAAAACATACGCCAGGCGCGTGGAAAAACGCTTTGGTGGACACACGGCCTAATTGGTTAGTTGATATGAAGTTGCAAAGTTACTTACGGTTAGTAGAGTGTCTAAAGTGGACCACAACGTGTTCCCAATAACGGTTCTCGTCAGTACTGATTTTAAAACGACTGACCAATCAGAAGCTCAGCAGCTGGGGGCGGGAAAAGCAACTTGAGCTTATGACGTGTTATAGAGCTAACAGGTAGTTGTCATGGTATTGTGTGTCTAACATATCAGAGAGAATCTTGAACATGTCCTGTGCATACAACCCAGATCTGCTAGATATTAACAACATTCAACAAAGTAAAAATGACTAAGCTTGGGCAGCGAAAGCTCTGAGGTGAAAGAGTGACGTGCAGTTGAAAAGCAGAAAGCGGTACCTGTAACAGCCACTGTGGTGATTGGACGAGACTGTAACCCATCCCCTGACACCCCGGTCACACTGACCTCATAGCCAATGCCAGTAATCAGGCCCAAAACATCCAGAGAGGTCTGGTTTCCCGGCACTACGAACTCTTGTGGCTCCAGCAGCAGGCCAGAGTCCGACACCTTTACCTGAAAATGGCTGAAGCCCTCAGAAGAATCTGCTTCCCAGGACACCAGAAATCCGAATGGGGTAATATCCGAAACGGTGAGGTTTCCCACTTTAGGTAATGACGCTGGGATACGTGGTACAGGATTCATTTGGGTCCCGTAGTTGCAGTGTTATAGGAGGGGAATATACAGGGTGAGGATGTATAAATGATTCTGCAGTGATTGCAAGGTCAAAATATCTTGTTATTTGTCAAATGTTACTTGTTAATTCAATGTTAAAGGGATACTACACTTTTTTTGGAAATAGGCTCATTTTACCACTCCCCCAGAGTTAAACAGTCGAGTTTTACCATTTTCGAATGTACTCAGCTGATTTTTTGATATTTAGAAGAATATCAGTAACCAGACAGTTTCTGGTCTCATTGACTTCCATAGTATATATTTTCCTACTATAGAAGTCAATGAGACCAGAAACTGTCTGGTTACTGATATTCTTCTAAATATCAGAAAATCGGCTGAATGGATTTGAAAACGGTGAAACTCAACTGTTTAACTCTGGGGGAGTGGTAAAATGAGCCTATTTCCAAAAAAAAAAGTGGAGAATCCCTTTAAGCTATCATTATATGAGCTTTCTTTCTCCAAGTAAATTAACCGAGTATTCAGTGGGTGCAATACAACTGCATGCATATGCATTGACAAAAACGGGAATGAATCAGAATAATCATACATCTGTGTTAAACAACATGTGGTCAGAGTCAGACAGATGCAAAAATGAGTTTCCACGCTACAAATCTACTTTTCCTAATGTGCAATCATGTCATGTTTCACAGCAGATTATGTTGCAAACAGAAATATCAGTGGGAGAATTAGTGTTTTTTTTTTTTTTTACCAAGCACAAAAAAACTGTTTTTTTAATCTTTCATTTTTGATATAGTTAAAATATTCACACATGGGGCCAGATTTAACAGCTTGCACCAGCGCAAACCCTTGGCTTTCAAATCTACAGTAAGAATTTACTAAAGACGCACAGTGAAAAGCCATGAACAGGGTTATTTTTCTGGTCGACCTTATTGCATATGCATTTGTAGGAGTTTCCAATGCATTTTCATTGTAGGGCGTATATAGAGACGCTTTTGACATTTGGCACCCTTTAGCATCAATACATATGTGTAGGTTTAGGTCTGGGGTAGGGTTAGGGTTAGACCACTAGGAGGCGCCTTCTGGCCCATATATATCTGCGTCTCATATTGACGCTAAAGGGTGCCATGACACAATGTCAAAAGCCTCAGTATATGAGGCCTTGGGATGAGACCGGACGGGAGTTTCCCTTTCAGACGCAAAATTAAACGAATCAGGAGAGTATTTAAACGAATCATGCAAGGTGATTTACGAAGGTTTGCGCTCGTCAATTTACTGGTATTTGTAATTTGCGCTGCTCTTGGTAGATCATTATGGAAATAATGCAGAACTTTCCACTCACGTCGGCGTTTTACGGGATTGCGCTCTCACGCTATTTGCCCTGTTTAGTAAATCCGGCCCCTGATGTAAAAAATCATTCGCCTTTGGAGTCATTCAAGTAACCAATGTTAAATATTACATGCATGCAATTGTTAAGTAAGTCCTGATTTGTTGTGATAGAAGCATGAAAATCTTGCACAGTACCTGTACTGGTATTGAAGGAAACTGATGGAGTTTGACGGCCACGAGACAGACCATAAAACACTATGTCATAGACCGTAGAGTCCATAAGACCCATCACGGTAACGTTCCTCTCTGATCCTGATAGCCTGAGCTCTACAACATCATACAGCTGCTCACGGTCAGTGATACGAGCAGCAAAGCCATCAAAGTGGCCTGACGGTGTGCTCCAGGACAGCGCCAAGCTATTCGGGAGGGTTTCAGACACCACAACGGTGCCCAATTTAGGCTTAGGCTCTGAATGAAAGAAAGTATTGGGTACTGTTACGAAACTTAACAGTAGCTGAAACAAGCGGAAACTGGATGTTTAAAACAGTAGGAATATTCTGGGTTATTTGCCTTGATGTCTATGATAAGCATCTGTGGTCTGCAGTCAATTGCGGCAGACAATAATTACGACTTAGTCCTCAGTTTGAAAAATGGCAAAGAAAATGCAAAAGCATTCAGTGGGACCAATTCATTTTTCCACTTTGAGGACAATCTACTTACTGTAGGTTTGCCCGAAAAATGGCATCAAATCACTGATCAATCAATCACACTAATCAAGTGTTTGTATGTAATGCTACGTAGTAAGTAAACTAGGCATTTTGTCCCAAATTAGATGTAATATGGGCCTGATTTTGTCCTACAATTCAAAGGAGTGAGTGACAAATTGGACATAACTTGTGCAAACACAAGGTTTGGAAGAAAATCTTTACACTAGTCCTGCTAACATGCCATAGACATTACCCTGCAAACAACCTGGAATACTACTTTACGTCATGCTTTCACTTTGTGCCATACTATGAACTATTTTTTAATCTGCACAATTCTTACATTATTTCTCACAATTCTGAGCATTTTTAAGAATGTTTCTCAGAATAGTGAGTTTATACCTCGCAATTCTGACAATTATATATAAAAATAATAAGTATACTTCAAGTTCATTTTATTTTTTGCTTTTTTTTGGCTTTTTGCTATTTGTTATGTTAAATTCAAGCTGCTGTAAGGTCAGTTTTTTTGTTTTATTTGAATCTAGAATCGAGGACCCCCTCGAAAACGAGATGGCTCATCTCAAGGGGCTATTCCTCTTTAATAAATGTCAAATAATAATTTTTAATGTACTTCATGTAACTAATATCAATGTACTAGAAGTATACTTGCAAGTGTACCGTTTCAATATTACTTGGGACTAAATTGGCCAACTTTTTAGTGTATAAAAGTATACTTTAAGTGTAACAGTAGACTTTGTGTAGACAAGTTTTTCATTTGAACTGCAGCTATACTACAAGTGAACTTACTGATAGTTTACTTGTCAAATACTAGCAATGTTTTAGTTTATGAAAGTACACTTACTCTCAGAAACTACAAGTTTAGTAGTTATATACAGTACTGCAACTTTCTTTAAGTGAACTTAACACCATACTTACAGTTTATAATTTATATATTATTTTTTGGACTTTAAGTACACTACTATATTCCTATTTAGGTAATATATATATATTTATATATATATATATATATACACTTGAAATATACCTTTCAGTCAACAGTGGGGAAAGAGTAAACTAGATTTGGATTCCTATGTACACTACCAGTGGTCTAGCCAAAAAAATAAAAAATAAATAAATCAACTTTAAGACAGATTTATATGTGGGAATTAAAAATTATAAAGTACAAAAATTCCAAATTGCGAGACATAAATTCGTAATTGCGAGCAATAGTAAGAATTGTGAGATGAAAAATGAAATTACCTTATTATTGTTTTATTCCAGGGCAGCAAATGGGCTTCCATATAGCAAACCAAATCTTCAAAACCCAATATAAATGTTTAAAGCATGTATTCTGAGAACTCAAAAGCATGCTCAGCTGTACCTGTGGTTACTACAGTTGTCAGGGCAGCCGTGTTGGCGCCACCTGAGGTGGCATACAGCTTGATCTGATATCGCGTGTCTCCTCTGAGCCCAGTCAGCACTGTGGAGCGGGCACCTGTGGGCAAGGTGCGCCCCGTCGCCTGCGAGGGCAAAGCAGACTCTCTCACCTCGACTATAAAATTATCAAACGCCTTCTCTCCCGTCCGCCAGGAGAGCGAAACTGTGTCTGAGGTAATGTTTGAAACGACTAGCCCAGACAAGTCAGGCTCGGCCGCTACAGGGGGAAAAAGCCAGCCATGGCGTTTTGTTTAGTGTCTCTTTCTCTGCTTTCAATAGTTTTAGAGATCTGTCCATGCTAATGGTCCAGCTAACAGCCTTGGTTAAAGAGATAGTTCAGCCAAAAAAAGCATTTACTGATCCTCATTTCGCTTCAAATCTGTATGCTTGTGTATCTGGTCAAAATCAAACCAGGGTTTACGGCGTGGGAGGCGGGCGCACTAAGAAGAACGCTAAAGACCGCAGCTGCTAGCGTCAGTCACTAGCGTGCCTCTTGAAGCCAGGGGAGTGAGGTTTACTTGCACAGCTCTTACTGGCCTATGTTCGTTGCACTTGCTTTCCCATAAACCTCATTCCCATCCGGGTCACGGCACCAAAAGTAATCGTTTCTACTCAACCAGCTCCTAGTGAGGTTTGAACCAGGGTCTCTGGCGTGGGAGGCGGGCTCGCTAACAAGGATGCTAATGACCGCAGTTGCTAGCATCAGTCAATAGCGTGCCTCTTGAAGCCAGGGGAGTGAGGTTTACTTGCACAGCTCTTACTGGCCTGTTCGTTGCACTTGCTTTCCCATAAGCCTCATTCCCATCCGGGTCACGGCACCAAAAGTAATCGTTTCTACTCAACCAGCTCTTAGTGAGGTCTGAACCAGGGTCTCTGGCGTGGGAGGCGGGCTCGCCAACAAGGATGCTAATGACCGCAGCTGCTAGCGTCAGTCACTAGCGTGCCTCTTGAAGCCAGGGGAGTGAGGTTTACTTGCACAGCTCTTACTGGCCTATGTTCGTTGCACTTGCTTTCCCATAAACCTCATTCCCATCCGGGTCACGGCACCAAAAGTAATCGTTTCTACTCAACCAGCTCTTAGTGAGGTCTGAACCAGGGTCTCTGGTGTAGAAGGCGGGCTCGCCAACAAGGATGCTAATGACCGCAGCTGCTAGCGTCAGCCAATAGCATGCCTCTTGAAGCCAGGGGAGTGAGGTTTACTTGCACAGCTCTTACTGGCCTATGTTCGTTGCACTTGCTTTCCCATAAACCTCATTCCCATCCGGGTCACGGCACCAAAAGTAATCGTTTCTACTCAACCAGCTCTTAGTGAGGTCTGAACCAGGGTCTCTGGTGTAGAAGGCGGGCTCGCTAACAAGGATGCTAATGACCGCAGTTGCTAGCATCAGTCAATAGCGTGCCTCTTGAAGCCAGGGGAGTGAGGTTTACTTGCACAGCTCTTACTGGCCTGTTCGTTGCACTTGCTTTCCCATAAACCTCATTCCCATCCGGGTCACGGCACCAAAAGTAATCGTCTCTACTCAACCAGCTCCTAGTGAGGTTTGAACCAGGGTCTCTGGCGTGGGAGGCGGGCTCGCCAACAAGGATGCTAATGACCGCAGCTGCTAGCGTCAGCCAATAGCATGCCTCTTGAAGCCAGGGGAGTGAGGTTTACTTGCACAGCTCTTACTGGCCTATGTTCGTTGCACTTGCTTTCCCATAAACCTCATTCCCATCCGGGTCACGGCACCAAAAGTAATCGTTTCTACTCAACCAGCTCTTAGTGAGGTCTAAACCAGGGTCTCTGGTGTAGAAGGCGGGCTCGCTAACAAGGATGCTAATGACCGCAGTTGCTAGCATCAGTCAATAGCGTGCCTCTTGAAGCCAGGGGAGTGAGGTTTACTTGCACAGCTCTTACTGGCCTGTTCGTTGCACTTGCTTTCCCATAAGCCTCATTCCCATCCGGGTCACGGCACCAAAAGTAATCGAATCTACTCAACCAGCTACTAGTGAGGTTTGAACCAAGGTCTCTGGCGTGGGAGACGGGCTCGCTAACAAGGATGCTAATGACTGCAGCTGCTAGCGTCAGTCACTAACGCGCCTCTTGAAGCCAGAGGAGTGAGGTTTACTTGCACAGCTAGAGGCGGGCTCGCTAACAAGGACGCTAAAGTCCATAGCTTCTAGTGACAGTCACTAGCGTGCCTCTTGAAGCCATGGGACTGAGGTTTACTTGCACAGCTCTTACTGGCCTACGTCCATTGCACTTGATTTCCCCCTAAACCTCATTCCCATCCGGGTCACGGCACCAAATGTAACCAGTTCTACTCAACCAGCTTCGAGTGGGTATACTCGTAAATCATCTTGTGGCACCAGATTCAGATTTCCATGTTTCCTATAACATGACTTCAGAAGACTTGAGTTTCATGGACCACTTTTAGAGAGATCTTCAACAAATGAAGATGAAGAAAAAACATACAGGTTTGGAATGACATGAGTACATAAATGTGAACGTTTTGGTTGAACTACTCTTTTGTGGCCTGATTTATCATTACCAATATAAACAAACGGGGGAAAACAGCAAGGAAAAGAGAGAATTCCAGTTACCTGTGGAGGCGACAGCACTGACGGAGTCTGTTCTCCTTCCCTTCATAACTCCAGTGAGGTAAGCTATATAGTCAGTAGTCGGCTGTAGCCCAGTGATTTCATATGACTGTGTACCGTGTGTTAGATTATATTCAACTGGCTCCCGCTGCCAGCTAGAGTCTATAATCTCCAGGATAAACCTCTCAATATCTCCGCTCGTGTCATTCCATGAAATGGAGAAGCTCTCTGATGTAATATTAGACACATACAGACTGCCAACCATTGGAGCGCTATCTAAAGGGAGAAACGGTTATTGGAACAGAGGTAATGTATATTTGCACTTGCTGTACAGTGTTTGGACATTGTCACCCTTATTGTCTATGGGTACATCCTTGCTGTACTATATGCGTAATTTGCATGTATATTTGTTAAGCCGAGCATATGATATTAATTGTTATAGGCTAAATACTGACTAGTGTTATTTGTGCTTGTCGGATTAGGCCTGTTTTACACACCACGCGTCTGCAGCATATTTATTTTTGCATGCATACAGGTAGCAGATTTCATATTTTAGATTTCATGGCAAAGTTGGTAAAACATATAATTAAAATGTAAATATTCAGCCAAAAAATAAAATACTTAAATTCTTCATTTTTAATGTTTTCATGAATTGTTTGCTTACACACTGCAGATGCGTGATGTTAAACTGGCTTCAATATGAAAACTATGATACTGTAGCTTGTTTCCACCAATGAATAAAAAAAAATAATAATAATTGCGACTTTTTATCTCACAATTGCGAGATATGAAGTCAGAATTGTGAGAAATAAAGTCGCAATTGCGTGTTATAAAGTCAGAGAAAAAATTACAGAAGTGCGACTTTTTATTTCACAACTTTTTTTCTCACAATTGCGAGTTTACATCTCGCAATTCTGACTTTATAAGTATAACACATAATTGAGTTTATAAATTCTGACATCTTTTCTCAGAATTATGAGATATAAACTCGCAATTGCCAGAATAGTTTATATTTCACAATTCTGACTTTACAACACGCAATTTGGACTTTATATCAAGCATTTCTGACTTTATAACACGCAATTGCGACTTTATATCATGCAATTCTGATTTTATATCTCACAATTCTGACTTTATAGCTCGCAATTCTGACTTTATATCACGCAATTATGACTTTATATCACGCAATTATGACTTTATATCACGCAATTCTGACTTTATAATATGCATTTGCGAATTCATATCTTGCAATTCTGACTTTATATCTCGCAATTTTGACTTTATATCACGCAATTATGACTTTATATCACGCAATTCTGACTTTATATCACGCAATTCTGACTTTATAATATGCATTTGCGAATTCATATCTTGCAATTCTGACTTTATATCTCGCAATTCTGACTTTATATCACGCAATTCTGACTTTATAACATGCATTTGCGAATTCATATCTTGCAATTCTGACTTTATATCTCGCAATTCTGACTTTATAACACGCAATTGCGACTTTATATCATGCAATTCTGATTTTATATCTCGCAATTCTGACTTTATATCTCGCAATTCTGACTTTATATCACGCAATTCTGACTTTATAACATGCATTTGCGAATTCATATCTTGCAATTCTGACTTTATATCTCGCAATTTTGACTTTATAACACGCAATTGTGACTTTATAACACGCAATTCTGACTTTATATCTCACAATTCTGACTTTATATCTTGCAATTTTTACTTTTTTATAATACGCAATTGCGACTTTATATCAGGCAATTGCGACTTTATATCAGGCAATTGCGACTTTATATCAGGCAATTGCGACTTTATATCACGCAATTCTGACTTTATATCTCGCAATTACGAATTTATATCACGCAATTGCGACTTTATATCACGCAATTACGAATTTATATCACGCAATTGCGACTTTATATCACGAAATTCTGACTTTATATCACGCAATTCTGACTTTATATCACACAATTCTGACTTTATAACACGCAATTGCGACTTTATATCACGCAATTCTTACTTTATATCTCGCAATTCTGACTTTATAACACGCAATTGCGACTTTATATCATGCAATTCTGACTTTTTATCACACAATTCTGACTTTACATCTCGCAATTCTGAGAAGTAAAGTTAGAATTGCGAGATGTAAACTCGCAATAGTGAGAAAAAAAGTCAGAATTGTGAGATAAAAAGTCGCAATTACCTTTTTTATTTTTAATTCTGTGGTGGAAACAAGCTTCCAAAGAAAACAGAAAAGCCGGAGAAAAAAAAGAAAAGAAAAAGGTGCTTTCCAAGAATGTTCGTTTAGATGTGAATAAAACTGAGGCTATTTTGTTGTATTTGTTCACTGTAGTGTCAAAACAGGTTAACAAGAATATAGCGTTAGTGCATATGAAGCAATCAACACAAAAGATGTATAAAGATTATTCCAAATTATTCCCATGCCAATTTTTAAATATTATTCCCAATCCAAACAAAAGTTAATGCTCAGACGGTGACCAGAAAGCAGTATATTTCAATATCACATCAGTATTTCCAGTGAATGGGTAAAAACATAAATAACAGAGTTAAAAAATATTAATAAACGTGTTAGAAGAAACAACAAGTCAGAAGATGGATGAGCATATAATGGTGATGGCCAGTATCTATTTTGGTTTATGTAAGGCTACTTTAATTATTTCAAGAAGTATATTCTTGGCTTCTTCGTAAATGGGTTACATTTAGCTTCCTCTCGGTCAAAAACGGACAAAGCCTTAAAATTTTACATTATTTTTTCCCCAGGATAACCATTCAAATATATTTTTGTTCTATAATATTTTCTGATTATTATTTAGAATGTTTAGAGTTTGTTTATGATACTTTGCATTAATTATATATTTTTATGAGCTATTTTTTCCATTAGAATTAATATATATATATTTTTATTTTATATATATGGATATATTTTAAATTCAATAAATGCAACATTTCACATCAAAATAGAGTGCCAACCTACACTTTGAAAAATGATGGGTTGTTTTAACCCAATTTTGGGTCAAATATGGAAAAACTCAAACATTGGGTTAAAAATGTAATTTTAAAATGTAACCCAATGGCTGGGTTTGTCCATATTTTATCCCATATTGCGTTAAAACAACCCAGCATTTTTCTGAGTGTAATAAAAAAAAAAATGTGTTATTTTATTAAATGTATAAATATATAAGAAATATACATAAAAATCGGTTCAGCTAATGAAAAAAAATTGGAAACCACAGCGCTGATATAGAAAGACCTCAAAATAAACACTACATCAAAATGGATGACTTATTCAAATGCATGTTGCTTCAATAGATGTGTTAAATGATGCAGATGATGAGATCACGCAATGAAATGATATGTAAGAGGGTGAAATATGTTGCAATCACTGCAGCACATCAAACCTCACCACAATGCGGTAACTATATGAGATGGGTGGTGCCATGCATTTGGGGTAGCTGGTTGAAATGGATGGTATATAAAGGTTGACAATGATTACTGCTGAACACAAAGCTTTGATTTCAGTGGAAATGAATGGAAACATGACATATCCTTTGCCCCAACGCAATCAACTATGGAGGCAAGACCGACACAGTGGCTGGAACAGTACAGCTGACAATCAGTAAGCTTTGTTAAATGAAGTCGTTTCACAATCAACAAATTATTGTGGACATTCGAGAGACGCCGTTACGTGTTCGGTCATCATTCTCATGGACCACATGCAACAAAGAAGCTTAGGTTTCATAAAGAATTAAAAGGAAATGTTAGAGCACAGAAGCACCTGCTTGACACCACAGCTCCCAACTAGAATGAAAAAGGTCAGAAAGAGAGAAAAGATTAAGAAAAAAAGATATCATAGAAAATAGGTTTCTCATCCCTTGTGAAAAAGAAGTGGGCTTAATTGCATTGAATGTGCACTTGCATTGCGTTTTAAATCTTAGAAGTATATTTATAAACTGTACTTGTAGATAATATGATTAATTAAGCATTGATATAAAATGTATGATAATTAATATAACATTAATTGAACATTTATGCTTTATTTCTTTAAAAAAATACATATTTCAGAGACAACAGAAATAATTATTGTTCAAGTCATTTGAAATGAACTGAAAACTTAAATTAAGAAGGGGCTGATTTGTGAGTTTGTTTCTCAATTGAATGTAAAATTAATATGTGACGAGTTAAGTTCAACTAATTGTATTGTAATATACATTTAAACTATAATACATTTTCATTTTATAAAATGCAATTAAGTGTCTTTTTCACAAGAGATGTCCAGGTCAGCATGGATACCTGTCGCTGCTTCAATGTTGATCGACCCCAGGATCGAGCCCTGATGCACTCCGTATAGTGTTATTGTATAGGACGTGTCGGGGCTGAGCCCAGACATCCATAAACTACGTGCATCCCCAGATACAGAAAGGCTCTGTGTTTCTGGACCACCTGCTGAATTTGCCACTTCAATCACAAAACTGTCAAAGGCAAGGCCATCCTCAATGATCCAGGACACATTGAAACTATCCCAAGATACATCAGACACACTCAGACTGCCAATCTGCGGCTTCTGCTCCTCTGACAGACAAAGAAATCAGAAATGAGTTATTGTCACTGAAATTAATTACATTTGCATAATGAAATGAGCTCAACTTGCCAGTGCCACCGGCATAAACACAATGACAGCTACAGATAAAACACTTAATAGATGGAATGAAATGATATGAATGAAGACATTAAGGGCACAAAGACGGTGTTCATTCATGTCGAGAAATAATGGTAGAGTGATCCGATATAAAACGTTTAGAAATATTTCATGCCAGAATCCCGAGGGGACGTTTGGAAAGCACAGGAACAATTCTGCAAGCGTTTTGTGGCACTAGAGGTATAGGATCACATCTTGGGTATGTTTGATTGGAGAAAGTGAACTTTACATAATATTCAATGTTTAATAAATACGTAATACACTACCAATTAAAAGTTTAGCGTCGGTAAGATTTTGTAAAAGGTTTGAGTCTCTTGTGCTCACTAAGGCTGCATTTATTTGATCCAAAATACAGTAAAAACAGTGAAATTTCGAAATATTAGTAGTATTTGAATATATTTTAAAAAAGTAATTTTTTGAAAAATATGAAAGTAAAAATTTAGTGTACTACTAAATATTTTTTATACTAAAATTAAAACAGAAAATCTAAAAAAAAGGCATATATAAAAAACAGTAACACAATAATAAGTTGTCATTTGTAAACAATGAACTAAAAACTAGGGCTGTCAAACGATTAATCGCGATTAATCGCATCCACAATAAAAGTTTGTGTTTACATAATATATGTAGGTGCACTGTGTATAATTATATATATATATATATTTTCACACATGCTTGTATGTAGTTAAGAAATATTTTCATGTATATACTGTATATAGATTTATATATAATTTATATTATATATAAATATAAATATTTTATATATATATATATATATATATTATATAAATAATAAAATACCGTAAATATAAATATTTTTTTCTTAAATATAACATTTCTTAAACAAATGTGTGTGTATATATATATATATACACACAAAATAATAATACACAGTGCACCCACATATATTATGTAAACACAAACTTTTATTTTGGATGCGATTAATCGCAATTAATCTTTTGACAGCCCTGCTAAAAAGAAATATACTTGTTACAGTATTTATTAATCTTTGTTTAATGTTAGTTCACATTAGGTCATGCTAGTTCACAGTGCATTAACTAATGTTAACAAATGCACCTTTTGATTTTAACACTGTCTCAGTAAACATTAAAATGAATTTGAACTATGATTGATTGATAAATGGCAATGCTAATAAAATTAGCTCATGTTGTTAGCTACTAACTAATGAAACCTTATTGTAAAGCGTTACCAAAACAAACTATAACCGTATATCAATGATAATAAAATAACACTGATACTGTACAATGCTTCCTAGCTGAATTAAATCATACATTTCTTGCATTTCTTCAAATTTCATAAACATAATTTCTTTCAAACTTATAAATGGTATTGTGCAACTAAATACTTAACATGCACAGAGCGTCGCTTGCGGGATTTGTGTTTCTAAACACTTTTTTTTTTCTTCACTTTTTTGGGTTTCTAATGCAAGTTTTATTCACAAAGCCATCTTACGCCTGCAGAAATGCTCCTATAAATGACATTAGTACTGTGATGGCGGATGACAGATGACTGTGGTTTCTGAAGATGATGTCCATGTACCTGTCTTGAGGTGAACATTGACCGGTTGAGATTTTTCGCCCTCCTTCATCCCATATAAAGTAATCTCATAATGCATGCCAGCGCTCAGCCCATCAACACGGACCTGCCGGGCTTCTCCAGATACGTCAATAATGAGCTCTTTAGACTTATTCGACGTTGAGTTCAGCTCAACGATGAAGCTATCGAAGGCTCCTTCTGGAGCTGACCAAGATAGCCACAAACTATTTCTGCTCACATTTGTGACTTTTAGGTCACTCGGAGGCCCTTGACTTGGGCCCTCAAGTTCATCACCTGAGGCTTCAGCTTTAAAATCTTCTGTTAAATAAGTGGAGGTAGAGACTGCTGGTTGAACCTCCTTATGGAGGCTCGGTTGCATTGTTGAAACACTTGTGACGGTCAAAGCAACAACATCAGGAGAGGTAGACTGTGCTAGAGGAAAGTACATTCAGTGCATTTAAGGTCAGAGGTTAAAGACGGGACATAATTAGAAGTGCTTTTCCTGTGAAAACAAGAGGTTACAAGTCATTGACTAAGTGCACAGTGACATGAGAAATCAAATTTGACTTGATCTTTTGACATATAAGAGGTCTTTGTACCATTAAAAAAAGTTTCAAAGCTTAAAAAGTCCTCATTCGTTTCAAAAAGCGGCTCATTTAAGACAAAATAATAAAATAATAGTTTTTCTGCATATATATTTGCTTTTTTATACATTATAAGTCAACCTCATGGAAACATGTTACAATAATTGTCACGATGACCCCTTTAAAATAGGACTATATTCACTTTTGTTTATCCTGGGAAGTGGTTCTCTGATTTGCTCCATTAATAATTGTAAAATAATTACTACTGTACATTTTATAATTCTTTTTGAATTAACATTATGCCATGAGGCTGTATTCATTAAATAGTTGCAACCACTTTAACAAGTGGGATTTCCTCCACATGTGTATGTCAGGGTTATTATATTTAACTAAGACCATAAAAAGCATTTTCATTCATATATATTATATATTCAAAACATATTTCCCCCCTCACTTTCTCAACGTGCACTGAGATTTGAGACACACTGCATGCGATAAAACTTAATTCACATGCAAATGATGTATTGAAATCTGCATGCATGAATCTGAAAACATCTGGCATTAATGGCTATATATGATGAGCCATTAATCGCTGAAGTTTCCAAGTAGTCCACCAGAGTGGAAGTACATGGGACACTTCAATGCAGACTTCGAGATGTTTTGAGGAAACGGCATGCATGAACTCAATTCGTTGTTAATTAAACAACATTCTACTAATCAGTTTTCTCATGCATTTCTCTTTTTTTCACAACAGAGTTTAGTTTGTTATGAGCATTAACTATTTTCTCCACTGGGTTTGTGGATATTCTTGGCAAACCAGGGCTGGGTGATATACTGAATATTTGCAATAAATATATTAAAAAACTAAAATAATAGTTCGAGTTCTATGCCTGAATCATTATTCGCTGGCTGCATGAAGGTCATGTCTACATGATATTTTTTATGCATTTGTGTATTTTTAAGCAGCAAATGTTTGGTTCAATTTAATATTAAACAAACAATAATTATAATTATTATATTAAATTAAATAAATAAATGTGACATTTTTTCTAGCAAAAAAAAATATTTATTGCATTAAACAACCTGAATTGGCTTCAATTCTTGTTAAAATAATGGCTCCTCTTGTAAAAAAAAAAAATTAAATGGTCAAAATTAAATATTGAGATAAATTGTGAATAGAGTAAAAAGTGTGAACCATATGTATATATATATATATATATATATTAGGGCTGTCAAACGATTAATCGCGATTAATCGCATCCAAAATAAAAGTTTGTGTTTACATAATATATGTGGGTGCACTGTGTATAATTATTTTGTATGTAGCCTATAGAAATACACACACATGCATGTATATTTAAGAAAAAAATATTATTTATATACAAAATATTTATATTTAATATAAATTATATACGGTATATACATAAAAATAATTCTTAAATATATACAAGCATGTTTGTGTATTTATATATATACAAAATAATTATATACAGTGCACCCACATATATTAAGGAAACACAAACTTTTATTTTGGATGCGATTAATCGTTTGACAGCCCTAATATTTTTCTGTATCACCCAGCCCAATTAGCATCCATATCATCATCATCATCATGCATGTTTTTTTTGCTCTACCATTTGATGTATGGGAGCAGTTGCATATCATATATCATGCAAAATGAGTCAATCCACTCTTAAACCTATGAAACCAATCATTTCTTATATTTTTGTACCAATGGCAATGACTTGAAACCCAAAGACAGTTTATACCTGTGACTGCTACAGCTTCTAGTAGTGAAGATCTTTGGTTATTGGATATTCCATAAAGCCTTACTTGGTACTCAGTGGAAGCCCTTAGACCTCGGATCTTAGTGCCGTTCACCTCCACATTGAGATGAACCTCCTTGCTCCATTTCCCTGAGAAATCTTTAAGTTCTACAGTGTAACTATCATAGCCAATGTGCATATTTGACTCCCACGAAAGATCAAATCCATCAGACGTGACATTGGACACGGTCAAAGTGCCGGTGGGATCCTCGTATCCGCTGCCAGAGTTGTCGAGAGGCACAAAGCTAATGACATTGTCGTCGGTGCCTTTGGGTGAACCGAGCTCAGGAAATGTGTTCGCTAGATAAAAAGTGAAAGATGCTACAAAGAAAAGACAAAAACATTTGAAACTGGGCAACACCGGATGAAACCTCATGACATCAGCATGATCACACGTGCAAATCCCTTCATTCAAGACCAAATATGATTGACTATCATCTGGACAAAAAGCCCTCGCACAATACATTTCCTGAAAGTGAAAAACGCTGATCATAATCGCAAATATTCTGATCATATTTGATGTTTAATACACAGCTGTGTGGAGAGAGATCTGTGTTTGGGTATATTCAGAAACTCAGATTTACTGGTGTCACAGTTAGTTAGTTATGGCAGGAAACATTCTTCACGCAAGTGCACAAATGCAAACAATCGACTACAGAAAGTGCGCAGATCTGTTGAACCTGCTTAAAGGGATACTCCACTTTTTTTTTGGAAATAGGCTCATTTTACAACTCCCCCAGAGTTAAAGGAGTAGTTCACTTTTAAAAAAACTTTTGCTGATAATTTACTCACCCCCATGTCATCCAAGATGTCCATGTCTTTCTTTCTTCAGTCGAAAAGAAATTAAGGTTTTTGATGAAAACATTCCAGCATTTTTTCTCCATATAATGGACTTCAATGGGGACCAAACGGTTCAAGGTCCAAAAGACAGTTTCAGTGCAAACTACAAACTGTTCAAAGGGCTTTAAACAATTCCAGGTGATGAATAAGGGTCTTATCATGCGAAACGATCGCTCATTTTAAAAAAAAAAAACTAAAAAAAAACTAAGTTTAAGTTTTATAAGCTCAAATGCTCGACTTGTTCTGTTCTGTGATGCGCGTTCGTGACTCTCCTGTTCAAACTCGTTCATCAAAATGAGCACATTTTTTTTTCTTCATTTTTTTGTCATTTGGTTCATTTAACGAACGAGTTGACTTGGGAAAAGATTCCTTCATTTTGATGAATGAGTTCAAATAGGAGAGTCACGAACGTGCATCACATAATAAAGTGCTTATAAAACTTAAACTTTGTTATTTTTTTTTTTAAATGAGCGATCGTTTCACTTGATAAGACCCTTATTCATCGTCTGGAGTCGTTTAAAGCCCTTTGAACAGTTTGCAGTTTGCACTGAAACTGTCTTTAGACCTTGAACCGTTTGGTCCCCATTGAAGTCCATTATATGGAGAAAATCCTGGAATGTTTTCATCAAAAACCTTAATTTCTTTTCGACTGAAGAAAGAATGACATGGACATCTTGGATGACATGGGGGTGAGTAAATCATCAGCAAAAGTTTTTTTTAAAAGTGAACTACTCCTTTAAGATAGAAGCGTCGTTGCATAGAGATGAATGTTTCATGCCTAAAACTGAATATTTTTGGGGGAAAAAGCATGCATATAAAGTTAGTCATGATCATTTCACAATCTCTTGTCCACACATGCAAACAGAACAATAGCATTATCATGTTGCAAAAGCAAACAAAAGTAAGGAAGCCCTCACCTGTGGATGCGGTCACAGTGGCTGGAGCACTTCTTCTCCGTGCACGTTCTGACACCAGGGTGACGGTGTAGCGCATGCCGGGGGTCAGGCCGGTCAGCGTGTGTGTGGTGGCAGTCGCAGGCAGCTCCAGCTCTTCACGTCGCCCGTCGGCAGACACAAACGCTAGCCTGTAGGTGGAGATCTTGGCCCGGGGTCTCTTCCAGACCAGATCCAGAGTGCTTTCAGAGGAGTCTCGCACTTCCAGGTCTCGAGGTGGATCCAGATCTATGTGGGCAAAGAAGATTCATAATCATTCAAGAGAACAGTTTTTAGGATAATCTTTGTTTGTGTTCCAAATATACAGCATTTGAGTGTATAAAACTTAAACTTTGTTATTTATTTATTAAATGAGAGAGACCCTTATTCATCGTCTGGAATCGTTTAAAGCCCTTTGAACAGTTTGCACTGAAACTGTCTTTTGGACCTTGAACCGTTTGGACCCCATTGAAGTCCATTATATGGAGAAAATCATCAAAAACTTTAATTTCTTTTCGACTGAAGTAAGAAAGACGTGGACATCTTGGATGACATGGGGGTGAGTAAATTATCAGGAAAAGTTTTTTTTAAAAGTGAACTACTCCTTTAATGCACCCTTGCAGGATAAAAGTATCAAATCTTTCAAATAAACAAAAAACAATGATATTGATCTTGAAGCTTTTGAACGGTAGTGTCTGTCGCTCATATAAAGAGAAGAGATCTCACCGGTCAGTGCATTGGTGGTGGCCGGCACACTCTCTCTCTCATTCTGAACGGCTGTGACTCCAATGCCGTACTCCGTTCCAGGCTTCAGGCCTACGGCACACACAATCCATTAATCCAGAGGATGAAACTCTAAACTGATGCATTTTCAAGCAGGGAACAAGGGGGGAAATTCTGAGCTATGACATCTCTATGTGAACATTTTCACTTCTTTATGCGAGTTTCTTCAAACAATCCTTTTGATTTTATACAATGCTGCATGTTTGCACATCAGCAAATGAATTTCACTTTCTTTAACGAATCAAAATCTTGCGCACTGTACAGTATGGGTTTAAAAACAGAAATGTGCAGTTTCTATTTTTGTAAAAACACTTTTTATTCTTTCTTTCTTTTAAAATGATCGTTTTTGGATAAAACATTTTTAATACATTATTTTTGGAATGATATTTCTCTTTTATCTTCGTGCATATTGTGCAAAAATCACAGCAGAAGTATAATATTGGATATAACTGACATGACCTATTTTATTTTACAACTCTAGTTTCAAGTTAAAACATAAATTGTTTGTTCTTATTGTGTATTTTAATGTTTGTGTTGCCATTGTTTTTGCCTTTTTTCCCCAGACTAAATGACAAAATCACAATCAACACACTGTTAAAAAAGATTTCCTTGCTTAGTATTTTTTTTATCTTGTTTTCCATTTCAAATTTATAAAAATTAAATCAATTAGAGGGAAAATGACTTAAGATGTTAAGCCTCGTTTTCTGACAAATTGGTCAAAATTTCATGGCAAAATATGGGGAAAGAGGCAATCTTGTTTCCCCTTTGAATTAATACGCTATTGACAGACATTTGTCAAATATAGTCACAAATGTACTTTTTTTTTTAGATACCATCCGTTATTTTGCTTCTTAAGTAAATGTATCTTGATTTATAACACTCCTGATATGTGACAGTAAATAAAATGCAGTTCAATAACAGCAGTCTCATTTTTACCTGTAATTGTGGCCCATGTCGTGTCTCCTGCTCTTCTAGGGAACATGTCTTCACCGTGAGCACCTCCTGCGATCGGTCCGTACTTGATCCGGTATCCGTCGATGGATGAACGGCTGTTTTTCCATTCCAATGTGATGCTGTTGTCAGTCTGATCAACAGCTTTAAGGTCACTGGGGGCATCCAGGCCTGGGACACACAGAAATCAATCCCAGCATCAGTAAAACATTGGTTTGGCTGATTTAAAGGGATAGTTCACTTTGAAATTAATTTTTGGTATGTTTTAGCTTACCTGAAACATGATGTAGGTGTCTTTGTTTCCGAAGTAGTTTCAATTTTGATATTTTCAGGTCAAACCGTTCTTGTCTGTCAGTCATATAATGGAGGTCTATGGTCACCACCTCAAAGAGCATGCACAGAGAAGTCCAAATTAAACATGATTTAATGACTCGTAAATGTAAGTACTCATTGATCGTTTTAAGTATTTATTATATATAGTATTCATATCATTTAAATAGTATTTATATCGTTCGACTTCTCCAAGGTGGTGACCATAGACCTCCATTATATGACTGACAGACAAGAACGGTTTGACCTAAAAATATCAAAATTGAACCTACTGTTGAAACAAAGACACCTACATCTTGGATGCCCTTGAGGTAAGCTAAAACATCCCAAAAATTAATTTCAAAGTGAACTATCCCTTTAAGTCAACCGAAAATTTCACTTTAACATCTGATAAGCAAAGTATTTGATTTGTAGAGTGATCATACCTGTGGTGAAGCTTTCAGAGATGGGCTCGCTGGTCAAATCTCCCCTTCTAGAACTGAGAGACGCTCTGTATTCAGTGTCGGGTTTCAGGTCTTCCAGGCTGTACTGCGTGTCTTTGGCCGAGAGGTCGACATCACGATGGACTAACGGGTCTGTGCTTGGCCCGTACGAAACCCTGAACCCGTCCACCTGAGACACAGGCCTGGACCAGGAGATCACTGCTGACCTGTCAGTCACATCGCTAACACCAACCTGTCCTGGAGAATCGATTCCTTCAGCAAAAGGAGGGATATGTGGTGGTTATACTAAGTTACAGTTCAAATAATATCGTCTCAGGTTGTGTGTTCATTCATTTATTCACAGAGTGCTCGTCTCGTATGTTTTGTGAGTGTCTGCATCCAAAATCGCATACTTCCTTACTAAATAGTAGGCGAAAACCTGAATGTGACAAAAGAAGAATGTCAGAAATCGTAGTACTCATAAAAGAGTAGGGAAAAAAAACGTTTCTGGATATCCTACTACTTCCTACTACCTACGATTGACACTTTTCAATCCCATGAGGCCATGGGAGAGGATTTGTAAATGGCAGTGAAGCGACGTGACTGACGCTGATTACATTCATACTCATATACAACGTATTTTTTAGTGGTATTTATTCAAAATAATTACCTGCTCAAGAGAGTATACCATTTCAGATGCAGCACTTGTGTTTGCAGTGCTGTGCCAGTTTGTTGTCCATTATGCTACCGTTACCGTCATGTACATGTCTATTTAATTATTTGATTTGAATACACACCTATCCCAAAGCAAGACATTCAAGAGGAATCAAATCAAATGCTGCAGGACAACTTGCACACTGCATTTTAATTAGAGCCCGACCGATAAAGGATTTTGAAGGCCGATACCGATACAAATATTTGTTGGTTTTAAAATCCGATATTCCGATATATCGGCCGATATTTTTTGTATTATTTCAGAAATGCGCAACAAAACATTAACAGATTTCCCTAACATTAGTTATTTGTAGTTATTTATGAGTTTTAACTAAAATAAAACGATAAAGCATTTAAAAAAAAACTTGTTTCTTTTATTGTCACAACAGAACAGACTGATGACAGTGGTATTGGGTTAGCTAGTCTATGATGAGCCATAATTTAGCAATGGATTACGTCATACTGCAAATTGTAAAATATACATTTTCAATATAACAGTCCGAGGAGAGATGGTACGTCTCATTGTTATAACTGTCACGCGCTATTGAAGAAATACTTCAGTCACGTTGTCAAAAGTTAAAAGGACAGTCAGTCAACTACACTGTAACAACATAACGTAACTATTACTAGCTTCACTCTCGGCTTATTTAACAGCAGCAAAACTGGACATGATAGTCACAAAATTTGTCATGCTTATTTGAGTTTAGAGAACTGATGCCAATGTTCTTTTAATTGTTATTCAAGCAATGTATGTCTCATGACCAACTCAACGAGTGTTGCCAACAGGAACGGTGTAGAGTGCCCTCTGGTGGACAAACTATACAACTCCAACACTCGTGACATGGTTCAAGCGTGTTTTGTCCGTTTTTATTTCATTTTTGAAATATTCATTTATCGGACATTATAATTGCCGATAGTTTGGAAAATGGCTAATATCGGCCGATAATATCGGTCTGGCTCTAATTTTAATATGTCGTGTTTGGGTCCATTCAAATGAATAAACTAGACAATAAACTTGTCAATGCCAACACAATTCTTTCATGCAGTAAATAAGCACATTCACCCTAAATGGATTGACCTAACCATGACAGATATCTCCAGATCTAGCAATCTGAGGCAGTCAAATGGGGAACTACACTAACTACTGTCAGAAATCAAGGGCCTTTTGAAACCAAAACACACGCATTGTTGGCTGTTATCTTGGATAAAGGCTGTAAATGTCATGGATCTTCCAAATTTCTCACGGTCGAGCACAGAATTGGGCTGTTAAAGCTACCCACGCTAAATGTTTAATTTGGTTAAATGATGGCCTCTATTCTTCTTGGCCTTTCAAACCAGCAGGCCTTCAAATTCTTTACCGCTGAGCTAGTTTCACCTTTGACCTCTGACACTTCAGAGCCGTTTCCAGCACCAAAAGCGCCGCCTTCAACATTAACTTCAATATTGACATGGGATCATGACACGGAAGGTGCATTACTTGTAACTACAGTCGAGCTTATTTCGGGTCCTCTGGTGTTGTTCTTTACGACGGACAAAGTGACTTTGTATTCCTGTCCCGGCCCGAGTCCTGATTGCTCAAAGTTGGTCTGGGAAGGTGTCAGGTTGTTCACGATCTTCCCATTTTCTTCCTTCTGTTATGGAGAAGACAGAAGAATATGCATTTAGCTTCCTTTAGTCGTGATTGTTTAGACGTGATAAAACCTGTAACATACAGTATTTCGTAAATGCTAAAATCCAGATCAGTGGGAGCCTCAGAAATTTTCCCAGACGGCTTAAAGGGATACTCCACTTTTTTTGGAAATAGGCTCATTTTACCACTCCAGTTGAGTTTTACCGTTTTCGAATCCATTCAGACGATTTTCTGATATTTAGAAGAATATCAGTAACCAGACAGTTTCTGGTCTCATTGACTTCTATAGTAGGAAAAAATATATATTATGAAAGTCAATGAGACCAGAAACTGTCTGGTTACTTATAATCTTCCAAATATCAGAAAATCGTCTAAATGGATTTGAAAACGGTAAAACTCAACTGTTTAACTCTGGAGGAGTGGTAAAATGAGCCTTTTTCAAAAAAAAAAAGTGGAGTATCACTTTAAAGATAACTTAAAATGATAAGACAAAACAAGCATCAAAATGACACAAAACAACAATTCACACCCTCAAAAACCTGGATATATAAGGTGGTGTAATTTTAAAGGGTGAAATAAAATTCAAAAAAATAATAATGACGAAAAATCTATTTAATAATTTGTATTTTTTCAGTCTTTTTTTTTGTCTTGGCTTTTGAGTTATGTCATGACAGTTACCCTTAAACAAATGAAACAGATTCTGAAAATCTGACAAAGTATGAGATACTGTTTATCTTGTTTTAAGGATTCAGATTTTTTTTTTGTATTGCAAAACGTACCAAAAAAAGGTGATATAATAAATAAAATATCATAACTCCATGGGCATTTTTATAATGAATATAGTATTTCTATATGCCAAGATCTAAAATATTTTATCAAGAAGAATGAGTAAAAAAAAAAAAAAATCCTTAAAGGGAAACTCCACTTTTTTGGAAATAGGCTCATTTTACCACTCTTCCAGAGTTAAACATGTGAGTTTTACCGTTTTCGAATCCATTCAGCCGATTTTCTGATATTTAGAAGAATATCAGTAACCAGACAGTTTCTGGTCTCATTGACGTATATATTTTTTCCTACTATGGAAGTCAATGAGACCAGAAACTGTCTGGTTACTAACATTCTTCCAAATATCAGAAAATCGTCTGAATGGATTCGAAAACGGTAAAACTCAACTGTTTAACTCTGAGGGAGTTGTAAAATGAGCCTATTTACCAAAAAAAAATTGGAGTATCCCTTTAAAAAAATAATAATGGGTTATTTTAATATTGTTGTAGACAATGGGGAGCCTTGGAGTCAAAAAGGCTGAAAACCACTGAACTTGATGACCTCAAATCTAACAGACTTGTACTAAAAGTCCAACTGCGAGTCTATACCCGTTACTGGCAGTCATGATTTGACAGAGAAAACGTGTCATGCAAAAGTTGATGGTTTCCTAAATGCTGGTGGCATGAAACGGCAGAACTGAAAGTGAGCCGTCAGTTCAAACATCTGGGGTTTCTGGAGCACCATTAAAGGGAGTCTTAATGGAGACTTTACGGTTCAAGGATGGCTCTTTTTAATGGCTCCTTAAATGAGTGTATGAGCTCATGGCCGCCTGTAACTCTGACTCAAATGGAGAAAATGCCCATTCACATCTCTACTAATGAACAGTGATTAAATTGTCCATTACTCTGTTTTAAACACGAGAGAGAGAGACTCTGAAAGCAGCCGCGTGACCGTATAACCCTGGCACCTAGGAATAAAACGCTTACCGCAGTAAATCTGCTGACCTAAAGGTTGACATGTTATGTTCTACCAGCTGGTACAGAAATAAATTTTTACTATTATTTTTACAGCAAGTTATTAAAAGTGTTTCAAGATATTTCAACACTTTTCTCGCACTTCGCTTAAAAGAATGTGGCTCCAAAAAATGATTGGATGTTTTTATAAAGTTAACGACACTGACCTAAATACCTTTGCCTAGTAAGACATCAAAAATATATATATTTTGTTGTGCTTTCTGAGTCAAAGTACCCCTCCATTTTTTATTTTTTAGTCTGAATAGACAAATAAATACAGGTAAAAGCGTAGGGAAAAAAGCCTTTAAAGGGGTGGTTCAGGATTTTGGACATCATCAGCCCTCATTTCCAAGTTAGCCTGGGTGTTATTCATCAATGGAGACAGTTTGTCATCAAAAAATGTCATCCAGTCCTTCCAGTTGCATAGTTCGCTAGTTGCGGCCTGCCATTAAAAACAGTTTTACCCATTCCACAGTACACCAAAAGCAAATAAATTATAACACCAGACTATTGATGTAAATGTGTGTTGAGAGAATAATGTTAGAAATCAAAGTACTCTTCCATCTCAATGATCGCATTTCAGCAGCGGCTGAATTTTACTTTGCTCCGGTGAGTAGTACGGCGCCGAAAAGTAAACACAGAACCGAAGCGCACAACAGTCAGGACCATAGATATCCATAATAAAGGCTAGATGTCTTACGGTGGAGTCTCTATCGCCATCACCGGCGGCCATCTTGTCACAGGCAAGCTGATGTAAGATGAGTGGTCAGCACGAACACAAATACTCTTATCTCATTGAAATCTTGACGGATTTACAAACGGTTTGGTTTCTTACAAACGTTATTAACGTGTCTATAATTCTGCAGGAATATTTATTTATACATGTATTATTCATATCATAACTACATCTCTGACGTTTATAACAAACCAAATCGTTTGAAAATCGGTAGAAAATTGAGCCAGTTATGGTCATTTAAAAAGTACAATCACCATTAAAACACAGTGTTACGAGTGAGCGAGCTGCCTGTGGCAAGATGGCCGCCAGGTGCGGATATCGACCTCCATTGGCCAGTAGGGTGGATGACATCTAGCCTTTATTAATGGATATCTATGGTCAGGACTACCTGTACCACCTCTTACCATAGATATCTGTATAAAGGCTAGGCAGTCCGCGCTACTGGCCAATGGAGGTCGACGTCAGCACCTGGCGGCCATCTTGTCACAGGCAGCTCGCTCACTGGTAACATTGTTTTAATGGTGCATGTACTTTTTAAATCACCGTAACTTGCTCAATTTTCTACCGATTTTCAAATGGTCTGGTTTGTTATTAACAGCAGAGATGTAGTTATGATACTGCATACTTATGAATAATAAGTGTATAAATAAATAATCATCCAGAATTATAGCCACATTAATAACGTTTGTAAGAAACCAAACCGTTTGTAAATCGGTAGAAAATTGAGCAAGTTACGGTGATTTAAAAAGTACATGCACCATTAAAACAATGTTACCAGTGAGCGAGCTGCCTGTGACAAGATGGCCGCCAGGTGCGGACGTCGACCTCCATTGGCCAGCAGCGCAGATGACATCTAGCCCTTATTAGTGGATATTTTTGCTCGGGACTCAGTACCTCTCTCTCTCTCACTACCACTCTCGGTTGCCTAGGTAACTACATATCACTCCGCCGCTACTGTAGGCTGTGCTAATAAATACAGGGGACAAAGAATAACTATTGCAATGTGATGAAAGGGTAGTTTGATTTCTAACATTATTCTCTCAACAGACATTTACATTTACATCGATAGTCTAGCGTTATAATTTATTTGCTTTTGGTGTTCTGTGGAGTTGGTAAAACTGTTTTCAATGGCAGACTAGCAGATACCATTGACTCGCGCTAGCCTAGCAAGTGGAACGACTGGATGAAATTTTTTGAAAACTGTCTCCACTGATAAATAACACCCAGGCCAACTTGGAAATGATGTCCAAAATCCTGAACCACCCATTTGACACTAACCGTGTTACGAAAGTTGAGCTCCCAGCCGTCAAAAGGAATGTTCAGCTGGTCCCACAAAACCTCCACAGACGTATCAGTGATGGACTTAAACTTCAGGCCCTCAGGCTGCGGTAGATCTGCAGGAAAACAGCACAGGTTTATTAGCAGAGTATCATGACATTCAGAGTTTATTAGCAATGATCAGTTCCTGGATATAAGATGTTTACTTGCACGAATGTATAGTGGCTCAATGGATTAGTTCCAAATGCTGTTTGGACAGTTTTGCATGTGCAATGACAGGTTTGAGTAACTTTACTGTCTGTGTTAAAGATTTTTCTGGGTTTACAAGAGATATGAACTACTATCATTATGCTTTTAGAAAAACACCTGACTACAAATTGTTCCAAACTTTTCCTATAATTTGTGAACTGTGCACTGCTTTGAATTAAAGACTCAGCTAAATGACAATAGAAAGAGGAAGTGACACGGAAATGTACAAACTGAAAGCAGTACAACAAATACTATCACAATACATTATATATATATATTACATTTAATTTTAGTGTGTTAAAAAATATATTACAAAATATATTATTTAAAAATATTTATAATAAATTATTTTAAAATATATTACATTTAATATATATATATATATATATATATATATTACATTTAATATATATAATCTTTTTAAATTAAACATTGCAGTATTGAGAATATAAAAAAATTTAATTTTAATTTTGATGAAATAGCTATGAGAGCTGGAGTGAGAGGAAATGCTTAACTGTCATAATTATAAACAATTATGTATTAATTAATTATATAATAAAATAAATATAAATTATTAATTGTATTATATTATAACTGTATTAGTACTATTAATAAAATTAATTGAAATTAAAATAAAAAACACCCCAAAAATAAAAAGATAATAAAATAATCCTAAAAAGGAATAGTTTTAAAAAATATTGACAGCCCCCAAAATTTTTATTTCTTCGTCTTTTTAGAGTGAATTATGCCATTTTCTTGACAGGTTTCATAACTTGTATTAATGAAAAACGTGAAAACAATCTTACAAAGACAAAATATGAGAAACATTTCTCTCCTAAATCAGACTTTTGTCTCATGCAGTTTTGCCTCTCAGGTGATTCAGATATCTTTTCTTTTTTTTGTCTTGGAAAACATGATAACAATAAATAGTTATTAGTATTATTGGATAGACGTTAGCTATGAGAAAACCGAACTGCAAGAGACCACATTTGTAATTCCAGTGTTAGACAAAATATATGTATATAAACATTTGTTTCACCACAAAGTGTGCAGGTGTGTACAGTGATTGCACGTGTGTGTAATGTAGAGCAGAGTGTGTGGACGTACGTGTGGCCACTCTGGCACTGACTGGAATGCTCTTTTTGTTGTTGAGGACGGCATAAACGTTGATCAGGTACTCGATCCCAGGCTCCAGCTCAGAGACGGTAGCAGACGTCCGGTCTCCAGGCACTCGGAAGTCCATCTGCAGGCCGCCTGGTGAAGTCGGGATGTACGTGACTAAATACTCCGTCACCAGCATCTCGTTCTTCCACGTGAGGTTCACCTCCTCTGTGGTTACATCTGTGACGGTCAGGTCTTCCGGTGGCGAGACTGGGAAAGATATTAAAGCTCATTTAGGTCACAGATGTCGAGAGACCGAATGACCAAAGTGGTCGGAAAACTGTCCCTGTTTCCATTGTGGTGATCGGAAATCATCCAATCAAACTATGGAGAGGTTTCAATATAAAGCTACACAGAGCAAGTTGATCTTTTGTTTCTTATTAATGGTCCTCTATGTAAATCTAGTGGATTTCACAGGCACACATATGGTAATAGTCAAGAAATGAGTTTATAATTAGCCGAATAAACCCACTGAGACAAAGAGAAAATCACTGCTCTCGACTGAATGACTTTTGTAACTTTAATAATGACCATTTATACTGTGAAGACTATACAGTGTAATTTTACATTTGATTACTTTATTCAATTTCTGTACTGAAAAATTGTGATATTTCATTGCTGTCTTAAAATTTGAACCCCTGGCCCAAGCAGGCCAGTAGAAAAAAATATATTGTGCCCTGCTGGAGCTATAAATATTCACTGTGCTATTAAATTAAAGATAAAATATGATAATGCAAAAATATGAACAGTGAAAATAACAGAAGATCCTAAAAAACATTAACAGGCATAATTAGGCATGGAAAATATCTATTTGCTAAGTGATAAGCTCAATTCATATTCTTTTGGTTTCTCTGCCCAATATTGTAAAATATAAAAAATATTTAAAAATCGGTATCGGTAAAAACAGGTTTCAATAGGTAAAAACTCAGTATGGGCAAGTACTAAAAATTAAAAAAATAAATATATAAATAAATATATATATGTACACTGCTCAAAAAAATAAAGGGAACACTTAAACAACACTCAAAATGTCTCAAAATATATAAATAAAAAAGTATTTTATATTTATTTTATTCCAGTTAACATTTATTTTACATAAACAAATGTTTTTAATGGTTTTAGTTTTTCATTATTTTATTCTTTAAATTAGGGCTGTCAAACGATTAATCATGATAAATCGTATCCAAAATAAAAGTTTGTGTTTACATAATATATATGTGTGTGTGCTGTGTATAATTATTTTGTATACAAATACACACGCATGCATGTATATATTTAAGAAATAGTTGCATGTATATACTGTGTATATATATAGTTATATATAATAGATATTATTTATAAACATTCATATATTTCTATATATATATATATATATATATATATATATATATAATCTTTTTTTTCTTAAATATATACATGCATGTGTGTGTACTTATATATAGAAAATAATTATACACCGTACACACACATATATTATGTAATCAAAAACTTTTATTTTGGATGCGATTAATCGTTTCACAGCCCTAATTTTTGTTTTAGTTCAAAACAATAGACATTCAACAAAACATTTTTAACGGAAAATACTGAACTTATTAAAGGATTAGTTCACTTTTGAAAAAACTTTTGCTGATAATTTACTCACCCCCATGTCATCCAAGATGTCCATGTCTTTCTTTCTTCAGTCGAAAAGAAATGAAGGTTTTTGATGAAAACATTCCAGGATTTTTCTCCATATAATGGACTTCAATGGGAACCAGACGGTCCAAGGTCCAAAAAATAGTGTTTAATAACAGTTTCAGATGCAGCTTCAAATGTCTTTAAACGACACCAGACGATGAATAAGGGTCTTATCATGCGAAACGATCGGTTATTTCAAAACTTATTCCAAAAATGTAACTTTTCTAAGGACAAATGCTAGCCTTGCTCTATTCTCTGAGGCGTGTTTGTAACGTCACGTAATACGTAATTACGTTCAAAAGGTCACGGGCGACGTAACCGTAAGTACAGAATCAAAATCGTCCGACATCGTTGTTTTACCTTATAATTCCTTTTTTGTAAACGGCGTTTGAGTTAGTTTGCACGTTCAACCTATGCGTTCAACTTGTAAACACTGACTTTGTACTTACGGCTACGACGCCCGTGACCTTTTGAACGTAATTACGTATTACGTGACGTTACAAACGCGCCTCAGAGAATAGAGCAAGGCTAGCATTTGTCCTTAGAAAAGTTACATTTTTGGAATAAGTTTTGAAATAACCGATCGTTTCGCATGATAAGACCCTTATTCATCGTCTGGTGTCGTTTAAAGACATTTGAAGCTGCATCTGAAACTGTTATTAACACTATTTTTTGGACCTTGGACCGTCTGGTTCCCATTGAAGTCCATTATATGGAGAAAAATCCTGGAATGTTTTCATCAAAAACCTTCATTTCTTTTCGACTGAAGAAAGAAAGACATGGACATCTTGGATGACATGGGGGTGAGTAAATTATCAGCAAAAGTTTTTTCAAAAGTGAACTAATCCTTTACTACTTATGAAATACTAAACAAAACAGATTATCTGCTTTATAAGAATCACCTTCCGAGCAATCCTCGCCAATGTAGCCTTCATCACAAACGCAGAGGCCGTCCACGCATTGGCCCACTCCCTTGCATTCGTTCGGACAGCTTCTTTCTCCACAGGCATCTCCACCGAAGCCCTCGT